AAGGTTTTTTTTTTTTTTTTAAGAAAATTATGTAATATACACAATAAACTTATGAATATATAAATTATATATAAATTAAAATATATAAATATGTACATATGAACGAATATATGAACAATACTTATTATGTAATTGCACTTGTTTAAAAAAAAATAAACATGACACAATAAAAATAAAAAATAAAAAATAAAAAGGAAAATAAAAAAAGAGAAAAAAAAAAAAAAAAAAAAAAAAAATCAAAGCTTATTTCAAAAAATAAAAAAAAAAATAATTAACAATAAAAAAAAAAAAAAAAAATTAAAATGAAAAAAAAAAAAAAAAAAAAAAAAAGGGAAAATAAAAAGTGGAAGGAGAAAAAAAAAAAAAAAAAAAAAAAACATGAAAGCCACATATAAAATAAAAAAAAAAAAAAAATTTACAAAAAAAAAAAAAAAAAATAAAAATTGTATTGCTTTTAAAAAATTAAAAAGTTGTGAAAAAAAAAACGTAGGAAAAAAGGATAAAAAAATTTTTAACTTTTATATTTTTAAGCAAACACATGCTAGTCATTTTAATTTAAGGAGAGGAAAAAAAAAAAAAAAATTAAAAAAAAGGAAAAAAAAAAAAAAAAAAAAAAAAAAAAAAAAAAACAGAAAAAACAAGAAAAAACAAGAAAAAACAAAAAAAAAATAAAATAAAATAAAATAAAATAAAATAAAATAAACAGAAAAAGCAGAAAAAACAAATGGCATTTCTAACGGAAAAAATTAAGGGAAGTATCAAAATTGAAGAAACCAATTTGTGTGAATATAAAAGTTGTTTAGAAAAGAATCTGCTTGAAGCAAAAGAAACGATATACAACACGGTTAAGGAAAACTCCAAAAACGACAATTCTGCAAGCTCAACAACTTTTAATGAAAATAAAGCCTATACCCCTATAGGGAATACCAAAGAAAACATGATAAACGCAGAAGAAATATGTAGCGAGAATCAAAACACGGAAGAAAAAAATGAAGCTAGTGATTATCATGATACAGTAACCCATGAAAATGGAAAACATTACCAATCCCAATTAAGTACTGATGATAATGTTTCTAATGGAGCTGTATCGTATGAGGATATTGGTGCCAAAGAGAGGGAACAGGACGAAAATGATTCACCAAATTTATCAAGGGAAAATTCGTGTGAAGAAGCAGACACTGCTATAAAAGGGGGTAGTGATGAAAATGAAGCAACTGAAACGGAAGCAGTTGAGATGAAAGTGATTCAGAATGAAGCAACTGAAACGGAAGCTGTTCAGATGAAAGCGAGTGATACTAAAACGGATGAACCACAAGCGAATGAACGCCAAACCGAGGACCACCAAAGGGACGATGACCAAACGGATGATGTAAAAAAGGAGGTAAGCATCGAACTCCTAAAAACGTGTGATGCTCTAAAAAATTTGGGTAATAAATATTTTAATGAAAATAATTACCTGCTATCTCTAAAATATTACACGAAAGCCATTGATCTAATAAAAAAAATGTATGAGATTGATGATCCTATATACACGAAAATCCTGAACAGTATAAATATAGAAGACTTACCAGGTGACATTCCATTAGAGGAGGAAGACGTAGAATTATTACGTGCTTTTTTTCAGAACAGCGCCATCTCAAAAAAAAAAAATTTTATTAGTATAAAAGAAACAGATATACACATATATTACACAAACAGATCATTTTGTCATATGAAGTTAGAAAATTATGGCTCATCAATCGAAGACATAAATGAAGCTATAAAAATTAATCCATATTATGCGAAAGCTTACTACAGAAAAGGGTGCTCTTATTTATTATTGTCTGATTTGAAAAGTGCATCCGATTGCTTTCAAAAGGTATTAAAATTAACCAAGGATAAAAATTCCGAAATAAAATTAAAGCAATGTAAAAAATTATTATTTGAACAACAGTTTCAAAAAGCTATTGAGTTAGAACAAAAAATGCCATATTACGAAACACTAGTTTTAGATTCTCTTAAAATTGAAAACGCAGGAGCACCAATTTATGATAGGAATAATTTAAGCATAGAGTTTTTAAAAAAGGTTGTGGATTACATAAGTGTACCCAATCAAAAATTAAATAAAAAATGTGTTTGTGCTATCGTTTTAGATATTATTAAATTACTTAAAGAACTACCTACATTAGTTCGCTTAAATTTACAACCAGAAGAAACTTTAACCATATGTGGTGATATACACGGCCAATTTTACGATCTATTAAATATAATGAAAATTAATGGATACCCATCAGAAAATAATTCATATTTGTTTAATGGAGATTTTGTAGATAGGGGAAGCTTTTCCGTTGAAGTTATTATCTTTTTATTTTTAGCAAAACTAACTTTTCCACATAATGTACATTTAACACGTGGAAATCATGAAACTGATAATATGAACAAATTATACGGGTTCTTGGGGGAATTACAAGAAAAATATGACGAAAAAATGCATGTCTTATTTTCGGATTCCTTTAAATTTCTACCCTTAGCATATGTACTGAATGACTCCATTTTTATATGCCATGGGGGGATACCAAGTAAAACTGAAACAACTTTGGAAGATATTGAAAAAATTGATAGAAACACAGAACCCTTGGATGAGGGTATTATGACAGATTTGTTATGGTCTGATCCAAATGAAGAAAATGGATTTAAGCCCTCCAAAAGGGGAATTGGATTTTCATTTGGTAAGGATATTACAGAAAGTTTCTTAAAAAGAAATAACTTAAGTCTTATAATTAGATCACATGAAGTTAGGGATGAAGGATATTCGATTGAACAAAACGGAATGCTTTACACTGTTTTTAGTGCTCCTAACTATTGCGATATTATGAAAAATAAGGGAGCCTTTTTAAAATTTAAGGGACAATCGATTAAACCGAAATGCGTCACATTTACTGAAGTGTATCACCCCAATGTACCGTCGCTTAAATATGCGCACAATTTGTATCAAAATATATAAAAATGGGAAAAGCAGGGAAAATGCTGAAAAGAACGGAACAATAGAAAAAAGCTCAAAAGAGAGCAAACAAAAAAAAATAAAAAAAAATAAATAAAATAAAAATAAATAAAATAAAAATAAATGAAATAAAAATAAATAAAATAAAATTACAATACGTTTTTTAAACAAACTACCATGTTTCGTGTGTACCTATATTAACGATGCATGCAAATTAAAATTATTTTTAACAAAATTTTTATGTACGATTTTTATAAACCGTTTTGATATATCTGTGTCGTAAGACTGTTCATGTGATTGAAAAAGGTTTAAAGGGGGAAAAACAAAAAATGGTAGCACAAACATGTTAAAATCAAACATGTTGAAATGTTACCACACTTTTATAACTTGTTGGTATAATTATCTTTTCCCCTATTTTGTCATTAAGGGCATGCCCACTTTGACATCTTTGATGTGGGAAAATGCGTAAGCCCCGATTTATGCATGTGTAGACATGTACACAAATATATATGTAAGCAATTGTGCATGGTTATTTTCTTTTCTCCCTATGTGTGCATATATCCGAATAACCATTTTGCGTGTGCATACGTTTTTTTTAAAAAAAACCTTAACAAGCAAGCTAATAAAAATAATAAATAAAAAGAAAAAGTAAATAAATAAATAAACAAATAAGTAAACAAATAAGTAAACAAATAAGTAAATAATAATAATATTATATCACAATCAGCTGCTACTGCAAAAAAAGAAAACTCATTTTAGGAATAATTTCTTTCAACATATTTCTGTTATCTTATTAGAGTTGCTGTGTTTAAATTTTGTTAACAGCTAAAGTAAATTATTTTTAAGACAACATGACTGTTCAGAAAAAAAAAAAAAAAAAAAAAAAAACGTGTAAAACGTTCCACATGGTAGTAATGGGAGTGCAAAAATGTGAACATTTCAGTAGAATAATATATTTTTTTTTTTTTTTTTTACGTATGCATAGGACATGTGAAATAATATAAAGAATACATAAAAATGTTGGATAATTTGCGTTTCTAAAATATGTTATTTGTTAATCCTACTAATTAATATATATATATATATATATATATATATATATATGTGTATCCTTTTTACTACCTCTTTTGGCTGCAGTTCCTCCCCTTTCCACTTTGAGAATCAAATACGACAGGGAGAATCTCACAGTTTTTAGAATTTGTTGTCCTTAAATATAAATACTTCATTATGTTCATATTAAGGTCCACTATCTCTTTATTAATTTTGTCCACGTTCTTTTGAAGACTTGAAAATGAATTGGCCTTAGGGTTCAATCCTTCGACAGTACGATCATTTACATTATTGTTAATAGAATTATTAGAGGAATATGAAATGTTAGAAGCAACTGTCTTGGGCAACCCTGTTAATTTAGCATCATTAGAAAATTGCTCGATACCTTTTTCAGTAGTATCTGTTTCGCTCACTACCACATGATGTAAATCTACATTCTCTTTGAGATTAATTTTTAGAAAAAACAATTTTTCTTCAGAGAGTTCAAATTTGAAGGTATTGCTATTTGACATGTTCTCACCACCATTACACTTGTTCCTCCCAGTACACTCATATATCATGCAGTTACCAATCATAACCATAATTTTCAATCCATTGTAGGGGAATTCTATAAAATTCCCATTTTTGCTGCTTAAAAATATAAAAATAGAATATTTGTATATGTTTTTTTCCACAAAATTTAAGGTTTCCATCTCTTGGTTGTTTTTTATGTATATACAGAAATGCACCGATTGTATATCATCAGTTGAAATTTTAAATAATGTAGTCAGCCTATTAATTATATGTCTGAGTATAGATTTGGATATGCGTTCTTCCAAAAAATTAACTTCGTCTACATCTATCAGGATCGAAAACAAGTTCAAGTGGATTTGTGACATTTCTGCTTGGTTTTTCTGAAAAAGAGGAAACGATTTAAATGATGATGGTCGTTGTGAATATATTTTGGAAGCAGCCATTCTTGCGTATAATTGGTACACTCGAAGAATTAGAAAAACGATGGGAATGTATGCATGTGTGTACTTCTGCATTACGGGAGATGGATAGGTGCAGTGATTGGTACAAAGCAAAGAGGCATATAAATGTGCCTTACGCGAATGCAGAACCAGACTTATACATTTGTGGAATAATTGTGTAGGACATTTATCCGAATTTAGTCAGATAAAATAAGTACACAGAGAGATGAAAACTTGAAGGTGTAGAGAGAATATAGAAGAATGTTTTTGCAAATATCATTTATCCCATTACCTTAACATACAAAAGGCAATGATTTAAAGCCAAGTAGCTCTCCACCTCAGATAAAAATCCTTGACATAAGAAAAAAGAGGGAAAATTGCTTATTTCCATTAAGCTAATTTTCCTCAGTTCTTTTACATTCGTTTTTTTATTAACAAGAGAAATGTAAAAATGTTTTACATTTTGTTTTATGGTAGGGGTCAAATCTGTGTGAAAGTTAATGTTTCCAAATTTCTGATGTAGACACGAATCATCTCTGCAGTTGAAATGAGAAAAATTCGATTGAGAAAAAAAATTTTGGTTGAAAAATAAATTATTGAAACCATTAAAATTGATCATATTCTGAGCGTAATAATTATCAGTTGTGCTCGTATTTTTATACATCCCGTTAAGGTTACTATATTCAAAGGAACTATTATTTAGTCCTAAATATTGTGGAAAAGTAGTCGTATTCCCCTTGCTTGTAATTCCTATATTAATGATGTTATCATACACACATGCAGATTCTAAAAACATTTTTGCACGTTCTACATTGAAAGAATTTAAGGCAGCATTTACTTTATCCATATTCACAGTTTTGTTATTTATTTTCAGTTCACTATAAAAATAATCATTATTTAAAACGAACTCTTTATAGAAATAATTGATCTTTTCATTTATTCTCTTTTTTGTAGCAAATATCACATCGAATAGTATGTATGTCCAATATCCTTTTATATTTTTGTTCCAAAAGGAGTTTATAAAATTTGCTATGAATCCTCTCGTTTTATCTCGGCATTTGTATGTGCCTATTCCTCCATGTTTGATGTTTTGAGAATTGTCTTTTAGAAAATGTATGCCTGAAATTTTCCCTCCAGAGATATTTTTTCCTTTTTGAAAAATGAATTCTTTATTTATTTTGCTATGGGGATATATTCTGTGCTTCATCCTAGTTATTTCTATAGTTACATATCCCATTTTTATTTCTTCCTTTTTTTTCCTGTCATTTTTTCCTTTGTTAGATCTGTCATTACTGTAGTAATATACGGTAATATATTTTTTGTCTTTCCGTCTGTCCATTTTTCTTCTTTGATTCATGTGTTTATAAACTGTTCAATATTCTCAACAAATGAAATAAACTAAAAGCAAATACTGCTGTACTTTCCTAAATTATGAATATATTTATTTGTTCATTTGTATATATATATATTTTTTCTCTCTCTTTTTCAAGGTATATATTTGGAGATGGTTTTTGATATTTTCTCTTCATTCATTGGATGGATTTGAAACCACGGAAAAAAAAAAAAAAAAAAAAAAGGATTATCCCTGTTTTTCATCTTACTGTTTATGCAAATTATAAGAATTTATTGGCTATTTCGTATCAGTAGGAGTTGTTTATTTGCCTTGAAAAAAAAAAAGGAATAATATTTTATCTGTGCACACTTACCTCACACATTTATAGTGTGTAGAAGTAATGTATATTTTTGTGTGTTCAGGCAAAATAAATCGGGAGAGCATATTACAAAGTAATAATTTATGTAGTGGGGAGTATTGCACATGCTATAAAATGGTTTTAAAATATCCCTAAATTTTCCTTGACATTTGTTATTATTTTATTTTTTTTTTTTTATCTGAATGCATATGTACTTTAATCAGCATAAATATTTCTATAAAAGATCAACATAAAGTTATAATGGAAAGTTCCTCCCTACCTATTGCTTTACTGAACTTTTGTCATTTTTCAAAGGGTGATTTATCCAGAAGCAAAAAGTTAATAATAGATAAATATGTGTATAGACATACAATATATATACATACACGCAGATTAATATTTTTTTTGGATTTGAATGTGCATGTAAAATATTCATCTGTTTTTATATTTTAAAAAATGAACTCCTCTCCTGTAGAATATGTAATTCTATAGGGAAAATGTCATTTTCCATGTGTGTGGGTGTGTGGTATTGCAATTTTTTCCATTTTTCATGTGCATATTTAACTTTTTTTTTTTTTAAAGAAGCTCCCATTGGTGAGCTTATAAATCATGCTTTCTACATTAATAATATACTTTCTTTTCACTTACGAAATTGTTACTCTCCTATATGTGTGCATACTATGCCATTTGGGGGAATCGTATTTATTAGTTTGAAATCAAAATTAATTATCGGAAAGAATTTGTCATGTGGTATAGGAGAGGTATGGTTAAAAACCTGTCTGGACAATCACACATATATCTTTATTTTTGTTAATGTATTTAATAGGTTGTTATATTATAATAATGTTGTGTCCAAATAATCTCTTTTTTTTTTTTTTTTTTTTTTTTCTCTCACCTTTTTACATTGTTCATCTGCTGCTTTAATTGCAAATAGATACATTTGCACATTGTCTGAAAAAAAAAAAAAAAAAAAATTGGGCATTTCTCACAATGATATGTTAAATGGAAAAAATGAAGTAAAATAAAACAGCTGGATAACTATAACAAGAATTCTAGATTTATATGCATACCATCCTTCATTTCGAATTGAAACAATGGGGGGGGGGGAATTCTCCAGAAAAGTGATATTGTTAAAATATACAGTATTTTATATAATTTTAATTAAATATTTACAAAAGGAGTTTTTTTAAAAAAAAGCTATTTGTGTGCATGTCTATATAACATATCATATGCGTGCTACACATATGATAGCATTTCTTTTTCTGTTGATGAAAAACTGCGCAAAATTTAGCAGTTTTAATGTATGTAGTGATGAAATGTGGGGGTATTAATTTTGGATTCCATTTGATGTGTCCCGCTGGGGCAGGAAAAATAAAGAAAAATGAAAAAGAAAAAATAAATATATATATATATATATATAAAGCAAACTGATTAACTGGGAAGTTCTAAAAGTAGACCTAAATAAAAAACTGTGGTAACACAATATGGCAAGCGCAAAAAGGTACAGGAACAAAAAGCATATTGTTTTTGCGTATCTCTAACGTGGGGAGAAGTAAGTAAGAGATACATGACATATACATGCATCGGGAAAGTATATTATACGAAAAAAAGAAAGAAAAAAAAAAAAAAAAAAAATTCAAAATGGTGCAAAATTGTTCAAAATAGTGCAAAATTGTTCAAAATAGTCACAATTGTTCAAAATGGTGCAAAAACAAGGAGTTGACATGAACTAATGAACACCATGAAAGTGCATAAACAAAATAAGCACATGTTTGGCACAGAAGGGGGGGGAGATCACAGTAAAACTGAGAACTCCATTGCCAAAAGTGAAGAAGCAGATTTAATCATTTTTTCCTTCTTCTCGTTCCTGTTCCTCCATATTACTTTCTTCATAGGAAAAATTATCGTCAGCGTCAAAATATTCACCTAGTGGGCTCCTGTCACTGTGTGGATTTTTCTCATCATTTGTGTCCTTATCATTTGTTGTGTCGTATCCAGCACCACCATCAGGAGACATATCAGTCATGGGCATAACAGTACTAGAAGCAACAGTGTCATAGATTTGCCTTAACTTAACTTCCTTTTCAATCCATTTGATGTTAATTTGCTCGAGTGGGGAACAAATAACAGCGTCATTAGTGTATTCACCAGTTCCAAGGAAAATTCTTGATTTAAGGTTTTCAATTTTAACACATTCACTGTCATCATCTTGTTTCCTCATTTCGTCTTTATTTCCAAAAAACCAATGATCTTTTTTTGGATGCAATGGAGGTTTGTTATTATAAATTTTGCATAATTCATCAGCATCAAAATAGGAAGAATTTCCACTTTGTAGAGTACCTCTACAATGATATAACCACAAGGTATGTACTTTCTGTATATGATTATAATTCGATTTCTTTGATTTGATTAAATTATCTGTACAATTTTTGGCAGCAATAATGTGTGTAACACCAGGGAGATCATAATTCGAATAAATTTTTGCTCCTAATTCTAATGCTATTTCTTTTTGTCTATCTTCACAATCTGATGATAATACATTTTGCGAATTTTTGGAATTTTTTCTAAAACCTGTAAAGTACACACCAACATTACTTAATGTATTTAGCATAATATTATCAATTAATTTTCCTACATCTACTTCTAACGGTCTTTCAAAAAACTGTTTATGTAATTTTAAAAAAACTTTTGTCATAAAATGTAGGTGCATATCCATATCTACAAATCTTTTTTTGCAAGTCGTTGGTTCTTTAAAATGAGAAATAATATCATATTTACTTAATTCAAAAAAATTATAATGTTCAGCTTTTAAAATATGAGAATGAGGAATATCTATCCATACATCTTTTCTATCATCAAAAGCAATTACATATTTAGCATCTACATTTGGATAAATTTTGGAAAAATTTTTATTTTCTTCTCTATCTGCAGAACTACATCTAGCAACAATTCTATCTGCAAAAAGGGTTCTATCAGGATCAAGAATAGCAATAACTACATCTGCATATTCTCTTGTTGCATTTGTATATATCGATAATTCATAGTATAATGATAAAATCTGTAAAAATTGACGTACATATGGTCTAAATTTTAAATAATAAAAAAAGTTATAATATGGTAAAAAAAATTTATATAATTCGGGTTCTCCATTTTCATCTAAAAAATTTTCTAACGGTAATTCCATGTTAAATTTAGCAAATGAAGTAGCTTGTAATAATGTATTATCTAAATCAAGTAACAAAATTAATTTTCCATCTTTCAGTGATGAGTGATAACTATTTCCCCCTTCTTTTCGAAATTTTGTTTTTAATACATGCGGAGAGAGAATTTTAATTTCATGTAATTCGTATATATTGTTATACTTTTCTGGTGGATATGGCATATAGGAATTTATGAACATATCTTCATTTCCTATTTGAGAAAATTCATCCATTTTGTCATCCTCCTCAGATTCATTATTCATATCAACTCTATTTTGTTTTACAGAAGATGTAACTTTTTCTTCTCCTCTATTATCCGATTTTGCACTAATATTAGTATCATCACGATAAGTAAGGTAATTTTCACTTGGTTCAATTTCATTTTGAAATTCTTTATCACCTAATCGTTCTTTATTCTTCATCTCTTCCTTTATATGTATATTCACATTAGATTCATTAAAACAATTCTTCCCATTCATCCGTAGATAATCTGTATACTGGGTATCCATCTGTGCATCTGGAGTTTTTCGATTGATATCATATGGATGACAATAACTCATCATATTGCTGTTCATAGTAAAATGGGATGGAACCATATCACCTTTGTAATGATAATTTATAATATCTTCCTTATATGTATTATCTTTATTTTTTATTATGTCTTGATGGAACACGTTTGAAATTCCATTCACTTCTTGATAATATTTTAAATCATTTCTAATGGTCATCTGTTTCGAGTAAGTAACTGTTGAATTACCTCCACTGTTCGAAAATGAATCTGTCATGTTGGTATTACCATAGGTATTAGAATTGGCATCCATTCCTTTGCTCTGATTATATAAATTGTATAAGGAGGTTTTCATTAAATCCGAATTACTATTTCTATAAAGGCCCATGTTTGATTCGCATCCAAGGGGTGAGGCAGCTGAACCAGATGTTGCAGCAGATGTAGCTGTTACAGTGTTGATCCCATGCATAGATGCTGCTGTTTTCATTTCTATCCTACTATTACTCCACTTGTGGACGCTGTTCCTATCTGTACCCAAGTAATCGTCATTATGGACTTGTACCTCCTCCTGCGAATCAGCTTCATCACTAATTTCTGAAACATCACTCAAATATTCAATATAACTGGGACATTTGTGTTTCATTTTATGCATCTTCATTTCTCTAAGATTCGGTTCTACAGTGAAACTCTCCTTTGTTGCATTGTTATTAGCATTCAATTCGTTCTGAATATTATTTCTTAAATTTTTCAATAGTTCCAAGTTAAGATTTTGTGTGCAAGCATTAAATTTGTTAATGTTTCCTATGCTTGTATGATTGGATTGCGAAAATTCGTTTTCCCCCTTTCTATACGTGTCCAATGATTCATCATATATTTTCTGGTTTGGATTCATCAACCAGTTTTCATGCGTGTTGTCTATATTGTTCCTACTGACAACATTGTTAGATCCGATAGAAACGTTTGTGCTGTTTCCACTCACCACAGATGTGATGCCCACTGTGCTTGCATCCTTGCACATATTTTCTATCTTGTCTTTGTTGATACTATTTCCATTGTTCGTTTTTTTGCTTTTAATTCTATCAAAATTTACATAAGAATTAAGGTATTTATTTAACGAAAAGGTCATATTATTAAACGATTTTTTTTTCATGTTTGTGTATAAATTATTTGCATTACTGTTTCTGCCACTTGGTTTAATTACTCCCCCAGCTACCACGTCTGATGTATCGCTGGCTATGTCCTTGCTTGTTGCATTCATTGCATTATTCGTTGTTACAGCATTCGTTGTTACAGCATTCGTTGTTACAACATTCACTGTTGCATCATTCATTGTTGCTGAAACTTCATCCTTATCGTTCTCATCTACGTCCAAATGGTTACTGCTCGTCTTTATCATATTCCTACCCAAAAACATGTGTACTTTTTCACTCTCCTTATTGGCATAAGAAGACGAATCGTTGTTTGTTTTTACATTTCTATTGACTATTTTTAAGGAATTGTTACTGTACCTTTTTAACGAGTCGTTAAAAAATTTATAATAATTTCTTTTCTGCTTGTGTTTATAAAATGTGCTTGTGTCAAATTTCACATTTTTTCTTTTTTTTCCATTATTGTTATAGTTTACATTTACAATAATTTTATCATTTCGATTCATGTGTATGTTGTTATTTGAATGTGGCATTTCTTTTACCATAATTTGGCTATTCATGATTTTCACGTCTGATTCTTTTTCTCCCTCGAGCGGCACACTAGTGCTTACTCTGAACGAGTCATCATTATTGTTATCATTATTGTTATCATTATTGTTGTCATTATTGTTATCATTATTGTTATCATTATTGTTGTCATTATTGCTATCATTATTGTTATCATTATTGTTATCATTATTGTTATCATTATTGTTGTCATTATTGCTATCATTATTGTTGTCATTATTGCTATCATCATTATTATTACCAACTTCATGCTCTAGTTGTTCCATACCCGAATCACCATTTCCACTTATATGCTTTTTTCCCTTGACCTTATTTTCTTTATCAGTGCTTAAATTCCCATAAAGTTTTCTATTTTTTCTTCTTTTTCTATTTTCGCACAGATTTTTAAAATGAACTTTATTTTTCCCTTGATTATTTCTTGTGTGATAATCCTCATAAAATCCTTCTTCATTTGGTGTATTAAACATATCCCTTGTCTCATTATTTTCATTTTCATTTTCATCATTTCGATGGTAATATTCATTCAGTTGATTAACCTGACCGTATGGGTTCTTGCGGTTGTATAGTGAGAATGGTCTTTGTTGCTCATCCTCATTGCTGATTTCATTTTCATAAGAGATAGTGTTATCATCAACGGATGTACCACCTCCATCAATGCCATTATTCTTATTCTCTTGTCTAATGTTTTGTTTTGCCATACTATTCTTCATCTCACTTTTGTTAAAATAGTTGAATCGATTCCTAGATGCCTTTGCATTTTTGTTAGTTTCATATTGGTTACTCTGGTAGTTACTTTGGCTGTTAATTTGGCTGCTACTTTGGCTGCTACCATTATTGTTTAAATTTGCATCACTTGTATTCACATTTTTACTATATGGAAGGGCAAAATTCTTGCCATTCATATTATTCATCTCAGGCTTATCAAGAAAACCTTCCTTATATGGATAAAAGTTCCTTGTGCTTTCAACAGCGGAGATGTTTTTATTTTCACTGGTAGGGTCGTAAATGTTGGTTCCCTTGTCAGCACTGTAATTCCTGCTGCAAGAATTGTTTATATTATTGTAAACCTGATTCTTTACAGAATCTATCATGATATTACTATCGGTGCATGTGACACCGGAACTGCTAGTAACAACATTAGCTGCACTAGTGTTTGGTTGATAACTTGCACTATTAAATGATTCGTAATTGTGTATATTATTTACACCACAATCATAATCGTTATTTCCTTCATTCATTTGGTTTTCATTATTCATTTGGTCATTTCTCGTACTACTGTTTTCATTTTCCCTCAAATTGTCCCCGACCCCACTATTACTACTACCTCCTTCATTGTAATATATTTTATTTTTGTGTTCCCCCAATGTAGATGCAATTGAATCAACCTCTGCATCGATAGAACCTTCCCTTGCTTCCATTTCCAGCATGACAAAAATATGAAATGATTGAAGATAACAGGAGTGTTAACACATGTATATTCACGCAAACAACCGTGTATAAATCCATGTATGAACCACACGTCTATGCATGCGTTATCTTACCGCTTCTGGGGAAAACTATTAAAAAAACAAAGACGTATACAAAGAAGCAAAAAAAAAAAAAAAAAAAAAAAAAAGAAATTATATTGGTCTAACCCCTCTAATGTTTAATATCCTTTAAAATTATGTACCTTGATACTTTTAATGAAAATAAAAAGAAGAAAAAAAAAAAAAAAAAAAAAAAGGTATTTCGCTGCACAACTGTGGTGCGATACTAAAACCTGAAATTATATTAAAGACAGCATAATTGTGGTATTTATTTCGTTTAAATTATATTATTATTCTTTCTCCTTCTTTATCCCTCTTATTCTTATTCTTATTCTTTTCTTTTTTTTTTTTTTTTCTCTCTCTATCTCTCTGTTTCTGTCTCTATCTCTGTCTATTTCTCCTTTTTAGCAAATATTTTTTTTTATTGTTAAATAATTACGTTGACTTCTCAATGTCTTGTTCTTTTTCCTTTTCCTTAAAAAATAGATATACAAAAAGGTTGTCACCTTAAAGGTTAAAACTTTTTCTTTTTTTTTTTTTTTTTTTTTTTTTTATATCCCTTTCGATTATTTCGTAGCTACCTTGTGCGATATATCCACATATGGGAAAAAAAAAAAAAAAAAACAAACAAGCGAAGAAGCGAAGAAGCAAAAATGAAAACAAGTACAGAAGCAAAAAGAAAAATTGCACTTGTATACTGGTACAACACTGTGCATGAACAAAACTGAGAAAGGTGCACACAATCCCTCACTTTGTCCTTTTATTCGTTCATATAAAATATTACAATTAAAAGAAAAAGGAAAATAGTACAAAAAATAAAATGAAAATGTAAAAATCTAAAAAACACTACATAAATAAATAAACTGATTACTTTGATTGTTGTAATTTTCTTTAAAAGATAAATGTAGATATTCAATATTCATATAGAAAAAATTTCGTTGAACTTAATTTGTTATGGCTGATCTTGAATGCATACAACATATATGCATGCAAATATGCTAAACACGGGAACATTAAAAGGGGGAATTTACATATTTGTAAATATATCCTATAAGTAGAAAAATACTTAATCCAAATGGTACACATATAAGCAAAAATATATTCGAAATACACAGGTTGCAATGTATTAAAATTGTACGCATTCACGTATTGTTTACACGTACTTCAATACAGCACGTGGTAAGGTAAAAAATTGAAATATGATATATATATATATATATATATGACTAAAGGGGAAAATGAGCAAAAAATATTACATGCAGAAATGTACACACAAATATGTGCACCTAAATTTACACATAAAAAGAGTAATGCAAAAAAAAAAAAAAAATTAAAAAAAATAAAAAAATCACATGAGCTGCATACATCTACGTGTTCAATAGCTACATGTTTATATAATTAAACGGGACACAAAATACAAAACCTCTGGAGGAACTAATGCTTACACGTTCGTCTACATAGCAACGCACATGTATAACTATACAACTGTGAATAAAAAGTACATTAATATGTTTAGTTCGATTTTGCGTATTTATATATTGTTGTAGATTCTACATGGTTGATAAGATGGGGGGAAAAAAAGCAAGCATATATATTTGTGGGCATGTAAATATATATATATTTACATGTGCACAAATTAGCTTTTTCCTTTTGTATGCCATTGCACCCCCCCCCTCCAAGCTTGTGATTTAGTTTACGTTCCCCTTATAACCATTCTTTGTACAAGTAAAGAAAATAAAAAAAGTAAAAAAAATTAAAATATTTCTCTTAAAATTCCTTCTTTTTTTTTTTTTCTTTCCTTTTACAGATGCAAAAATAGGTTACATTATAGAATGCACAAATTCATTATATTCATTTTTTTTATATATATACACAGATGTGGTGCACTTAATTGTATAATACGGTATGCATTATTCATCTCAATTCATTAAATTATGTCCCTTTATGAATATAATGAAAATTCCACAAAACGAGTATATTGTATGTATCGTTTCTACTTTTTGCAAAAAAAAAAAAAAAAAAAAAAAAGGGATTCGTATATGGTTAGGAGGTTAGCAAATGGGTATTGCATATAATCATATGTATATATAGTTAAAAACGTGCATTTCGCGCTGAAAAGAAACAAATTTCTAAGATAAAAATATTAAGCACAGTTTTTATATGCACGAAATATAAAATGTTTTATGTAACATTAACTTATATGAATGTCTACAAGATATGCCATTTTGACTTTTATGTAGTATTCTGATAAAAGTTCAGGGTTTCTGTGTGCGTATGTGAGTGGGAAAGGTGAGAAGGATGATGGGTGCATAGTATATGGTATTTATATAGTGCATGAAATATAACTATAGTATAGTTGTCTATATATAAAGAGCTATATTTAATGTAACATCAAATGTAACGAGAGTTATTAAAATATTAGCGTTATATGTGCAAAATAGCATGTTTATACTCATATGCCCGTGAATGTATAAAGGTGTGCGACATGAGGGTTATGCATGCCTATATATATGATACAAAAGTGCATATGCATAAAACGTACAATAAACTCTCTCTTATAAACGATGCAGAAATGTCATCGACTTTATGAAGTACTGTTTTATGCTTTAAGAATAAATCTAAAATTAATTTTAGAATAATATTTTTATTTACTCTTTCATTCTGTAGCAATATATATATATATATATATATATTTTTCCCCCTTTAAATGGCATTTGTCTTCTCTTTGTGATATGCATATAATGATGTACACCAATGTAAATATAATTAGTCCATTATATTCATAATGAACATGTGTATTAATTTTTTTTTTTTTTTTTTTTTTTTTTTTTCATTTCATTCTTGCATGCATACATGTACATTGGCAAATATATATAAGTGGACACGTGTGAGTTGTATTGTGTTTGGTCTCATAAGTGTTTTTGTACATGTAAAAATACATATATAAACATGTTTATATATACTTATATATATATACGATGAGCACGCATTGTGAATTTGTTTTATTTTTATTATTATTTTTTTTTTTATTTGTATGCTTAGAACCTGAATGAAAAGGGGAAAAAGTACATGTTCCACTAGCATACAAATTCTGGATTTACACAATTGTGGAAAATAAATATAGTTTGCCTCATTTAAGTTAACTGTGGCTATTTTATAAAAAATTTTAAATTAAAATATACTCAATGATGTCATATTCATATGAGCATATACGTGGGCATAGTCACTAGGATGTAAGATTAGTATAACATGCATATATAGCTATAATTCATACAACTTGGCACATTCGGGCACTACTGTTGTTCATAGGGGTATATATATATATATATATTTCCCTCCCTGTACAGTAGATACAGTTTAATCTTTTATAAAACCTTATTTCATTCCTATTATTTCACCAAAGATTTAATATTTTATTATTATTTTTTTTTTTTTTTACATAATTCTTATTGTAGCATATGTACTATTCTGCTTATCGATACCCAATTGTTACTAAACTTTTTTTACATTTTTGTTTTTCGATCAGTGATCTTGTTGGACATAGGTACAGATGCGTGTTTATGGGAAGATAATACAGAAGTGTAATCTCTGTTGTGTGGGTGGGTGCGTGGAAGGTGTATACGCACGTGTATCAGTAGGTACATCCACACATGCACATATATAACCCATATATATACGTGTGATGTACCCACCTGGTATATTCTATACAAATACAAATAAATAATCCATATTGCAGGAAGGTGTATTGTAAAGAAAAGTAACAACAATGGACGTGTTATATACATAACGAGTACGTGTGCAGTTAAGATACGTATATAAGATACATGATAGGACGCATGTAAACATTCAATCAAACATGTAAAAATGCAATCAATAAAAGGTGCGTAGTCAGGTGTACACGACGTATATATAAAACACCAAGTAATTATGTTTTCATGCTCTCTAGGAAATGCTTATAAAGAAATTATAAAATTCGAAATTTACTTGAACAAAAAAAAAAAAAAAAAAAAAAAAAAAAAAAATTGTGTTTCTTTGGGGATCTCATATATACATAATGATATGGAATAAGTATTTACTACGAATGACTTTATTTTTATTTTTTTTTCTATCTTTTGCGTTTTCCTATCAGTAAAGGTTAAAAAGTAAGATATTTTAAAATTGTCGTTAAAACAGTGTAAATTTTACTCTTTATTAGCCATGTTTATTATATATATATATATTAATTGAGTATAAATATATATATGTATATATATTAATACGATTTTATAAAATTATTTTGCTAGTACATTTTGAATATATAAATCATGTTAGCCAATTCAAAAGAAAAAATGTTAAAACGATTTTGTATACATATATATATATATATATAATAAAAGGGTTGTAATATTGTAAAAAAAAAAAAAAAAAAAATTCTTTTTTTTAAATATATTCTTTGGGCCTACTTTAATCAAAGTTTAACGCTTTTATGTTTTTGTTTTTTCGTTCGTTTTTTCGTTCGTTTTTTCGTTCGTTTTTTTGTTCGTTTGTTTATTCGTTTGTTTGTTTGTTTTTTTTTTTTTTTTCATTCCTCATTAAAAAAGGAGGAAAAAAAAAAAAAACCCTAAGGGAAAAAAGTACTCTTGCGTTATTATAGCAGTTTAACGATTTATATATATATTTATAATATTATGCATATCGTTTTTTTTACTTGTCCTTGCTGTAACTGCTAATGTTTGCATATTTATGATGATGTGGTTTATTTGAGCATCACCCATATTTAATATATATTATATTATATATATATATATATATATATATATATATATATAAACGCAAAAAAAAAAAAAAAAAAAAATGTGAGTCAAGGTGAGGTTTTAAACATCGGTGATGGTGGGTGGATGCACGTTTTATGGTTATGTACGCATAATGGGATTGATTATATATATGTATTATGAAAATTTTGCAAATAAATCTAAATAAATGAAAGATATTTTATTTTTAACATTAAAACGAATGAATAAAAATGGCAGTACTAAAAAGGGTGATGAAAAAGTGAAAAAAAAAAAAAAAGCAAAAAAAAGGATTGCGCATGAAACATATTAAAAATTTTGCATCATAGCTTATTAGCAGCATCATAAAAAAATATATTTAACATTTTTGTTAAGAAATAAAAAAAAGCATATTTAATGAGAAATTGTTCCATATGTTAAAGCTTGAATGTATGTTTTGCATATATATATGTTGTGTATATATATATATATATATATATGTACAAGTGTATATATGTATATATGCACAGAAAGAAGAAAAAAAAAAGTACACGATTTTCTGGATTATTATGCAAATAAATAATAACACTCATTCAATATCGAATGAATAACAGAAGAAAAAAATGGAAAAAAAATTGCTTTAATGTGTTTGAACACGAATGAACAAATGTTGCATAACACACGTGACTTTATGGGCAAAAGAGAAATGAAAGCAAAAAAAAAAAAAAATGTAGAATTAGAATAGAGAAGAGAAGGGCAGCATAACTTAATTTTACATTCAAAATTATTTGACATATTTACATATATCATCATAATTATTATTCATATGTACATACAAAGAATGGTTATATACTTTTATTTATGTTCTATGACATGTACCACCCTTATGTAAGACTCTTCGATTAGCACATTCTATATGTGTAGTAAATGATCCAGTGAAAAAAAGAATATATATAAGACATTTATTTTTTTTTTTTATTTTTTTTTTAGTTTTATTATTATTTTTTTTTGTTGAACATTTTTATTTCTACTGAATTTTTTTATTTTTTTTCATCAAAGAATCAAATATGTAAGGAGTCGTAAAAATAATAAGCAAAATTATAAAATAAAATTAGCATTCCTGTTATGTTATGAAAATAATTATTTATCCTTGCTAAACTTTGCTGATTGTTAGGTTGCTTTTTTTCTTTTTTGTTTTTTTTTTTTTCATAAGTCCATTTTAATATGTTCTTTTTAAGTTTAATTGGGGATGAATTTTTACCCCCTGGTGTTATTATTTTATTTTTTTTTATATAATAATTTAGTGAAATTTATAGCAGCAAATGTACATAGATTTAAATTCGTTATGTATATACAACATATTTTAGCACGTAAGTAATCTTAGTGATAAATTGTACATATATTCTATCTAAGGAGAGAAGTGGGAAATAAAATCCTCGTTCCTTACCCTTAGCACATCATATAAAGAAATAAACGTAAAAAAAAAAAAAAAAAAAAAAAAAAGATCTACATTTTTGCATACATGGGGGGAAAAAAAAAAGAAAAGAGTGATTCATAGAATTTTTCTTCTTCTAATATAATGTAAAATTTAAACATATGTGCATTGGTTTTTTTCAATAGTCCAACTTTGCAGTAAGTGGTTTTTACACACATTGCACTTTAATAAAAAAGAAAAAAAAAAAAAAAAAAAAAAAAAGCGTTGCCCCCCATCATGACAAATTAGAAATGGTAATATATTTAAATCTTATAGCTTAAAAATATACTGGACAAAATTATTATCAAGTGATGGGGAGAGGATATGTGTGATGGTCGTAAATAACTACCCATTAGAGCTATTAAAAGAACAATACAAAAAGTGGAGAAAGACAAAAATAGAAGAAAAAATCTACCCTTTATCAAGAGTCTTAATATATGTAAATCATGGTGACAACAGTGTAAATATTTGAATCTTCAATAATTTGTTAACTTTTTCATTACCCTTATTTGACTTTTTTATTTTTGTTCTTGTTCTTTTGTATACATATTTTGAGGCTTTTTGTGTATACATGGTGGAATAATATAATAATGTGGTGAAAGGAGTCGAATATTATGATAACAACGTTTTAGGAAAAATTCCCTGCAACAATTTTTTTTCATTAATACTTACATATTTTTGATTATATATGTAAGTTATACATGTGTTTTTACGTTAGGGACATTTTTCGATTGATTAATTCTTCATTTGCATTCCAATTAAGAATGATTTACACATTATTTGCTGCTCTTAAAAAGGGAATATTAAAATAGAAAAGACTATGCTCGATATGTTTTCAACCTTTGAGAATTCATATGCGACATTTCCGCCTATGGAATGTTCCTCTCTCCACTGCACCGAATGAACCATACGCATGTATGTATGTACGTACGTATGTATTTATGTATGTACGTATGTATGTATGTAAGTATAGGTAAATGTTATCGCGATACAGAAACTCGAAAGGGGAGCATGTTTGTGTGGAGACGGTGAGAAAACTTCGTAAAAAATATTTATATACCCACTTTTCACTGTTCTTTTGCTAATTTTTTACATATATTTATTGCCACATGTTTATCTCTATCTTTGACATTATTTCGACTAGTGTAAAATCCGGAAGAGTAAAATATAACATAACAGAACAGGGGGCACAGATGATGATAAGAATTCAATCAACTGATAAATGAATAGCATATAACACTCCTCTGATATCTTAGTTCTTTTCTTTTTTTATGTAAAAGAGGTATATTTTTTGCATCCTTATAAATTGTGAAAAGACAAAAAAAGGAATGCACAATGTTGCTCTTTTTAGTGCTATATATTTTTGTGTTTGTCGTAGCATTCACTTGGGTAGAGTGAACATTCCTCTTAGGAGAATAGCATAAAAGAATTCATACAAAAATGGGGAAAAAAAAAAAAAATAAAAATAAAAAAAAGCTTATGTAATTATTACTTGTGAACTTGCACCACGGATCTTATCTTGTTTCTTTCCACCTCTTTTTTGCCAAAAATAAAACAAGTGAATAATAAAATCTTATTTATTGCGTTTGCGAAAAAAAGAAAAAAGAGTTGCCATGTATGAAGTTAATTTTTTTATGATATCAACTTTTTCGTTTCTTTCCTTTGTAATTTTTTTATTTTTTCCTTTTTTTATTTTGCCTTACGCTTATTAAGAGAACATTTTTCGAGGAACATCATCAAGTTTTTTTTTTTTTTTTTTTTTATCTCCACGATTCATGTACCTTCTTGGTGAATGAATGAAGTTTCATAAATGCCCCATAAAAAAAAAAAAAAAATAATAATAATCAACGTACATGTGACAAAAATATTCACAACAAAATGTTTACAAGTATATATATGGGAAACATTTTTAGGAGAATAATATTTTATTAATTTGTAAAGGGACACGAAAGGATGGGCAAATGGCTATGGACACCTGTTCATAAATATATACATGGATATACATGAATAAACATGAATTTATATATATATGTATACATGTGTTTGTATATGTACATTTTTTCCCTTTTACAATAAGAAGTAGCATATTATATATACTTGTTGATAAACATTGTTAGAGGATTTCCCCGTCTACTAATCTTCTATAATATGGTATTGATTGCCTTCAACACCTTTACGAAAAGACCACTTTGATAGAGTTTAATGCAAACGGATCTAACCCAAACATGTCACATTTATTTCATACATATATGTGAAAGAATAATCCCCCAATACGCTTCATAAATAAGTTCCACCAGCTTAATAATATATGCGTCTTACATAATATTAAGGTGGAATAATAAAATTTATCTAAAAACGAAAGAAGTAAAGCTAAAAAGTGGTATATTATATAACATAAAATGTCTGCATTTGATAGATTTAACATTCATGCTCAGTTGGAACATTTACAAAGTAAATACCAAGGATCTGGGCACTCCGACACAACTAGATGGTATACCGATGCAATATAGAACAGTTTAAAAATATATATATATATTTACATTTATTTTATATCATATATGTATATATAAGCATGAACGGACGAACTAGTGCACATTGCATCGAGAAAAAGATATATTACTTCATTAGACGCCCAGCTTCAGCAGTTTTCGTAAAGCAAATTATATTTACATGGTACATTTTTTTTTTTTTTTTTTTTGAAATGTAGGGAATGGCTAACCAATATTCACAGAGACACATTGGCATCTCATGTAGGACATTATTCTAGGTATTTTTAAAAAGGAGACTTCTAAAATTAGTTATGCATATCCAAATTAAGTAAACAGTATGACCTTGCATAGATATAAATTTTATTTTCAATCCATTTTGTAATGAAACATGAGCGTGTATTCAAATAATTTTTTTTTTTAAATTACCTTTCAGATTAGCTTATTTTGCCATTGTAGAGAATGAACCAATTGCAAAAATAAGATATCGCTGTCTTCAGGTATGCCCTTTTTGTAGATTCACTCTGAATACATTTTTATATATTATATTGGGTTATTTTTGCGTTTAATGGTGAAGATACAATATTTAGGCAATATTTTTTTTTTTTTTTTTTTTTTTTTTCTTTGCAGAATATGTCCCTACCAATAGTTCCAAATTCAAAAAAGGAGCCAAAGCAATGAGAATTTATTTTTCTCCCAATTATTTTTTCATATGCGTGTTACACAATTAATTATGCTATTAATTTGATTTGTCCAAATATATATATACAACTTTTTTTCGTTTTATCATTTTTTTTTTTTTCAAAACGGAACCTGTCTGAGTAAGCCTTAAAAGATAACATAAAAAATGAAAGAAAGAGGTATAAATGACAATTTTTAAGCATTTCAACAAATCGTATTTTATTTGAAAGAATACTGTTTACTTAAAAGTACTAATGTCTTAACAAGTTGAAAATTGTGTTAATAATTGTGTTAATAATTGTGTTTAAAATTGTGTTAAAAATTGCGTTAAAAATTGTGTTAAAAATTGTGTTGAAAATTGCTCGGATGTGTTTTAAGCAAGTTAGAAAAAGCACGTTTATGGAATAAATGCCGAATGTCTATTTTACTTGATAAACTATTTTCTCCTTTTTTATCTGCTTAAGGAGAAATTCCAACTTGGTAAAACATTCTTCATGTGTTTAAGGTCTGTTAACATAGTATGTCAGACAAAAAAAAAAAAAAAAAAAAAAAAAAGAGTAGTTTTTAAGTCTAATTGTTCACATAATAAAGGTGGGATGGTTTTCCTTATATGTAACCTATTTAAACAGACTAATCAAGGATCTGTTTTTAACACTGAAATGATTTTCATGGTTACAGTATCTGTAGTATATATATATGTATACCCATTTCTACTTCGTTCATGCATATGAGTGACTATTTTGACACTTGAAAATGAGTCGACGAGGGGGTAAAAATGCCAAATGCTGTTTTGAATTTAGTTTAACCAAGCGAAAAAAAAAAAAAAAACTGCTGCGAATTTCTCAATTTAATACTTATAAAAAATACAAATAATATTTTACTATCCAAGTGGCACGAGTGGGACGAGGGCGATATTTCTTATTAGGTGTTAAAATTTGTCCCCACAAAAACACACTAAAAAAAAAAAGGGAAAAAAAAATTGTAATGCACAGGAAATTAAGAAGGTTCATGTGATCTTTTATCTACCTATATATGTACATATATTTTTTTTTTTCCTTTTTCTTTCTTTTCTTCTCTTTATGGTATAATTACTACATCGGAAGTGATTATTCATGACAAAACAAGGATTATCATAAGAGATTCGCACAATAGATTAACATAAGAGATTCGCACAATAGATTAACATAAGAGATTCGCACAATAGATTAACATAAGAGATTCGCACAATAGATTAACATAAGAGATTCGCACAAGAGATTAACATAATAGATTCGCGTAAGAGATTAACATAATAGATTCGCGTAAGAGATTAGCATGCGAGATTAGAAAGAATAGGGTAGAATTCATTTTTTTTCTTTTTGTTTTGTCACCATTTCACTTTTGAAGCATTTAGGGGGCCCTTTTTTAGTACTATGTTGCATAATAAAAAAACAAATCCTACTAAACTTTTGACTGAAAAAACGTCACTAAAGAATAAATTAAGTGAATCCGGTAGCTATAACAATTCAGATGAAACAAAAGAAAATATAAAAGAGTTGAGGGAAGAGTTTATTGCAAAGGTGGAGAGAAAAGGTGCAAAAGAAGCAGAACATCACACGAAAGAGGAAAAAAGCGAAGGAGATAATAGCACATTGATTGAGTGTGAAAAATTGCAAAGAAAAGAACTAGAAGCATTAAAATTAATTTATGTGAGAGATAATGAGTTAACAATTCAAAATGAAAATGATAAAAATAATGACACTGTAATACACATGCTTTTAAAGGATGAAAATATGAATGATAATGTTATAAAATTGATTTTTGAATTACCCAAGGATTATCCCTTAAATTCCTTTTTGCTCATTAATATAAATGTAAAAAATTTCACACCTGACATGAACAGTTATATCAATCAGGAAATATATAAAGAAATGCAAAATTATATAGAGCAAGAAAATAGCATCTTAAATATCATTTATAGAGTAAACGAATTGGTGGAAAATATACAAAATAATAACGGATCCATTCTTGGCTGTAGTAACTCCTCATCAGATGAAAGGGAGGAAAATACAGGTGGTATAGAAGAGGGTGAAGAGGAGGAAGTACAGGTGAGGAGAGATATGCTAGAAGCACAAACATCACTAGATCATTCAGAAGAACACCTAATTAATAACAACTTTGCATTTCTCTATTGTAACAAAATGTCACACTTCCACCACAGAAAAGTATTAGCTAGACGTCTCTGCTACTCTCATCACATCCTTAGTTTAGTAAAAAGAACATACATAATTAAATGGGCGAAAGAATTGAAAATTGGGGGATATTCAAAAATTGGATACCCAGGCATAATTATATGTGAAGGATCAAAAGATGAAGTAGATTTTTATATTAACAGTTTAAATAAACTGAGGTGGAAACATTTCGATTGTAGAGGAATGGAAGATATTGTCCTAAATGAGTATGATGATTTGGATGATGCTCGAGTTCTTCCAAGGACTATGTACGAACTAGACTCCAAAGGGATGAGAACTTTGTCTAATATCTGCACTGAATGTGGTTTACGAGATCTTTTTTTAACAAGCATGAAGATTTACAAATCTGGGGAAAAAAATTCCACGGCTGATCAGGGTAAAAGTGCGAATATCAATAGTAAAGAAAAAAATAAGAAGAAAAAGAAGAAATGACAACATGCACAAGGTGAGAGGCTGCATGCAGTATAAAGCAGAGTAAAAAGACATGAACATTTAATCGGTACATAAAATGGGGAAACGGCAATTTTTCCTATTGGGGCTGTTACCCTTTTATTTGTTTATTTGTTTTTTTTTTTTTTTTTTTTTTTTTTTTTTGTTATTTTTTTATTTTTTTCAGTTCCTCTTGTTGTTTCCTTTTTTGTTTCCTTCTTCTGCTTCTTTTTTCTTTTTCCTTAATCCATCCTTTTTTTTTTCGTTCTAATTACGTCTTCCCCACCTGAGTTTACGCGTAACATAAATGTTATCGTAAAAAAAAAAAAGGGGGTTCTGCACAGGATCATGCAAAAATAATTTATGCTTGAAATTGTATATCTTTATGATGAAGTAAGAAATGATATAATATTAGCCCTTTTACAAATTGTTAATTTTTTAAAAAAGGATTATATTCGCAGACTATACTTTTACGCATGTGTCCAATGTGACAAAGTTGTATATGTGTGTGCTCTATATGCATGTAAGCATTGTTCAAAAATAAAGGCTTTACTTTTATTAGCTTATTTAGAAGAAAAAAAAAAAAAAAAAAAAAAAAAAAAAAAAAAAACATGTTGGAAACTCATATACACATGTATATGCGTACGTTTACCCTTCTATGAATTAACACGAGTGTGCACATACAACCTTATGAGGACTCAAAGGACATTTATGCTACGTTTGTGAATATATTCATGTATATATATATATATATATATATATATATATATATATATATATACAAATGTATATGTTTTTTTTTTTTTTTTTTTTTTTTTTTTTTTAACTGTGTCCTATGTCGTAAAATGACATGCGCACATATACGCTCACATGTTATTTTACCCTTTTTGTAGAAAATAAAATTATCTTATTTTCAGAATAAAAAAAAAAAAAAAAAAAAAGGAGAAGGAATGACTAACCTAGCCAATACAACATTTTTACTTAATGTGACTCATACTCAAAATGTTGTAGAGTAAATTTTGTTAGATTTTTCATGTGTAATTTGTGATAAATCATGGGAATGTACAAATATATATGTGTGCATATATATATGTTTTTTTATCTATATGTGTTTATTATATAATTCTTCGAATATGTACACTTTTTTTGTCTTTTTTTTGTGACAACAATTTTGTGCTAACTTGTTATCCCCTTCTCAGCATGAACTTATTTTTGTACGCGTAGGTTTGGAATGGGTAGAAATAGTGTTCGGTGTGTTATACGTGCACTCGAAATTACACGCATGCTAATGCATAATTCCCCACTTCTATACATGTCTTTTCATACTTGTATGTACCTCTCTAGACATTTTTCTATTCTACTGAATTGTAGTTTTTTTTTTTTTTTTTTTTTTTTTTTGTGAATGCAACTTTGTTGTATACCGTTGCAAAATATTACTGCAAAAAAAAAAAAAAAAAAAATTAATGTCACCAAGTAGTTAATCATAAACCATGCTGGGATAATCCATGTCTGTGTTTAGTAACTATGTTAAGACTTAGAATAAGTACGTGTCTACTTTTTACAACTTTTATTTTTATATACTCATTGAGATACATTATCAACAGCAGTGGTTGTCTATTCTCAATTAAATAATTTTTTATTTTATTTTTTATTTTTTTTTTTGAGGGTGGAGGGGATTTTAAAGTATCAGCAAAATTTGAATACTAGTATGTTTTAAAATCTCAACAAGGGAAAAGAGGAGAAAAAAAAATAAACAAAACCAGACAACATAAGACAAGATAAAACAAGACAAAAAACAAGACAAAAAACAAGACAAAAAACAAGACAAAAAACAAGGCAAAAAACAAGACAAAAAACAAGACATAAAACAAGACAAAAAACAAGACATAAAACAAGGGAAAAAACAAGGCAAAACATGAACGGGTTATACAAAAAAAGCCAGTTAAATGCTGCAGAGGAAAATCTCTGTATGAGCTCAATTTTGAGGAAAAATATGTTTAGTAGATATGAAATAAAACCTAAATATTTTAATGTACCAATATATCAAATTAAAAATTTAAGTAACGAATGTTTCGAAAGGGTGTCGAATAATTCATGGTATGATACTAGCAGCTTTAAGAAGAAGAAAGGAGCTTATTTATTTTGTAGAGATGTCAAAAACAATAATTTGGAAAACAATAACAAAGAAATTTCTGACTCTAATGAGGAAAAAAACAATGGAATTGAAATATCAACAAATGCTACTAATCCTATGGAGACAAGCATTGAAGGTACGACGAAATTAGAAAATTGTGGTGGTACATTATCGCCACTTGTATTATGTAGACATATAAATGATAAAGCATCAAATGATAGTGAATTGAAAAGAAAAAATGTAATGCATAACTCACCTAATGATGGAGCCATAACTGTTAACACGACATCAGGAGCGCATACAAGAAGAGCAAAAATTAACAAATTGGAAAAAATTAACAAATTTGGAAAAATAAACAAATTGGAAGAAATTAACAAATTGGAAGAAATTAACAAATTTGGAAAAATTAACAAGTTTGGAAAAGTTAACAAGTTGGGAAAAATTAACAAATTAGTGCATGATAATTATAAGTTTCCCGAACATGCAACTGCACAAAGAAATAAGCCAAAATATGACATTGCCCATGTTGAGAAAATGAAAACGAAGAACATCCACCCATTTATAAGTAGTTCAAATAAAAAAAAAGAAACAAATATTGATCTTTGCAAATACAGAAAAGAAAATAATTTTAGTAGTTATCCAGGAAATGACAACACAAATCAGAATCACGTCCCCAATGAGCACATAGAAGAAAAAGTAACTTCATATGGACACAAATTATGTACACTTTCGATAGATGAAAAAATGATGTCTGATAAAAATAGGAACTCATATTTCATATATGATGTTAAAAAAATGAAAGAAAAAAACATCAATCGGATTGAGACAAAGAAGAAAAATATGAGAGACTATTTATATATTACCCATTCTATGGGAGAAGCAGAAAATGAATCTCACCTCCATTCCTATTTGAGTTCTGAGTCTGCATCCGTTAGTAAGATACAGAGTAGCAGTTTTAATCACAGGGGTAAGAAAAATGAAAAAAAGTCTATGTCATTTGAGGAAGAAAAAATGAGTAAAATGCTTAACTCCACTGGAAATACCATGTCTACATCTAAAGAAATCGATATGAATAAAAAACCATTCAGAAATTGCAAGCAAAACAAAAATAATTTGGGGGATGAATTAAATATTTTCCTGAACGAAAGCAATAAAGGAGGTACAACAAATGAGGAATGTTTAGATGCCAAAGTGTTTGGAAAATCCATCTCAGATTCCAAGATAGAGAAAAAGCAAAACGGAGAAAATCATGTAGCAGTAAACAAACAAATTATCAGTTGGAAGAGTAGAACAAGTGGTAAACAAAAAATGGATATGTACTTGGAAAAATATGAAACGAAGAAAATGGATTTCTCAGAATGCATGATGCTTAAAGATGTAAGTGTTGATCTAAATATAGATGTAAATGTAAATAATTCTAAGAACTTGGAAAAGTATATAGCAGTGTCTAAAAATGTATTGGAGGAAAATCCAAGGTTACATCTGTTAGATGCAACTGGAGATGAAAAAATAAATATCCATCTACCTGTTAATACCAAAATGTATTTTATCATTGATTTTAAGATATATAAACCAATATTTATGAAAAATGTTAGTCAGATAAAGGTATACATAAATAATAAACTACTTCAATGTGTTTACATAAATGAATATCCTCAGAATTTTTCTGTAGTTGTGCAGAACACGGTTAATATCCTTAGCGAAAAGTTACTAGCCAAAATGAAAAATAAGCTAATTAATATAAAAGAAACAAATGTGCTAAAATTTATTTATCTTAATAATGAAAAAGAAATTGGATACTCCTATGTTAGTATTAAAAATTTAGTAAATTCAGGGCTGGAGGGAGGAATGTTTATCCCAGTAGATGACAATAAAAATTCTAAAAAACAGAATCTAAAAAAAAATGAATTCCTTTTTTCATTCCACACTCCTCCATTCAACAAACAAGAAATTAATGTATTAAAATCTAAAATATTTATCAACTACAAAATGAACATCTCTAAAAGTCTTCATGATTCCATTTTAACAGGTGAAGTTGTAACAGCCAAAGAAAAAATCATATACTTGGAAGATATGGTTCGACAAATATACACCTTCATTCAGGATTTTCCACTATTGAAGAATGCAAAAAACGGAAGAATTACAAGTGCAACTAATAATCAAACTTCAGGAAATCTAAGGACAGCTAGCCAAAAATCTCCCACGTGGGATAGAACCAATTTGATCACTCAGCAGGTGATGAGTAACGCCCAAGTGGAGGGAGAAGTGGAAGATGGCTTAGAAGTGGAAAACGTAAGCAATGGAAACAGCTTTAGTAGAAGTCCTCGTGTATGCAATGTAGGTATGAGCATACGAGAAAATGACAAACGGATCTGTACAATTGATAAAAGCATTGACATAGACCCCTGCAGTGATGAACCTAAAAATAATCTCCCTGTTTGTGGAAACTTCAATAATGTTGAAAATGGAGAGGAAGAAAATGGAAGGGGAAAAAATGGAGAGGAAAAAAATGGAGAGGAAAAAAATGGAGAGGAAGAAAATGGAGAGGAAGAAAATGGAGAGGAAGTAAATGGAGAGGAAGATGGGGGCAAATATAAGAATGTCAATATATCAGAAGAAACTTATGCGAATATCTCTAGCACGACTCACCACGAACAGAATTATATGCATAGTGCGATAACAAGTGCCCAAATCGGAGAAATTTCCCCAAGTAAGAATATAATGGTGGATGGGATGAGCAGCAGAGGTCTAATAAAGGATGTGGTAAAAATAAGATGTGCAGACAATGCAGGGAGTACATATCACGAGGTTGAAGAAAATGATAATAAACATAGTGGTAGTGATAATGATAATGGTAGTGATAATGATAATGGTAGTGATAATGATAATGGTAGTGATAATGATAATGGTAGTGATAATGATAATGGTAGTGATAATGATAATGGTAGTGATAGTGATAATGGTAGTGATAGTGATAGTAATGAAAATGGGCCAGATGTAGGGAGGGACGACCTTATGAATACCCATTTTGAGAAAATAAAGAAGGAAGATGTAAAAAATATGCCAAATAACATAACAAATATGAAAGAAAAACAGTTAAAAGAAAAAAACGATTATGGAGAATATGGCAAGAATAAGCATATCCCCATGAGGACAGATAGTCATCAGAAGAAATTCAAAATGAATTGTGGATTTCCAGAAGATAGTAAAAATAAACAAATAGAATTCCTAAATAACATCATAGAAGAGTATAAAACGGAATTAGATGTAAAAATAGTTGAAATACAAAAATTAAAACACTCAAATAATAATACCAATATTCTTTATAAAGCTTGTTATAAAAAATTAAGAGAAATTGAAAATAATCTTAAAAAAACCGATACAATGAATTTCTTGCTTAAATTTGATGATTCATATCAAAATAAATTAGACAGCCAGGTGAGCCAAAAAAAGGTATATACAGACACAGATGTAAGGACGAGAAGGAGGAGGAAAAGGGGAACGAGGACGAGGACAATGACCATGGAGAATTCAATGAAAACGGATTTAGTGTCTAGAAATGAGGAAGAAAAAAGTGTTGTCAGAAACATTAACCGTTTTAACGTCACAGGAAGGTGCAGCAGCGCGTATGGAGCAACGATGCCTAATGTACTACCATATGGAGGAGAAAAAATTAACAAAAGGAAAGAAGGAATTCAAATGGAATCTGTTAGTAGGAGAGTAATGAAATTATTTAGAGGGGATTTACGAGAAAATTCACAAATTGAACAAATGGCTACAAGAACGAGAACGATAACAGATGAGAAAAGGTATGCAAAACATTACACCCACATGAGTAATTATGAAATTAAAGAAAAAAAAATTGAAATACTTGTGAAAGAAAATGAAACATTAAAAGATAAAATAAATAAGTTAAAATCAGCTGGTGAATCATGTATTAGTAGAATACCAACAATCAAGGATACATATGCTACATCAAATGGAAATGATAAATATAAATATAAGAAATATTCAAAATTAAGAGGTGTTCAGCATTATTGTATGAGTTCAAACTTATTCGATAAATCAATGGAAAATAAAAATTTCTACAATGATGCAAGGGAAAGGAACAATTACAGCAATAATACTAGATTCAACTTGCCTCTTAATTTGATCAAAAGCTATTCTTATAATCCAATTTTGCACAAAGACTGATGAACAAATCGATCAAATAGTTCAAATTGGGAAGGATTTTTTTTTTTTTTTTTTTTCACACACATCTGTGCTTTTTTTGGTCTGAGCTCTAAGACCATTCTCAACATTTTTTATGTGTAAGGGATGTAAAAGTATATATATGTAAATTGTTGTTAAAAAAAAAAAATATATATATTACATACCAACCTGATTATTCACATATTTGAGCTGAACAAAATTTTTTTCTACGCCAAAAGGAGGAGCATAAGCATGTTTAAGTGTATTTTTTTCCATGCATTCATGCATGTCTGTCTGTCTGTCTGTCTGTCTGTGTTTGTTTGTTTGTTTTTTTTTTTTTTGTGAATAAATTTACATGAATTCTCTTGGAAAAAATACAAAATAGTGAACACGTAACATTAAGTTCTACATTACAAATAGAAGCATGTTATATATATTAACATGAACGAAATGATGGCTATCTAATATCTTATCGCCACATCCTCTCCACGCATTTCAACTAGGTAATATATACTATAAATATATAGCTGTTTGGGTAGTTTGTGCGAAAATCAGATTTTCTTTGGTAATAAAATTAATCAAGGAAATCTATAAAGAATATACTAATTAGAACTTTTAAAAAATAACAACACATGAGTAAGCACATGTAGTATAAATGCTCAATAAAACCTCTTAAGTTAATTTCCTCACTCATGTCTTTAGAATTAATACAGCAGTGTTGAAAATGGAGTAAAATATCAATCGAGTTTCGGTTGTATAATAAATATGGATATGTACAGAAAAAAATGTGTTTTTTTTTCTTAATTACATAAAGGGGGGCAGACGCAGCAGAGTAGAAAAATGGGTTTACAAGAATGGACGTAATAAATATATGCATATAATAAGGGATTTTTTTTGCTCTGGGGGTATCAACTCTTGCTATTTGGTTTGCTGCCAAATATGTTCTCGTAAAATTAACAAAAAAAAAAAAAGCTGAAAAATAACTTTTCATAAATAAATCAGACTAAACTTGTATTATTAAATTGTAGAATAGATTAATTATAATTCTCAGGCGTCTAGACACATCTATAGGTGTCACTGGGTCAGAATATATTCAAAGGGCAAAGTTCACTGTGCTGAAGGATGAAAATAGAGGGCTACATAGATGTAATACAGGTTCACTTTCAAATGGAGAAAATATACATATATATATATATATATATATAAAATTACAAGAGTAATAACAATAAAAGGAGGTGAATAAAGTCAAACAGGAATTACCCATTTTTGTTAAATGTGAGACTAACCAATCAGGTTATACGGTGATGAGGTAGCTCTCGAAAATTTCGATATTTATATACATATATACATTTTTTTTTCTTTTTTCTGTAGTTCATTAAATGCACATGTATACTCTGACACGATCAATTTAACAAGTAAAAAAAAAAAAAAATTTAAGAGTTCCATTTCGTATGGTTATATATATAAAGATTCCTAATATATTCCACTTTAAGACAAAACTTCTAGTATTTATTTTTTTTGAATAGTTCATACATCCGCTCCTAGGTACTAATTCTTGATTGTGCACTCACAGATACCCCTTTTTTACCATTCCTCTTTTCCTTAGAGTAGAAAAAAAGTGAATATCTATCTTATTCAAATGCCCACTTGCGCATTTTGGTTTTTTAAGTTTCCTCTCCATTTTATACATTTCACTTATTCTGAAGCTTTACCTTACCAGAGCTATGTGTCTTGTTGTGGCTTTTTTTTCTTAATGTTCATATTTTTGTTCTTATGTTTGTTAGATTCCACGTCACTTTTATGTTTCGCCCCTAATGGATGTGGTTTGTCGTGTCGTTTCTCTCCCCTTGGGTAATCATTTGTAGTTATACTTTCCTTTTTGTCTTCTTTAGTATTGTTCGTTAGCTCATTTTTCTTCTTTTGAAAGGCCTTAACGAGATTTTTTTGTTGTGATTTTTTTTTATTTTTTTCGCTATTTTCGTTATTTTCACCATTTTCATCATTTTCACCATTTTCGCTATTTTCACCATTTTCGCTATTTTCGCTATTTTTACCATTTTCGCTATTTTCACCATTTTCATCATTTTCACCATTTTCGCTATTTTCACCATTTTCATCATTTTCACCATTTTCGCTATTTTCACCATTTTCATCATTTTCACCATTTTCGCTATTTTCACCATTTTCATCATTTTCACCATTTTCGTTATTTTCACCATTTTCATCATTTTCACCATTTTCGCTATTTTCACCATTTTCATTATTTTCACCATTTTCGCTATTTTCACCATTTTCATCATTTTCACCATTTCCATTATCTTCATTGTTGTCCATTTTTGCAAAATAACTTTGTCGTATATTCTCCTTTTCGCCTTGATCAGATACAGATAGGCGCTCCCTTGTGAAATTTTGATTTTGCATTTTGACTATTTTGCTTTTAAGAACGGATTTATCTCTCATGTCTTGAGGAATTTCTTCCAAATATGTATTGTAAAAAGAAGCCATTTCATGAGAAAATAGTAAATCATTTTTAACATGGCCACTAGAAATAATATTTGTGAACTTTGAAAAGACATTTTCATCTTCAAAATATTTTGAGCACAAATGGTTATCTAATAATTCGTAAAAGACATTTGTTAAATATACAGTTGGACATTTGAATGTGAAAGACCACCCACTAATGAGGAGCGTTTTTTTTTTATCTTTCATTTGAATTTCCACATCATCTTCTTCATTATTATTAGATTGAACAGTGGAAGAATTCTCAAAATGATCCTCCTTCACAACTTTGGAACTTGAATGAGGATGGCCATTCTTGTTGAATGAGGCAACTGTTGGTGACGTGTTCGCAGAGGATAAGGAGTTGGATAGTGATGTGGTCTTACCTGTTGTATTTTTTTCTTTAGAGTTATTACTTTCTTGTTTATTATTCGATCTGTACATTCCCCTGTTGTGGTTTGGATCTACGTCCCCACTAGTAGCATCAGCTGCATCTGTTGGGTCAGCTGCACAATCGATGTGTCTCTTGTGATGATCTACTGAATTCTTTTTTGAATCACTTTTACATTTGACAAGCTTAAATTCGATGTCATCCATATAGTAAGACCATTGAGGAGAAGCATCCTCAGGATCTGCGAAAAAATGAATATATCTATCCCAGGTGATGACTATTACACCCTCAATACATTTGTTAAAAAAACCAACACTCGTTAGATGACCTTTGATATTTGAACAGAATAAACAAAGTATTGATTTGACATTAATTTCGCTGTTATAAAATATGATAGAAGAATTAATTAAACTTAATGCATTGTTTAATTGTGGTATGGTATCACAATTATCATTAAATTGAAAAGGGGAAATTTTTTTGATTAAATCTTCATCATCTATCATGCTCACAGAGGATAGATTCTGAAACTGTGCTGTATCTATGCTTTTTTCTAATAAAATAGAATCATATAAAATATTCATATTATTTAAATAGAAATTTAGAAAACGTTTATATAAAAGTATATATGAACATAAAATGTCACGAACTGTATTTTTTTTCCATTCAATTAATTGAAAAAATGTTTTTACACTTGTGTATATAATGTCTAAATATTCATTTTGTATTTTTAATAAATCTTTTACATTTTTTAAATATTTTCTTTGACATAACCATGAACATTTTATTTTTTTGCTATCCTTTATTCCATCTGATCTTATTTTTTCTGAATTTGAATAGCTATTTTCAAAATATTTCCAATAAATTTTACATACATCTAACTGTTTAAGGAAATCATTTTTTTTCTTTTTCATTATTTCTATTAAATTTTCTTGTTCTTTCATATAACTATCTCTCAGCATAATTAACATTTTTTGATTTATTTTGTTATCTATTACATCACAACTTATCTTCATGCTTTTCATAATCTTCGTGTAGTTCATGAACCCGTACTGAATCCATTCATCTATGACGTTGTGGTTCAGGTTGCACATATATGAGCTCACGTCGATAACACGGTCTGCAATTTCCTGAATTCTGTTTGATGTGCTACTCCAACTGTTTTTATTTAAAAAAGGTTTATTCGGATCACATTTCTGGGAATAACCTTGAGTGGAGCTACAAGCGATTTGTTCTTTTTGTTTGACGATTTCTTCCTCTTCCTTCTCTCCATTTTCATCATCATTATCATCATCGTCATCATCTTCTTCTTCTTTTGCTTTTGCTTTTGCTTTTCCTTTCTTTTTTTTTTTCATATTTTTACCCTCTTTCTGCTTCTTCCCTGTGCCATTCCATGAAACTGCATTTCCTTTTTCCTTTTTCTCATCCATGTTCATATGATCATGACCAACATTGCGATTAGACAATTTGGTTATTTTGTCTTCGGATGAAATAGACACAGTTTGGTTTTCTCCTACTTTTTCCATTTGATTATTGATGAATTCATCATCTGGAATATTTAAAAAACTTTGCGTCAAATTATTTATTCTTGTATTTCCTAAGGACATGGTTCTATTATAATACACTGTGTCATTTTTTAGGAATTCCCTAAAAAATTTATTTAAATTGTTAATATTATATGTTCCATGTTTTAATGCTTCTATCATTTTTTCAATTATTCTTTCGAGAAAGTTTAAAAAATTGTTAGTGCAATTTTCTCTGCTCTTATGATATTCTGTCATTTCTATAAAATAATATTTTTTGTACACTTCAAAGAAGTTTTTCTTTTTCTCATATACACTATTTTCATTGTCTTCATGCAAGTTGCTTTCCTCTGTACTGTTTCTAACATTAATTGGATTATTCATTTTCTCATTCTCTTATTTTGATAACTTTTACAATTATTTGTAGAATTAATATTTTTTTTTTTTTTTTTGTCTGGACTTTTTTTCCTTTTTAGGATGCTCCAGCAGATCTCCCCCTAAGATCAATGCTTCACTTTTGTTTTGCTGATTTTTTTTTTTGCCTTCTTTTTATTTTATTTTATTTTTTCTTTTTTTTGGCATATCATATAAAATGCATTTTACGATTCTCTCACAAAACATAAAATGGATCCGATATAACAAGGCATTGGCACATACCTCCTCTATGATTCAATAATGAATGATATTCCTAGATATAGTCCAATATGATCACATTTATTATTCCGCATGTCAAATCTAATGGTATACATACGGTCAATGGGTGTGCAACAAGAAATACTTGTATAAAAATACATACAGGAAAAAATTAGGTTTACTGAGAGTTATACAAAATGAATATAATTTAACTAGAGCGATCAAGTTTTATTATAAAAAAAAAAAAAAAGTTCAAAAGAAATGAATCTTCACTGAGAATATGTCATATCAATAGGCGTAATCTAAATATATCCAGAGGGAAGGAAAAAAAAAAAAAAAAAAAAAGGGAATACAGATATGATAATTATAAAATAAAATAAGGCATGTTACAAAGGTGTTAAGTATAACCTTATGGTGAAGCAAAAAAAAAAAATGGAAAAGTGTAAAAAATCATACATAATAAACACATGCATATCTTCATATATAAAGTACATAATATATGTATGCATACTAATGTATCACTTTATTTTAAATAGAGAAAAGAAGAAAGTAAACATGGCTATAGGATGAATTTGAGCTGAGTTCCTTCTTATGTATTGCCTAAAATTACGTTGTATTCCTTCATCGATTTAGCTTTTTTACATTTATTTTCACCTGATTTCATTTCGATTGGATATATTTCATTCCATCTTATTTCATTTCACTTCACCGAATTCAACATACTCCATTTTACCTTTTGTTCTCTAAACATAGTTTATTTTATTTTTCATGCTTGCACACAACTATATCTACTTTCCTTTGTTGATTCCTTCTTTCTCTCTTATTGAGCAGGAAAAAAAAAAAAAAAAAAAAAAAAAAAAAAAAAAAAAAAAAAGAAAAAGAAATAAAGAAGTACCTTTTTGCTTTTATTTAATTTTGGATATATTTTTTTTTAATGAAGGTATCTCTACAAGAGGAGATTTAAAAAGGAAGAGAAACACAAGTAAAAATTCCTAATGATGTAACAAAAAACAACGGCACACGTAAACTTTACACACGAACTGATTACACCTCTAAGATATTATTCAAAATAAGAATTATAAAAAAAAAAAAAAAAAAAGACCGCTGTTATGTGTTTATTACTCTACACAGCCAACCCCATTACTTCATACAGTTATATGTGACAACTTGATGAAAAGTCGATTTTTTTTTTTTTTTTTTTTTACAATTTAAAATACATTATATTATACGTTATGTTATAAAAAAAGTTGTAACATAAAAGGTGAAATGGATAGAATTGTATGAAAAAATGGATTGGTGGGACAGCTTGTTAAAAAAAAAAAAAAAACTACAAAACTGCAAAATTACAAAGTGTTAAAGTGAGTAAGTCAATATATCAGGAAAATGCATTTTCTTGTGTACTAAGAAATCGCATGCATATTAAAATAGAATGAAGCAAAATAAAGCAAAGTAACGGAACGGGACGTAAGGGGGGGCGACTGTTTCGGCAGCAGTGTACACTTAGTAGACATACACACAATTGTGCAAATTAATTAGTGCTTAAAATTGTAAGGATAAAAATGAAACAGTAGTAAATCTGTTTACACATGTAACAATTGATGTCGTGAGACGTATTTATACTTTTTGCTATGCTGATAAATATATGTGCCATTTTAATTAAGGCAGTTAAAATAAAAGCAATTTTATTTGAAAACCATAAGGGGAAAAATAAAAAATAAAACAATTGTTCTAGTTGTAGAAGTAGCTGTAGTTGTAGAAATACCACTAGTGGTCGTAGTAATAATAAAAAATATGTAAAACATAGAAAACATACAACGTGGAAAATAAAATTAATAATTTGTAAAATTTTATTTTCTGTCTTATTTTGTGAATTCGCAAGGAATGGATAAAAGGGAGAGAATTCCATAGGATGTAATGTTGGATAGGACAAGTAATTGATTTAATACACATTCACACACACACACACACACACACACAAAATCAAGAGCACATGGCTCATACCATAACAAGCGTATAAAATGGACTCATAATGTGTATCCAAATAATTATTCCTCTTAAATATAGCCCCTTTTAAAGCCATAGTCTATAAAGGAAAAAACTGCGGATGATAAAATTGAGTAACTACCTATTATTTTATAATTTGATGCACTTTTATATATACTTCCTGCGAGAAATCCAGCTATGGAAGAATTGTAAACTTCATCATTTTTTGTAAATAATTTTACAATATTATTTAAGGCATAAAATATCATAGTCAATGAAGCCATTTGGTTGGCAACACTTGGTCCTATAACAGACGTGGAATTCAAAACTGAGTTTAAAAAAAGTTTTCTTGTTTTCCCTCCTTTCATAATTCCACTAATTAGTCCACAACTACCGCCTAGCAATAGGCCTGTAAATAGTAAAAAAAAAAAATTTTTATATGTGCATGTGTGTGTACGTCTAGAGGCAGTTTTTTTTTTTTTTTTTTAGAACACTTTTCCGCATAAGAAATGTTACAGGGAGTAAAAAAAAAAAAAAAAAAAAAAAAATTCTTTTTTTTAGGACTATATACATGCACTTGTCAAATATTATTCAACGGAAAAATGAGTAGAGGGAAGCCATGTAATGTACAGGCCTCCTCTACGAAACCATTCCAGAAATGCAGAAGTATAGCATAGCATAACCGAATGGTAGATTAACCGGTTAGTATATTAATAGGTTATTAGCTTATTAACTTATCAGCGTATGTGTGTCCACCTATGCAACTGGGGAATCACCCCAAGAGGTAATGCTGTGGTTCGCTGTTCACATCTTACCTGAGCCATATGCCAATCCGACACTGTAAACTAATTTTTCCCCCCACTGTCTACCATATCCTTGAAGGTATAGATTTTGCTTGTCAAGCGATAATTTCTTTTCTGGTTTTTTTTTTAATATTTCTAAGTCATAATTTATTGATCCTGTTTTTAAATAATCACCCATTATATTCTTCTTATTTTTGCTGTGTAGTTTTTATCACTCATTTATTTTATAATAATGAAGTCAAATGGTTCTCTCTTTCCCCTTGGTTCTTTTCTGCTTATTTTTTGCTTACTCTTTTCTTATTTTTTGAGCACTCTTTGCTTTTTTTTTTCCTATATTTTGCCTATTTTTTGCTCCTTTTCGTTCGTCTGTCCTTTACCTGATTTATAGAAAAGCATATACTTTGCTGCTACAAATTGGGGAGCAAAAAGTGCCCTTAATTCTCTTGACTAAAATGTATTTAACAACAAAGTGTATAAATATATATATATATATATATATATATAAATGTAGGCCAGAAGTTTTGCTACAAGTAATTTCTGAAACTAGGAAAAAATCAGGGGAGCACAAGAATAATGAGAAATCCATAAAGCCTGTTGTTTTTGTACGTATATAATAATATAACCGGATGGGGGGTTATTACATATTCATAAATTGCAAAGATATTTATATAAAAAAATTACACAAATATACATGATATTCCTCTCTTCTCTTGTGTCAACTAGTCAAGTTACAAACCGTATTTCGAAATTGTTTCCTTTTTGTACATTCAATTCCAGAAGCGGTTACACTTTTTGAGCAAACAATTTGAAAACCGTATTACTTTCTTTCTTCAATTATTATGTTTTTAAGGGTATGCACTTTTAATAAATAAAATATAAGTATGTGTTCATGAAGAAGAAAAATTCCAGAAATGTTAATAAAAGTATATATTCATATAATATACCATATAACATATACGTAAAATGCACAAATGGGCAATGGTTCCACTGTCGTGCATAAAAACAACACCAACGGGGGTAATATGTTTCAGTGCTCCTCCTATATTTTATACACATATATATATGTACCTATGTATGATTGCATGTATGTATATTTTATTTCAGCATCACTCGTGCTACTCCTGCAACGGAATAAGAACTTAATGAAAATAAGGATTAAAACGATAAGGTAATTCGTCATTTTTATATGGCAAGCCATGCGAACAAAATTGGGATTTTTTTTTTTTTTTTTTTTTTTTTTTTTTTTTTCAGATTCGTATACATAGCATAATTCATACAAAAAAATTTTTCATCCTTATAGCGGCGAAGCAATTTTTTTGCCTTGTCCTTTTTTCAAAAAAAATAAAATAAAAAATAAAAAAAGTATAGGCAAAATTAAAAATAATCTTTTTCGTTGTAGTAAAAACGAGCTGTAAATAATAAAACAGCTGAATTTAATTTTTATATCATTTTTGCTACGGAAATGAATGCGGACGTAATGGAGAGGGGAGGGGGGGGAGACGAAGAAGGATAAAGAAAAAATTTTATCTCTAATATTTGCTTGTGTTTATAAAGCTTAACATATAACGGTGTGTGTACAACGGTAGAATAATATATTAGCATGTGGAGGGTCGATATTATAGGTTTTATGAATACAGGGTGTTTTTTTTTTTTTTTTTTTTTCATTCGTTTATGTGCAGCAATTTTGTAGGCACCTTTTTTTTAGGTAAGAAATAAATTTATTTATTCTCCACAATAATGTTACATATGTTATATATTAACTTTTTTATATCTCCTTTTTGTCTGCTTTAAGTCTTTTTTTTTTTTTTTTTACAACTATTGACAAGCAATAAAATTATGAAATTCTGCGTATTCCTTTGGATGCCAATTATACTATTTCGTTTATTTTTTGATCAAACTGGGCGTGTGTTTATGTTTAAGTAAGATACAGGTAGTAAAAGGGTGAGTCTGTTAGTTCAGGTACCATTAGAAATGTTCATTCTGTATATAACATTTTATTATAATAAATTCTTATTTCATTTTTTCCATTTTCGAGACGAACTCCCATAATACATGAAACAACTTAACGCACATAATTATTCTTCATCTCCATCATATCTTCGTCATTTGTTTTTCGAATTCTGATAGGCAACTATAAATTTTTATTTCCTCACCCTATCGAGTAGTAACTACAATGCATGAAGCGGGGAAGACATGTAGATTTATTTATGTGTAAACATGAATACAGTTACATTTTCCTGTTAATCAATTCTTAAACATGTCACCTCATGTGTTTATCTCGCGCACCATACTTAATACGATATAAAAAAAAGATGAAAAATGGAACATTTTCGCACATGTTATCTATCCCTATGTATGGGGGGTGGTGATGAAGAAAGTCTTCTTGTGGAGCAGTTCTACTTAACTTTGTACCATATTTTCAGTATTGATAAACACAGTTATGTGAGTTAGAACATTTAATTCTCTTCAATGAATAAAAAAACTCTTTGTTCTATTTTGTACAAAAAAAAAATTTTCTCCATATGTTGTCCATTACAAGCCCTATTTCGATAATATCTCCAAAAAGAAATACACACACAATGTGGTGAATAAAATATATGTTATGTAAAAAAAAAAAAAAAAAAAAAAATTGTTGAAGAGTAAAAATGTTCAAAATGCTACACAAAAGGGTAAAAAAGCAAAAATAAAATAAAAACCTTACATGTAAATTTTCTCTGTTTGTACAGAAACAGAATTAATTGTAACGGGCGCCTTCATTAGTATAACAAATGGCAGCTTTAACATAATACATCGTGTGTAGAGTCCTTACCCCTATATATTTTATATTCAAAAAAAACTGGAAATAATACGACCTTTGATAATTCTTTTTTTTTTTTTTTCCTTTTTTTTAAACCGAGAAACTACAAAAAGGGAAGAAAATCCATATCCTTTCAACTTCACTTGTTTAAAATGCATTTTGCTAAATATAAATGATGAATGAGTATAACCTTAATCTTTTTATGCGCTTAATGTGCATGTTGTTCTAGATTACCATTCTATATGTTCGTTCCTCAAAAGGGACTAGAACCCAGCGAGTGGCGTATACACGATACAAGTTCATATGCACAGCGAGAGTTTATATGAACAATACATGTTTATGTGCACAATGCACGTTTATATGACAATGCATAATTTAATTGTTCAATAATATGAATGTACTTTTTTAATTTTTTTTTCATTTTAGAGGAGATTACTCTCTCCTATTATTTTTCACTTCTTGGCACAATTTCACATGCATTATTTTTTCTCATTTTCCTTCATGTCCGAAAAAATAAATAGCGGTTTTATAAAAAAACATAATCCTAATGGTACAGCATAAAAACGAGAAGGGTAATTATGTATATACATATATTATGATATACATGTATATATACCTTTATTAGGGCACGGAACTGACGAATGGAAAAAATGATTCTGAGTTAACGTTTTAGAAATACTGATTTCTGTACAACTCGCTTACCATATTTTGTAATATTTTCTTTGATCTATGCCTTTTTCCTTTTTTGTGCGAATTTTATAGCCATTTTTGTTGCATTTTTATAGCTAATTTTGTTGCATTTTTTTTAGCTAATTGTGTTGCATTGTTTTAGCAATTTTGTTGCATTTTTTTTTTTTTTTTTGATAATTTTATTGCATTTATTTAGTAATTTTGTTGCATTTTTTTTTTTTTTCTGTACTTTATTTGACGACTTTGGTTATTTTTTGCCTCCATTTTGGCCGATTTATTTTCCATTTTAGTCGACTTATTTTCCATTTTAGCCGATTTACTTCCCATTTTTGTCCTATATTTATTCATTTTTCTGCCACTTTTTACACTTCTTCCGTAACGTTTGATCTCTCCCACTACGTCTGCCCCCTCACCACCATCTTTTTCGCATTCCTTTTTTCCCGTTTCGTTTCTCTGAGTTTACCGATTCCCCACTTTCGCAAAATTGTGTGCATATATATATATACATATAAAACTCTGTTTGCCTTTTCAATTTTCCATTTGTGTAATTTTTTTTTTTTTTTTTTTTTTATTCTGTGCCCCTCTTCATGTAATAATAGAATGCATATATACAGTAATATACACACAAAAACACAATATTGCATATACTCGTATACATATATACACACACGTAATAAATTTCGATTGTGCAAAGTATTCAAAATAGAAACTAAAAATATAGTATATATAGTTTGAAATATTATTCTACTGTTTTTTTTTTTTTTTTTTTTTTTTTTTCGCCTCGCCTTGCCGCCACGCCCAACCTTTTTCATATTATTATTACCACATGTGTATAAATATATGGGCCACCGTACGTCTATCTGCACACTTTGACATTTCTATAAACAATCCTCGAATTTATGTTTCTTAAGAAAAACTCCAACGTGCACATTGTTCACGTGTATTATTGCGTATCTTTACAGGGGTATACATATACACACATATATATATATACTACTAATATGTACATATACACACACATATATACACATACACTTATATACATATACTACAAATATATACACATACACATATAAACACACATATATACACATACACATATAAACACACATATACACGCATATACTTATATACTTACACATAGAGAAAAGGAAAATGAATGTGACATCTCGAAGTTCAAAGGAGTTGCTACGTCTGCAAAAGGTAATGTACACATTTGCAAAAACAAAATCCTGAAAGTGGGATCGGGATCAGGATCATATCTATTGTAATGAATTTACATGGATGACTATTTGTGTATAGGGGAAGGAAGCCCCATACACATCTCCATGACATATACATTTACGCTCTAATTGAGCATCTATTCGTGTAAATTTGTTGACCAAAAATAAAATGAACATTCATTTGTGAGGAATGGAAAAAAAAAAAAAAAAAATAGAGTGAATAAATAATATTAATGCACAACGTCCTTTTCTCTTATGTGACATTATATCAGGAGTTGAAAGACATCGAAAATGAAAATGTGCAAGAAATAGATGCCCACGTAAAAGATTCTAATATTTCTGAGTGGGTTGGTTTTATAAAGGGCCCATCAGGAACTCCTTATGAAGATGGTCATTTTATTTTGGACATAACTATACCTAATGATTATCCATATAATCCTCCAAAGGTAAGTAATCCCACAGGACTATTTCACAATCCAGTTGTCTGTTTTCAGTGCAACCGGATGAGCAACGGGAGATGTACATAATGAGTTCAGATGTCATTACGTGGGATGATCGTAGAAAAATAAAACCTTCCCTTTTTACGTAACAAAAATGTTAACATATACGAATACATTTACATGCATATATAGGCACGTGCATATGCACAGACAGACACACACATGCACATACACTTTTGCTTACCCATTTCAATATAGATCAAATTTAACACAAAAATATGGCATCCCAATATATCAAGCCAGACAGGGGCAATATGTTTGGACGTTTTAAAAAATGAATGGAGCCCTGCATTGACTATTAGAACTGCACTTTTGTCAATTCAAGCGTTGTTGTCCGATCCACAGCCAGGTATATGCGAATATTGAGAGATGCTTCTGTGGAGACATATATATAAAGAGAGAGAAGGAGGGAGAGACACTTTTGTGTGCGTACATCTGTCCTCATTGCTAAGGAATTAAAGAATGTAAAGAATTTTTTTTTCTTTTATTAATCCATTTCCCCTTCCCTTCGTAGACGATCCTCAAGACGCTGAAGTAGCAAAAATGTACAAGGAAAATTACTCCCTCTTTATAAAAACAGCCAGGTTTTTTAATATACATTTTTAATAAATGCCACACTTTTCTTACCACTTTTGAGAAACGTACAATGAAAAATCTTTATATTCTTAAGATTGTTATTGTTTTTCTTTATCAGTGGTATTTCTTATTATATTTTGTTTTTACATTATTTTATTTTATTTATATATTTATATATCTATTTGTATATTTATATATGTATTTATTTTTTTTTTTCAGTGTGTGGACAAAGACATTTGCAACAGGGCCGAAGCTCGAACCAAGAGAAGTTATTGTAAAAATAGAAAAACAAAACAGAAAAAACGAATTTTATTATAAACTTTGTTGTGTAATTTTTTGCTAGTGTAAATGGAAATGCATACGTACATACATACTAATATATGTAAATAAATAAGGACACATATTCATTCATTTATTTATTATTTTATTTTTTTTTTATGTCCCATTCAGATTAAGAAGATTACCGAAATGGGATTTACCGAGGACCAAGCAAAGGTCCCTAAGAAAAGATTCGAACATTCATGCATAGAGAGACATGTGCGAAATGTGTACATGCACATGTAGAGAAGAGAGAAAATATATCACATTTTTATTTTCACAACACAGGAAACTTCTTTATCGTGTTGTACAAAAAGCAGTTTTCTTTCATGTTCTCCCATATTCACCCAAACAATTGATATAATTTTTTTTTTTTTTTTTTTTTTTTTTTTCCCCCTCTGCAGAATGCTTTAGTGAAAGCAGATTGGAATGAAACATTGGCACTAAACACCCTTCTTGAAAATTCCTAATTTTTGGACATTTAAAGCATCGTTTACTCCTATTACAGTTTAGTTAATACACAACATTTTTATATACACTGTATTAAATTAATAACCTTGTAAATTTTTTTTTTTTTTTTTTTAATTCAAATATGATCATTTGGTTGCTATTGCATTTTGAATCCATAATTTTTTGTTTACACATGTTATAACACCTTTTTAATAAGGGCATATTTATGTTATTTTCTCTACTGATAAATTTGTTTAAAATTTAATAGAAAACTTTCTTCTTTAAAGAAAATTAAGATTCTTATATAAAATAAAATAGTAATACAATTAGGAACACACACACACACACACACAAAAAAAAAAAAAAAAAAAAAAAAAAAAAAAAAAAAAAAAAAAAACATTACATATATGTTTTTTGTGCACACACATATATGTATACATTTCTCTTAAAAGGAAAATAATAAAATGTAAATCTTTTAATCTTTTCCCTAAATATTCCAATTCAACATCACAACCTGCTATACAAATACGGAATTTATCCATGATAGTTTTTTTTTTTTTTAACTCGATTAGATTATGTAGTGTTCATGTTTATATTTTTTTTTTTTACAAGTCAATCATATTTTTATTGTAAAATAGAGGAGGACTATGCCTTATCCGTTGCAAATGTTGATATGTGAGAGAAAAAACTGTTGTTTTATGAATACCAGGTTTTTATCCCTGATGCATATGCAACTAGAAGTATTTTTCACCTGAAATGTGTCAAAGTCTATACGTTGGACTACTGTCAATGGATATATATAGTTTGTATTGAAAAGGAAAAAGTGTAGTTATGCCCTCCTACTATATTCTCGTTATACTCCATTTCTTCTGCTTTCCTGTCCCTTTTTTTTATTTAATTTTTTTTTTTTTCGAAATATGCAACACCTAGAGAACTCAGACACGTTATCTTATATCCTCCAAAGGGCGCTACCTCGCGGCAGCTCATTTTAAAATAAACAAGGGAAAAAAAAAAAAAGAAAAAAAAAAAAGTATTCATAGCACGTTAGATTCAGAATTGGAAGATTAACACAAATTTATTTTTCTGTTATGTGTTAATACACATTTATTTACAATATGGAATGAACAAATGCTCTTGTTGTATTTATTTCCCAACTTGAAAAAATTTTAGCTTGCGTGTTTCGTCGATTGGATGCTTTGCAGTGTGGAAAATTTATCTTTTGTAAGTGTAATCCTTTTTGAACAGTTTTTCCTGTTTTATTTATATAGATGGGAAATTTTGCAATTCACGAATTTTTTAGGTGAAATTACGTGAGCCCCATTTGGTCATGAATTTGTAAATTTCTGAGGAAAATAGAAAATTCCCAAATATTTGCTCATTCTGAGCAAGAATAGAAATATCCACATTTTTTTAAAAAGGTGAAATAAAAAAATTTGCCAAACAGTTTAGTAGTGTGTTGACACATGTCATATATAGGGGATATACGAATCCCAAGTGTTTTTTCTCTACCTTTTTCGTTAATTTTTTCTGTATGTTTTTTTTTTTTTTTTTTTTTTGTGATGACATTTTGTGATCTATTGAGATGGGCTCACCTAAGCGTTCAAGTGTATTATAGTAGGATTATATTTACTTATGCACAAGGATAATAACATGTCAACGAGCGCATGAGAAAGTACTTAGGAATTCTCCTAACCCTTTATTCATGTTCACTCTTCCTTTAATTTTTTTTTTTTTTTTTTTTTTTTTTTTTTGTTATATATTCCAAACCCTTCAAGTGTAGCTTCTTTCATTTTATTTTTAGAAAAATTGTTCATGTTGATACTTTGTTGGGGGAGATCAAAGGAGATGATAAAAAAAAAAAATTGTGAGAGAAAAGACGTAATTGCTCCATCTTTTTGACATTGCGAAATTATATAATTTTTCTTTTTATGAATACCTAGTTTCAAAATTTTTTTTTGTAAGTCTTCTCAAACCCAACCCCGCACCCAGCGGCTGCACAATTAGGTCTTAGTAAAGTAACAATTTTCTTATTTTGTCCAGCTATTAGTAAAAAGTAAGGGATTATCATCACATATTATTAAAGCCTTCTTTTTTTCACCAAAATTTCACCTTCACGCGAAAGGAGTAAATGAACAATTGAATTGCCGCCTTACATAGAGGTTCATGGAAAAAAGACCCCCTCTTTTCATTTTTCACCCATCTTTTACATTCCCCAAAATGAAATGTGTACATATGTATGCATTGAAAAAGATGCTCGAGTGAACACATTAGCATGTTCAGACAGGAAGGAAGGTAGACAAGTAGACAGACACAAAGACATGATTTTTCAAATTCAGCTGGTGAAAAAAAAAAAACTGTGCACTCACAAAAATTGTATCAAAAAAGTGATAAGACAAAAGAAGTGAAGCTATAAGGAGAGGGTTAAAAGGAGAAATTGAAATATTGAAGCATTTCTGCAGACGGGGTTGAAATAGTGAAGCAAAGAAGAAGACGACATAGACAGCACCTCGCAGGAGAAACATTTCATAGCACAGAAAGGAGATATAGGTAAACAAAATGAAGCGAAGCAAATTCATAGAAAATCCAAGGATGAAGAATGAGAAATCGAATAGCCATTTGAAGAACTTTCTTCCCGAATGTTGTGATAAAAGAGAAATGAAAGATTTTAAAACGTTTGCTAATTTATTCTTAAAGGGGGAATTAATGAGAAAATTTTTAATGGATGAAGATGTGTGGTTATTTATACAAAATTTTAAAATTAAATTAAAAGAAAATCCTAGTGAAATTGACAACTGGTTAGACTATCAGCTACATTTAGCAAAAACTAGTGTGGGTAATCTCTTCAATTCGGACATTCCACCATTTGAACATATACAAAAAAAAAAAAACGATTGTTATAACTCAAAAACTTATAATGAAATTGATAAATATGATGTTCATCTTACTGAATCTGCTAAGAGGAACGGTTTTTCTGAAAAATGGAGAAGAAATATGTATGATCATTTGGGCCAAGTTGAAAAAGAAGATTCAGTAAGTTCTCTTTTGCATGATCAGGGAGACACACGCGATGGGGGAAGCGAATACAACAAGGAAGGTGAAGATGGAAAGAAGCATAATGTTCACAAAAACGAAGAACACGAGCAAAATGAAAATGATGGGCAAAATGAAAAAGACGGGAGAAAAGAAAAAGATGGGAGAAAAGAAAAAGATGGGAGAAAAGAAAAAGATGGGAGAAAAGAAAAAGACGGGAAAAACGAAAAAGATGGGAAAAACGAAAAAGATGGGCAAAGCGGATCAAATCGACAAAATGAGCAAAACAAAGATGATCACTCCGTTGGAAGTGAATATGACTCACGAGGAGTAAAACGGATTAATATAAATGATATACTTATGAGGAATAGGTTTCATAGTAACGATGAGAAAGCAAACAAACATATTGATGTAGAGTATGACAGTTCTGCGTACAAGTGCATATCTGGCTTAGGGAAAGATAGCACACGTACTGGATCAGAATATGATCAAAGTGGAATTGATAGAATCCGAATGTGTCAAGGTGAGAGGGAAGCAAAAAATATCGATGGAACAGGGCTCAACGTGGAACCCATTGATGAAGCTATTCATATTCCAATGTTAGATAATTCATTGAAACTCCAAAATGATCAAGACTCGATAAAAAAAAGACAAAAAGAGATTGGAGAAAAACAAACAATTACAAATGGATATAATTCCTTCGAAAAAGAAGTGAAGGAGGAAATACTAGTAGAGAAATATCAACCCAGAGAGAAAGACAATTTCAAGGATGACCTATCTAGCCTCAAAAGTAAGGCAGTAACAAAGCTCAGACCAACAAAAAATAGTTCCATTAGTTCTACGCAGTATTGTAAGAAAAATGAAATAATCACTAAACATAATCATAGCAGACGTAAGGAGCAACCCCAATATTTTAAGGAAAATAATGAGGTTTCTGATAGTGCTGTTAGTTGTGATGAACTTTTGCAAAAAGGTGCATCATCCAGAGATACAAATTGCAGAAGTCACTGTACTGATACGGATGAATTGTGCCTCTATGATGATGGGAAAACAATTGATAAACAAGCTCTAAGTAATGGACAAGAGTTCGGAAAACTTACAAACAGTGGAATGATGAAAAAGCAGCAAAGAGTAAGCACCTATGATGATAACAAATTACCCACCTTCACTGTAAAAAAAAAAACGAAAAAGGAAGAAATTATTACTCCATTGAAAAACAGTTTAACAGAACATATACTGTCGCAAAAAAAAGAAGGAAAAAATAATCCAAATGAAGAGTTTACTAATCTTGTTTGTAGAACATTAAACGACAAGAAAATATTTGATAAAAACAAAACAGGAGATGTGCATGTTGTAATACCAAAAATTACTGTAAAAATTGACAAAATACTGAATGATGAAACAGATATCAAATTAAAAGAAATATTCAGCCAATGTAATAATAAAATGGATTTAGATTTATTCGAAAATTTAATAGTGATAAATTTTTTAAAAATTGGTAGATACATGAGTCATACCTTATATTCAAAAATTCCAAAAAGAAATATAAATTTTGTTACGTATGAAGAGGTTAGGAAATATTTTAGGAATCGTTTCATTGATGGGAGAAAAGATCCAAGTTATTACAACGATGGAAAATATAGAATCTCATTTGATAGAACTATGAAGGAAAATATCAAAAGTGATGATCATGTGAGTAGCTCATCAAATCAAAGTCTTCATTCAGATTCTGCATCTACCATGTCGCATATGAATAAAGATCTTAACATAGGGTCGTGTATAAAAACAGATGTAACAAGTATGAATGAATATTCTTGGGAGAACCAAGTAGAAGATGCCTCATGCAACCGGAAGGGAGAAAATATAGAAATTCCATACAAGAAATGTTCCATTATAAACTTTTTTAATGCGATTAAAGAACAAGATAAGGATTACATAGAATTCAAAGATTTCGATGTGTATATAAGAGAAATTTTGAAAAGAAATAAATCTCTTCAATTTTTACAAGTACATACTGAATTTTTAGAAAGGTACATAGAATCTGTCATAGTTCGAATATATTATCATATTGACATAAACGATACAAATAGAATATATTTAAAAGATTTGAGAAGACATAATTTAGCTCATATTTGGTGCTGCCTAGATGATAATATAAAAGTACAATACGTCAAAAATTATTTCAGTTATTCCCATTTTTATGTATACTATAGTACCTTCTGCCAGACAAGCAGTTGTAAAGATATGCTAATAGATGATAATGATTTATACAGATTTGATAATCATTCATTGAATGATTTTATTGTGAATCGAATATGGTCAAGACTTTCTATAAAACTAGGAGGACCTAATGAAAAATACATGTGCCTTAACGATTGGATTTATTTTATAATGAATTATGAAGATATGACTACCAATCGATCTATCGAATTTTGGTTTAAATTAATTGACTTAGATGCAGATTGTGTAATTAGAGATCACGAAATTCAAGTATTTTTCAATATACAGATGGAAAGATTAAAATCTCATTATTTAGAAGAACCCAAATTTGAAGATTGGCTATGTCAAATGAATGATGCTATTCAACCGAAAAGTGAAGGAAATTTTACTCTATCCGATTTTAAAAGTAATAAAAAATATGCTGCTAGATTTTTCGGATGTCTAGTTAGCTTATCAAAATTATTAGCATGGGAAAGCAGGGATGTCTACAAGGAGCTGCAAATCGAAACAGAATTCCCCAACGCAACCCCATGGGAAATTTTCTGCAAAACCAAATATGATGAGATATGCTACATGGAAAATGAAAGTTGCTACGATGAAAATTTTGACACGTATGATATGAGGAGGTTTTATATCATGGATTCAGACTAATCTGACACAAATGTGATGAGGTGAAGACATGGACTTCCATCACACATACATCATAAATCTATATTTTTCCCCACATCAATTGTTTGAATGTCACATTGCATTTTTTTTTTTTTTCCCGATTCGTACGGGAACATCACAAATATGGACAAATTATCTCGTTTTGGAAAAAGTGTCATAAATGAATATGCTATACATTTGTTTACAGTTTCAAAAAAAAAAAAAAAGTACATGTACAAGAGCTGAAGAAGAGCTTTATTTTTATTGAGTTCCGATTATGTGTTACTAAAAATATGCTATATCCCTTAGTAAGAAGAAGAGCAATATTTCCTCAATCGAATTTTCCAAAATGTACACTTATATATCTAATACGGATATTAAACATATAATTAACACTATAAAATTAATCTGACAGCAGGGAAATTTTTGTGTTTGTGTATGTGGTATGTGCTCGTATATATTCATCGATGGGACATTTAAAAAAAAAAAAAAATTATATGAAACCTTTTTAACTGTATGGAGGAGGGTAACAATACATGGAGATATATAAAATGACTTCCATTATTACATTTGAAATTGAGAGTAATATTTCTTACGAAAGTAAATTCTCTAAATTACCATGTTCAAATCGTAGTTCCCTTACACTAAAAGAAAAAAAAAAAAAAAAAAAGGGAACAGTTGAATAGAGGAACGTAGGAAAAAAATGTGTCTGTTTTTTTTTTTTTTTTTTTTTTTTTTACATTCCCATGACAATTTTTCATTAATTATATACTAAGTATAATGAATTACATTCATAATTAATATCTTTTCTCTGATGCTTAATTTAAGCGCATTTGGCATAATTTAAAGTTCCATGCAAAGTTAATTTTAGTTTGTACATTTGAAATTGTATCACAGTGGTTCTTAATTTTGCTAATTCGTTTTACACATTTGCTTTGCAGATGATTTCGAAGAATAATTTTTTTTTTTTTTTTTGTTTTGGAATAAAACTTCATGACCTCCATCATTTACACCTGAAAAATTTGGACGTGTGTCGAAATACGACATCATTATATTTCACATAATAATGTTTTATTCATCTGAACACACATATATGTATTTATTCAAAAAAAAAAAACACTCATCCACTACATTTATAATTTTTCATTACGTCTATTATTTTTCATACGTCTATTATATTTCATACGATTATTATTTTTCATACGATTATGATTTTTCATACGATTATGATTTTTCATACGATTATGATTTTTCATACGATTATTATTTTTCATACGATTATTATTTTTCAGTACGTGCATTTTTTTTCGCAATTTCCTATTATCTTCTAATATTTTCTATTATTTTCCCTTATTATTATTTTTTTTTTTTTTTTATGTTTTAATTATCCCCCCACACAAGCATACCGCTTCAAAGGTTATAGAATTACCACACATAAAGTATTTTTTATATAGATAAAAGTATACGTAGAATTTTTTCCACTTTTTTTTTTTTTTTAGTATAATCACAGGAAGCATAACAAAATTGCTTACACAATTAATTATGTTTAGTTTATCTTTCCATTTTTTGCTTAAGTATCACATTTTTTGGGGGGGCTCATCAAAGGTCTATATATGTAGGAAATTGAAGAAAGTTCAACGATATAGAAAATCATAGTGAGGGATATGAAACGTATTGGACCTTGTGTTTGTCCTTAAAAAAGATATATATATATATATATATATATATATATATATATGCATATATAAGGGGGATAGAATAATGTATATGCGGGTAATTACAGGATTGAATGAAAAAATTCGTGGGTCTTTATTTCGAAGAAAAATTAGTGGTCCCACTCCTCTCTACAAAACACCTCTTCGATATATTTGGTTCATTTTTTTCTACATAGACATAATATTGTTATATATATTCATTTTTTCATCTTTTTTTTCAATAATATTGCGTCAAGAGTGTTTTGACATTTACCCCATTTTTTTTTTCACTGCGGCTAATTTGGGTAATTATTCAAAATGTAATTTGGACCGACTTTTGTGTGTATGTGTCCCAATATGTTTTTACACACACAGATCATTTTGTTGTATCTTCACAACAGATCTTCACTATTATTTTCTGCTTGTATTATTAAGCACTTTCGTCGTAAAAAAATAAAATAAAACAAAATAATATAGTAATACAGTAGAACAAAATAATATAGTAAAACCATAAAACAGTAAAACAATAAAACAGTAAAACAATAAAACAGTAAAATAATAAAATAATAAACATATATCGCATATGAAGGAAAACAAATGTGTTCCCACGTGTTTGCATTCTTACATTTGCAACAACTAAAGTGCCAATATCAAGCTTTTCATTTCATCCTTTTTAGCTTCATTTCATTTTGTTTATTTTATTTTTTTTTTTTTTTTTTTTTCCAATTTCGCAGTTTCCAGCTTATTCATCGATTTTTTTTTTACATTGATAAAAGGCGAAGAAGTTGTAAGCGAGGATGAGATTATCATATCGACATTTTTGACGATAATGTTTTGCAGTGTTAAGGTCGCTACAAATGTATGCACATTTTATTTTTCCCTTATGATGTCCGGGAAAATTATAGAATCAACCAATGCAAATATCAAGACAAGATGCCACACTTCTGTAGCAAAATGGCTTTTGCTAATTTGTATAATAATAAACTCTTTCTCAATTCTTGAAACGTATGTTGAGTCCATTTTGACTTTTTTCTCCATAATTCACTTTAAAAAGCAAGTGCAAAATTATGAAACGATTGTTTAGAGAACAAGTAATGCTTGAAAAAAAAGGATAAAAAAGCAGGTTGCTAATTCAGTAGGCATATACAACGCAATGGAGTGGAGAAGACCTTTTTTAATTTTTTAAAAATTTCTCTGCATTTACCTTTTCCTCGTAGGGCACGTACACTGCCTCGTCTACATATAAACACGCACACAAACAGATTAACACATGAGCAGATTAACACATGAGCAGATTAACACACGAACAGATTAACACACGAACAGATTAACACACGAACAGATTAGTACGCGAACAAATTAGTACGCGAATATGCATATATGCATATATATACCCACTCGAAGAAGGTACCTCCACGCAGGTATCTAGTAATCGTTTCGAAGGCACCCATGAGGAATGCTGCACACACAAAGACATGCAGTTTTAGTGGTAAATATTTTCCTCACAGAAAATGAGATACACGGATTTTATAAAATTTAATAGCGCTTTTACTTGAATGTTGCCTAACTCATTATAAGCATATACCATTTTTGCTAAGTTATTTATTTTTTTCCGAGTTATAGAAAATAGTGAAAAATACTTATCTCCTGCGTGTTGAAGTATATAGACAGAATAAATAAAAATAAATGTTATGCAAAAAATGATCATTTATTTATTACTTTCTTTCTATCTTTTTTTTTTTTTTTTTTTTTTACATATTCTTCATTAAAATTGACCACTTCAAGGAGTAGAAAAATTGTTGATGCGTTAAAAACAATAAACACACCTTGGGGAAGGGGGGGTGGGGTGTTAAAAAATCAAAACAAAATTCCCACAGTGAACTTATTCTACATTTAAAAAAAAATAAATTAATCAAAAAAAGATGTTATCCATACAAGAAAAAAAAAGAAAAAGAAAAATATATATGCAATTTAAAATTTAGTTTTAACGTAAAAAAAAAAAAAAAAAAAAAAAAAAAAAATATTTAAAGCTGAGAAATGACTGGGGATTTAACTTTACTGTACTGTGTTTGTGTGCCCCTTGAGGAATTAACAAAAAGGTGGCAAAAAAAAAAAAAAAAAAAAAAAAAAAAAAAAAAATGAGTGAACGGGACACACATATACATGTACGTCATCCGTTCTTGCATAAAATCCCACGAATAACAAAAATTCCCCTCAAACAATTTGATGATTAAACAAGTAAAAAAATTATGCATCACATTCGAAATGGAGAAAATAAAATAAATAAAATAAGGTAAAAAAAAAAAAAAAAAAAAAAGTATATGTAAAATAAAATAAAACAAAACTAAGCAAAACAAAGCAAAATGAGGATTCTTCAAAAACAAGTGCATATTTTTTCCTACTGTGGATACTGCTTTATTCGGAGGAAGCACCGTATGTATGCTTTGCTACTGCATCACAAGCGCATTAAATATTTTATCTAAGTTTCCTATCAAAATGTTAAGCACTGGATCTATAAAAACTACGTTGAAATGTAAGCACTTTCCTCTTGAACAGAATAAAATGTTTTGTCGGAATACTGATCTCCATGTTTTGCATTTTCACATGTCTCACCACCTACAACGACGATGGTAAAGTCATCTCCCAAATATGCATTGGTAACTTTTTGATGTAGCATAGAATAGATTAAGGTGGCTTTATTAAACTTTTGCTTGAGTCCAGATTGAATAGAAATACCAGGTTGAACATTTTGATTTAATAAAAAATCTGAACTAGCTGTAAAAATTAATTTATGGTGTGCAGAATGTCCCCACATGTACAGCTGATTAAATTTATTTATACAAGCCGAATGCCTTTCTCCACAAAAAACTTTTTTTGCTTTTTGATTATTTTCATGTAATTCAACAAATTTAGGTGTAGTTACAATATTTTGAAAACCAGAAATTCCACATTGCCCTGAAATTTTATCTCCAAATGACCACACATGTTCATCTTCTGTTATTAACAACACATGTCTAGCTCCTGCACTTACTTTATTAATACATGGTAATTTTTTATTATTAGCATCCCTTAATATTAATGGCTCAGGGTAAATAAAATAACATCCTCCCTCATCGTCAAAAGATCTTCTGCATAATTCTCCATATGTTCCATCTCCCCATCCATATAATTCTCCACTTATTAAAAGTAAAATACCAAAATTTTTACCCATTGCTATTTGTTTTATTTTGTTTGATTTAAATTTATAAAAGAAGGTAGGAATATATTTCAAATAATTATTATATGTTTCTCCCCAAATATACATTGAACTATTATTGTCACACACAGCTATGCTTTGATTGTATTTTGCATAAATTTGTGTACATAATTTTTTTTTCTTTTCACATTTTTCATAATCAGTAATTAAGTGCGACAAAGCATTTAATGTAGTTTCAATAACATCTCCATAATCTATTATATTTAAAATGGTTGGTTCGTACTTATCCATGTTACATTTTAACCCATTATAATTCCCATGTCCCCATGTATAAAGAATATTATCACTAGATAAACAAAGAGAATGATTATAACCACAAGCTATTTGTTTAATTTGATTTACAGATTCGATTAATGTTGGTTGGATGCTGTATACGATTAAATTTCCTTGTCCTAATTCTCCATGTAATCCTTTCCCAAAGGAATACATATTTCCTGTATTACTCAAAAATAAGGCACATGATTTATTACAACTAATTTCCTTAATTTTTACATTACACAATTCTGTGTATATAGTTGGTAAATGTTCAGGTGTATCATCATTTTCATTTATCACTCTTTTTCCCCAGTAATAAATTATCGTTCTTTTATCTTCATATTTCGGTAGCCTTTTTATGAAATCTGATGAAATTATAGCTTTTGTTACTAGTTTTGGTTGAGATACGTTTTCTTCTTGGGACTTTTTTATTTTAAAAAAATTTGGCATTTTATATATACGCAGGGACGGGGATGTGGATAGGGGGGGGGGGGGGGTGTATGGTCTGCTGCGAGATAATATAGTTAGATACAAAATATATTCTCCTTTTTATTTTATTTTATTTTTTTTTTTTTTCCCCCTCAAGAGAAAGTACCCCCCCCCTATTCCCTGCTTTTTTTTTTTTTTTTTTTTAATATTCTCTCGTAGTAGCAAAATATGTGTGAAGCAAAATGGTTACATGAAGCTATATTTTATCACATAAGATCTTGCACTTGCAATTGCTATTACAATTTTCCCCCATATGTTTACATTTACTGATATATACACATTTGTGCAAAAAATGGAAAAATGGGGATTGGAGAAATATACCTGGTGGTCAAACAATTAATTACTGCTTAGAATACACAAATCATGAGCTGTGTAAGAAGCTTTAAATCTCACCTTCTAAATATGTGTTAATGTGCATGCTCCACGCAATACCTGCATGACTTTCTTTTTCATGTCTTAAATTTCATGCGAAAAAAAAAAAAAAAAAAAAAAAAAGAGTGAGAAGAAAAGTACAGAAAATTGCAGAGAAGCAATACAAAGTAAAGAAAAGTGCAGAAAAGCAATGCAAAGTAAAGAAAAGAAAATTTTTTAAGAGGAGAAGAAAAAAATATATGCTTCTAACAAAAAAGAAAAAAGGTGCTCAAATGAAATCAATAAAAATGGTATGCATTCTCATTTGCAGAATAACAAATTTGACATGCACATACGAATAAGTTATACACTGGTTTGTACCCATCTACGGATATATAACGATACACATGGGAGTATATATAAGTCATATAACACCCAATTTTTTTGAATATTTTTTATAAAATTGTTATGCTCTTTATTATTATTTTTTTTTTTTTTCTAAAGCAATTTTCCATCTTTTCCATACAAAATATTTTAAAAAAAAAAAAAAAGAAAACATGTAAATTGTGTTAGCAATCGTTGTAATGCATATACATACACATGTTACCAGTTTTTTTTTTCGTGGCAGAGCCTAATTTTATATACTTATGAAGCATTCTGTGATAAGAATTGCCCTCGATGTATATTCTCTCCGGTATGCTAATTATCTATAACTCTTCTTATTAAAAAAAAATAAAAGTTATACCATATGTGCATGTTTACATATATGCTCTTTCTTATTATCGTTTCACGCAAAGGCCAAAAGTCCACAAATGTGTCACAACTATGTAAGGAAAAGAATGGTAAAAATAAAATGCCTTTTTTTTTTTTTTTTTTTTTTGCAAATACGCACAAATAACAATTGAAAATGTTTGATGAAGCTATCGCTACTTTTTTCATCTCCCTAACTACATTGATCTTTGCGAATAAGTGACAAATGTTATGTCTCAATAAATGTTACGATTTACAAAATGTTTATGGAATGATATAAAATGGTGATAAAAAAAAAAAAAAAGGCAAGAAAAAGGCAAGAAAAAGGCAAGAAAAAAGCAAGAAAAAGGAAAGGAGTTCTCTGGGTGTTAGTACTTTGGCATTTTTCTTTTTTTTCTGATCTATTTTCTGTAACGAATGAAACTTTTTTCCATTTAAACCGGGAATGAATGAGGTGTATCATTCACACGTTGCTTAATTTTTTCTAGAACATACAACATGAATTGCTAATGTGGATGTTAATACTTCTTATTTTATTTCCTTATCAAAATTATGCTTTCCCCTTTTTTTACAACTTTTTTCCCTGTGTGCAAAAACGATCTCTGTCAGTTAAACATGTTTACACGATATTTTCATTTGTCCGTAAAAAAGTAAAACATACAAGTTTTTCACAACTTTGTGGAGATAATAAGGAACGCACATATAAGACCCCATATTTTGAGAAATACTAGGTATTTAGTAACATACCTATCCGTTTGCTCATAAGCATTTTCTTACTCCTCACGAGTGATAATTAAAAGGTTTTTACATAAAAAAGTTATGGAGTTGCCACGTCATAAAAATTCTTTCCAGATGAGGTATACCAAACAATAACATAAGGGCAAAGACAAATTGGTAGGCATATATAAACACAAACATATAAATGTATATATATATATATATATATATATATATATATATATACATACACGAAACAAAGATCGCAACATTATAATCAAACTCGATTGTCAATAAATAAACATATTCGACAATGAGGATTGTGGATAAAAGAATGCAACTATCCTTACTATCGTTTTTTCCCATTGGTTGAGTAAATATTTTAACTCATTTTGTGGGAATTTTCACATTTTGCTGCATATCATTTCCCATCATTCGCACGTCATCCGCTTCATATTTTACTTTCTTTTTTTTTTTTTTTTTCAAAGTGTAAACTTTAAAGGTTGCTGCAGTTTTTAATGTGCATTAAAGGCATATATCATTTCTGGGAACAATTTATTTTTCCCTTAATTTTTTTTCCATTTAACTGAATAAGAACAAAATGAGGCATTTCTATTTGCTCACAACATTCATGTTCATCATTGCATAACTCGAATAAAACTGCTTATATAATAAGTGTTACAACACAGGAGAAGAAGAAGAAGAAGAAAAAAAAAAAAAAAAAAAACTTTTAACACTATCATCATAATATTATTTTCACTTTTCATAACTGGACAGCCTATATCCAATTGTGAGAACCATTCAGATAAAAATACGCATAAACAAATGACATAATTTCTACATGAACCCAATTTTGCATACACAATATCTGTATGAAACCCAACCACTAGGAGAGAATTTTATATGCTTCTGTCTAACTATAGCATCAAATAATGTGGAAAATTGTGTCGAAATCACATTTTATCCAGATCTATTTACATTTGCTCAAATTTCAACTGCTTTACATAAAAACTACGTTTTCAGCACAAATATGGGGGAGGGGAAAAAAAATTTGCCAAATTCAAAAGCTATACATATATAAATAGATACATTTATAAGCATACCATTGCATCACCATATATATGTGGGGGAGAAATCTCGAACGTTTAATTTTAACCTTTTAATGTATCAAAATATACAACACGCATATACACATGCTTGTTCATATACAAATGTGGGTGCGTATACCAAACAAGCAAATGTATGATCCAATATGAAGCAAAATTTATTACCTTAAAAGGCGAGGCTATAGTTTTCCTTAAAAAAAATGTAGTAGTTAGAAACTTTAATCATAGTTTACTATACATAATTTAGGGATTCCTGGAAGTTAAGAATTTATTTTTTTTTTTTCCCTTACATTAATCATAAGAACGAATTTTAGAGCTTTCCCAATTTTTTAAAAAATGAACTATCACAAAATCTTAGGTAAAAAAGGAGGGAAAAAACAAAAAAACGAAAAAAACGAAAAAAACGAAAAAAAGAAAGTATGACACATATATACGACCAACATTAAGCCCCAGAAGGCTTAAGAAAATGTAGATAAGTACAAAAAGAAATATATAACTATACCTATGCTATGTGTTCATTGGGATTGTATATATAAACTCAACTTGTACACAGATAGACTTAAATAATCTATATCACACTGTATATATATATATATATATATATATATATATATGTATATTGTGTCCTGTAAGCTAAATGACATTTGATCATTCCTTGAACCTACGCAGGTGTAACTAAGAATGCCTGCAAAAAAACAATACGTGAAGCATATTTAAAAAAAGTAAAATTATATCATCCCGATTTAAATAAAAGTCCAGATGCCACATCAAAGTTTAAGCAGATCCAAGAAGCATACCAAGCCCTATATAATGACGATTATTCACGTAATCACACACTTATGAGCCATTATTCATTTTAACATTTCTAGCATTGTAGCAATGGGATAAATGATTGCGTTTATGCATACACAGTCACATGTATATATGTTTATATGAATATGTTCCTATAAGGAAACATACTGAATGTCTATACCAAACGAACAAATATTCACATACTCCTTCATAGAAAAATCAAACTACGGGGAAAATTCATATGGAAACGGAAATAAGACGGAAGATTTAAAGAACAAGCACAGCTACTACAATCCGGATGATTTTAGCGATTTTCATAAAGCATTTTACGAAGAAGTTCGTAAAATGAGAGAAAACGAAAGGAAGGAACAGAACAGAGTAACGCACAGAAAATTTTCAGAAAAAATGTACCCATTTAAGAGCTTTTCTTTTTAGCATGCAAATTTATGTCCTATTTTGTGCACCACGAAATTTGTTTATTCGTATTTTAATTCTATTATTAAATATATGTATTATTATTATTTATTTTTTGATATATTTTACTTTATTTTTCGTTACCCTTTTAGAGATACACTAACAGCAATTACAGCTATACTTTGAACGACATTTTGAATAAATATTCGAGGGAAAATTTTTACCTAAATCTTATTTTTAAACTATTCCCCCTATTTGTCGTCCCTTTCATGTTCCTCTTTATTGTATACAAACAGTACCTGTAATAGCAGAGGATAAAAAAAGAAAAAATGCGTCCCCACATACTGTCATATGTGTGTATGTGCACCTGTTGTCTAGTTAATTTGATCCACCATTATGATTATATATATATATATTTTTGTTTGTTTTTTTGTTTTTTCCCACTATTTTAAGTACTCTGTATTATTAAAATAATGCACATTATATGTGTTCTTTTTCAAAATTAAAGCTTTTGTGCTTATTTTTTTTCTTTCTTTTTCTTACAGATTGAAGAGTCATTTTAAAGAAAAGCCAATACTCATATACGACTCTTATGGTAACGCATAAAATGGAAAGAAATAAAAATAAAATAATTTATATATATACTAGGGAATCATGTATAAATATTTTAACTTTTTTTTTTTTTTTTTTTTTTTTTTTAACGGCCTGGTTATATATTTATTTCTTATTATTAATCATCTGTAAAACAGGAAGAGCATTTTTGGTAGATATCCATGGGAGAAAATTTAGGTAACATTTCGTTTTAAACTTTAGTAAATGAAATTTAACTTTCTTTGATAAACATTATGAGAATTTGCCAATTATGTTATGTATGCCATTTTACCCCCTTTTACAGAGCATCTGAATTCGATAAATATTAACATACAGTGTGTATACACATGTATATATATGTACATCTATAAAATAGTTCAAGACGGATCCGTTTTTATTTTGTTAAAAATGTTTCTTAACAATTTCAAGTTTTCGTTCAAAATTTTTTATTTCATTTTATTGTTTTTTTTTTTTTTTTTTTTTTTTGTTTATTTGTTTGCTTTTTTGTTTGTAAAAATGTGTTGTTTTTACATTTGTAACGAGGGAGTATACACAATTTAAAATTTGTTCATTAGGTTAATTTTTAATACCAGACACCTTACTATTGCTTGACATCTTTGTGTTTCATTTTGTATGGTTTGTGTATAGTTTTAATTAAGGTAATTGCAGCTCTGTAAAAAGACCAGATATCTGTAACTCAGTATTTATAGTATTACAGATTTTTATCAGTGTTCATACATGTACCTCATTTTGTGGATGATTTGGACTTCATTATATTAGAAGCTAATATATATTACATTTATTACCACACATTTTATTATGTATTTGCTTTATGCTATATTGTTTAGCTTGCTTATAAATATGTTTTTTACAAAATTTTTTTATATTATAGCTTGAATCAGACAAAATAATTATGTTATGCTATACTATTCTTAATATAGTATACACTTTTCTTAAGTACACACTGTTACTCTACAACACTTTTTTCACAATGCATACTCGTTTTTACCTATTTGATTTATTTACAAATACGAAAATATGTTCAAATATATTGCAAATGTAGTGAGAACAAATGGCTCCATAGGTATATTAAGAAGTACTCGTCATGCATATATATTAAACACTCTAATTATGTACTAATATACAAAAAAATCATTGATTACTCCTTTTTACGAGATTAATCAGGAATTGCGTTATAATTTTCACCTCCTTTTTTTGTTTTTTGTGTGTGCATTTTTGTATGAACTTTATGTAACATCTAAATTTAATAATAAAATGTAACATTTAATTGTTTATTCGTTTTTTTTTTTTTTTTTTTCTTGTTTTTCTTCTTTTTTTCTGTTGTTGCTGCTGTTGTTTTTTTTTTTTGAATAAATGTTTAAACATTTTAATATGATTTCTATTTAGTATCAATGAAGAAAGAAGTTATGTTTCCTGCATCATATTGAACTTTTTGTGAAATTTTCACGTAACACGTACAAACATCGATTTGCCTGTTTTTATATATGCTTTTGATGCCGTAATTTACGTAATTATTCCTGTACAGTTTTTTAAAAAAAAAATATATAGTTCAGAACAAGAACGATGAAATACGTGTTGACTCAAACACATACACACACACGCACCTTAAAAGTGTTTTTTCTGTTATTGACAATTTTGTTACCAAAAAATGGATGTTTATACAAATAAACAATAAAAACAGAAATCTTGAAGAGAGCATTGTTGTAAAAAAATATAAAGGAGAAAGACAGATATACTTATTATCTGCTAAATTATGATGCGAAAAGAAAGGAAAAATATATTTATAACAACGCTTAATGTAGAATTAAATTTTACATGTATAGCAAGTTTTCTATTAATTCGTATGACAAAGAAATGGAATTGTAACATATACAACTTAAACGATTACACCTGAATGACAGATATCGATTAATAAAAAGTGTGGACAACTAATTATGTGCACATATCTGCACATTAACGCATGTGAAAAAAATAAAATAAAAAGAGGATGACGCGGTATATACATTCATGTTAGCACATATATTCTCATATACATAAGTACATGCGAATTTCATCAGTACAAGAGGTTTTGAGAAGGTTAAAACAGTAGAGAACGTGAGAGAATTTTCCTACTTTCTTTTCTGCAAACATTTTTTTCGTACTGATTCAAATACTTTCTTTAAATTTTATGACCAGTTATAAGGATGTGAAAAAATTATGAACGCTTTTCTTTTTTTTTTTTTTTTTTTTTTTTTTTTTTTTTTTTTCTTATAAATAATATTTTATAGCTTGTGTGCGAGAACATTTAAACACCTTTAAAATGGGCAAAAAAAAAAAAAAAAATAAAATAAAAAACTTAAAATTGTCTATTTACCTGATCAATGTTTAATATTTACAACAGTGGAAAAGTAAAAAAAAAAAAAAAATAAAATAAAGTAAATAATTAAATAAATAGTAAAATGAGAAAGCAATTTTTCAATGATAATACATGGACACATAAATATTTGCAGCAGTGTAAGGAAAATGATTTTCCCACTGTTTTTTTTTTTTTTTTTTTTTTCCTTTTCACTAAATATTTTCCTTTTGTAGAACAATCCACAAATCATGTTTGTTATAAAAATGTTGATTTAATGTTAAAATAATAAGAAGCAATTTTTGATAAAATTTTTTACAATTAAATAAAATTAAAGAAATATTGTTTGAATATTATATTTTCATTTTTTTTTTTTTTTTTTTTTTTTTTTTTTTTGTGCACATGTGTAGACCATTTGTGTGTATGTTTTTTCTACAAAAACAAAACTGTTGTTTCATCGCACAACAGAGCTAACAATTGAAATAAAAAAAAAAAAAATGATGTTTCTGATCTTCAAAATCGTTTAACTATTTATCTGCTTATTAAAAAAAAAAGACTTAGACATACATTTATCAATAACTTCAAATGTAGTATGTGTAGACTACAAAATGTAAGATGCATATGTGGACAATGTCATATATACCTACATAAGCATGAGTGTGTACACATACCTGATCACAAAAATGCTTGTACACTCATGTATACACAAACATTATCACATATGTAAATTCACGCGAAATGTATGAGCATATCATGGTGAATATTTAGGAATAAATTTTATACAAGCATTTCGCTTTTTTGTTTATAAACATACTCTTATCCTTTATTAATCACTTCCGAAATTAATTTGTATTTATGCCTATTCACGCGTATTCTGGTATATTCACTTTTTCCATTTTGTCTATCTTAATTATGAATTGTTCAATAATTTTATTTGTTTAACTCTTGTCTGAAAAGTAATTGGTAACTTTTACGTATCATACTTTTCCTTTTTTTTTTTCTTTTTTTTTTTTTTTCTAAACATTTATTAATATTTTTATCATATAATACTTGTTGTGTCTCTATAATGTTACCTAGTATGGTTAACATATAACCGATGTAATTGGACATTCCATTGTGCCATTCATTTATTTATATCTTTGTTTATTCTTTTATTTTTTTTTATTTTTTCATTCTTTTTTGTATTCAATTCCAATTATGTAAAATCAAAAGTGCACACTTTCTCCTATCCCATGCATTATTAAGCTTCTTGTTTAATTAAATGATTATTTCTCAAAGAATATTAACTCACACAATCATATGATTACGCACAGACGTACACGAATTGGTTGATTGATTACAAAAATACAGAGAACATAAATATGGATGAAGAGCGCATGCAACAGTACTACTTGGATAAAATTAAACAAAATATAAATCAAATTAAGAAATCGAAGAATATAAAATTGGCACCAATTGCCAATGAAAGCAATATCAGCACAAATAAGAAATACATTACAAATAATATAGATGGGCATGAATATAAGTCTAATGATACCAATGAATCATTTTTGAAAAATAAGATTAACAATGTCAGGATTGGTTTTGCTGACGATATAAGAAGGGAAAAAAAATTACCACGGAAACAAAATATAATTTACAATAACCATGATATTATAAAAGACAATTATTACGAAAATTATGTCAATATATATAAGAGTGAACTTCCAAAAAATGAAAATGTTTATCATTCATATGCATCAAATAGTGATAGACAAAATGATGCTATTAATGAAAACAATTTAAAGAGAGAAAATTTAAAATATTGTAAGGGAAAAGCTATTTTGCTTAATAATATAAATGCTTCAAATAAAGTTTTCATAGAAAAAAATGTTGACATCCAAGGTGGGGAAAACAATACACACTTTTCCTATAACTCCAGCCTTAATAACGCGAAACTGATAAATTATATAGAAAAAAACAAAATGGAAAATATTGTACATCCTGGAGAATCAAAAGACATGAACAAACTAAATATGCACGTAATTAATAACCAACATGGTGGAAACAAAAATAATTTTATTGGTTTTTCCAATGAAAGGATAAATAGGACTAATGGAATTTCTTTTTCAAACTGTATAAGTAGTATTAATAGTAAATCCTTGTGTGATAAAAATGAAAGTTCAAATTTTGTGAATCCACAAATGGTTTATGATTTGTGGGGGATGAACGAATCATGTGGACAGCGCCATCCCAGTGAACACGTTATTCGTACAAATTGTATTAAAAATAATTTAGTTCAAAAAATCAGAAATTACACAGGAAATATAACCAAATATGTTGTTATGAATGTAAATAATTCTTGGGACAGTTCCACCTGTAAAGGTATATTCCGCAAAATATCCCCAAAGAATAATATACAAAAGGAAGGAATTAACAGATATAATTCAAAAAATAAAGAATTTAAGAACACTATATGTTGTTTAGCTGGAATTAACAGTACGAATAACAGGAATATAACTGTATCAAATACTGGAGAAGCATTAAAAGGTGTTATGAACATTCATAAAAATAAAATAGATTTCAATTTACAAAAAAATGGTGTTATAGAAAAAAAAGAAAGATCAAAAAATTTCATGCAAGTCGTGTATAAGGAACCGATGGGAAGTTCACAAAGAAGATATTGTCACGAACATAGTAAAGCAAAATATGCGATACCTTCACATGACAGAGCCATTGCATTAAAGCAACAAATTTCAAATAATTATGGCAATATTAATGATACGATTCTTCATGAGACTGAACCCTTTCGATGTGCAGATAGATGCCTACCAAAGAATGGACATCGTTCCATCTCAAGCAAAACAAGCAGCTTCGCCACAGCACTTCAAGATCCACACTTATTTAATTCTAAAAAAGTTAAATCTCTTAGCGCAAATACAGTTTTTAAAAATAATTCATGCAGGGTTTATGAAAAAGAAAAGGTTGTAACATCAAATAGTTTGTTCGAAAAGAAGGACAGTTATAGTGCGAATATGTTTGTATCAGGAGGTAAGGTGGAAAAAAAAAACACATTAGAAAATAATAAATGTTTTTTAAATTCTTTTCAAGAAGTGAAGAAGAATAAAAACGATTTTATGACTCAAAAATGTAATGACGGAAGGACCAACCATGAAATGTACAATAATATAGGTCCAACAGAATGTGTTAATTTTCCACTTCAAGGATTAAGCATATATAAGAAAAAAAATGATGATAGTCAAAATGAACATTACGAAAGTGATAAAACAAGGATAAATAACTTAAACATAACCAAGAAACTGCATAATGAAAATGAAATTTCGAATGAAGAATTAGGAAGATATGGTATAAAAGATGAAAATCTGAACTTGGTACAAATTGATCGAAAAATTCACAAAATAAAAGATGACAATTGTGTAGAAAAAATAAATGTTAGAAAAGATTTTTCTTTTAACGATTTAGAAGAAAATTGGGGCTATAAGAAAAAGTTAAAACTGAATGAAATAGATATATTTCCCACACATGCTAATATTGTTAATGAGAACAAAACAAAATATGAAAAGGGTGAAAGACAGGACAAGCAGACAATTAAAAGTGGTGAATATGGAAATGTAACAAATCAAAGTACGTGTCTTTATAATGAATCGAACGAGAAATCCTCAGAAAATATGTGCAATCATTTGATTAATAAAAGAAAGATAGGTTGTGTAGTGAAGGGGGGGAATAATGTTACTATGGTAGAAGATACAAGGATGAATAAGAAGGATATAAAGGAGGATTCAGAAAATGTAATTACTGAAACTATGAAAAACCAAGGATTATATACAGACTATGAAGAAGAATTTTGTAGAAACAAGAGTAAAACCATGTCTGATGAAAAAGTGACAAGTGAGCCGGATTCTACCTTGTTAGAAAATTCTAAACATGAAGAAGTGTATGTTAAAGAATGCCATGAGGAATATAATTCAGAGGGTAAATTTAAGTACATTAAAGATGATAACATAAGTATGGAAGAAAAAAAAAAATTAGAAAAGGAATTAGATTTGTATTTTAAAAAAGAGGGATTGTTAAGAACATTGTCTAATTCGTTGAGTCGAGATTCTGAAAGTAACGAAAAAGATATTCTTTATTTTAGTAAAGGAATGAAAAACAATTTGGATACATATCCTAATAACAGAAAATCATCTAATACAGAATATTCCCAATTGGAGAATTATGAAATGTCTTCCAGTAGTGTAGACATATTTGACGATAAGAAGATAAAAGAAGTTTTTGATGAGGTGTCTATAAATAGAAGCAGAAAAAGTAGTTTTTGCATAGGTAGGGATCAATATGATGGTATAAAAAATGAAAATATGGATCTAAGAAGAGCCTTCCTGGAAGGATACGTAAATGATTTTGCTAGTGCACACAGTGGAAGCGACTCAAACATTATTTGTGCAAGTGGTACAGATGGATTTAGTATGAACAACAATGATATTCCTATTGAAAAAAGGAAAAAAAGAGGGGAAAAGAACCCCAGTAGTTTAGAGAACCTTTTATGTAAAAATAAAAATTTATTATTTATGGATATGTTAAAAATCATGAAGGAGAAAGGAATGAAAAGAAGAGAGAATGATTTGAAGGATAATTTAGAAAACAAATTAAATTTTATAATGCTTCCTAGTTCGGAAAAGGAGAGAAATTTAATAGATAAAATTATTTATTGTTTAGATCCATCTTATGTGAACAATACGATTGATGAAAATGATAAATGGAGACAAAAGCTGAAATATATGCAAGAGAAATTTTTTGAATGTATATTATGCGTATCTTACCCCACACACTTATGGAATGATCAAATATTTGATATTTATTTGAAATCTTTAAATTTAAATTCCTTGTTTGATGATACTTTTATAAAATATGAAAATGATCTACATATAAATTTATTTCATCCTGAAGAGAAAATTTTTTCAGATGGAGGAAACATTGGAGAGGGAGGATTTGGAGTTGTTACAAAAATGAGATTTTTAAACTATCCTCAATATTATGCTATAAAAAAAATATCAAAAGATCATATATTAAAATCGCAAGCATCTGGGCAAGCTTATTTAGAAGCAAAATATCATTCTGTTTTAAGTCATGTAAATATAATTAAAATGTATGGATGTATGCAAGATGATGATTTTATTTATCATGTATTGGAATTTTGTTCTAAAGGGAGTATTTATTCTATATCAAAAAATTATAGAAAAAGAATAATTCCTGATGAATTAGCATATAAATATTTCTGTCATGTAGTTAATGGATTATATTATTTAAATCAAATGGGGATATTTCATCGGGACATCAAAATGGAAAATGTTTTGGTAGATCACAAAGACAATGCAAAATTATCAGACTTTGGTTTATCTGCAATGATTTTAGGAACGAAAAGTCATTCATCCTTATGTGGAACTCTGGTATATTTCTCTCCAGAAATAGCTAGTGGATCTGGATATGACTGGAGATCAGACATTTGGTCTTTAGGCGTTTTATTATATGAAATGTTAGTTGGAGATGTTCCTTTTGATGGTACAAAAACACAAATTATGGAATCTATATTTTCATGTAATTTGAAATTTCCGGATTTTGTGAATCCATTAGCAATAAATTTGATAAAGAAAGCATTAGTGGTAGATGTAAATAAGCGGATAAAATTATGTGATATATCATCGGATCCATGGATGCAAGAAATGTGGAAATTGATGTTTCAAAAAGGGTTAGATAGAAATGTAGATTCCTGTTACAGTAAGGACCAAAGCAAGGATTTTAATTTTATAGATTCTATGATAAAGACTCAGTGTTTTTTAAAAAGTAGCCTAAATGCGTCAATGAATTATAATATGAGAGGGGAGGGAAATAAATTGGATAAACAAGACAAAAGAAAAGAAACGGAAAAAGACGATGCATTGGTTTTAGAAACGCAGAAAAAATTAGCAGAATATTTAAATGTTGAGAATTTTTATTTGAACGAAGAAAATATGTCAAGTTATGATGATCTCAGTTGTCCACAATCTGAGGATTCATTTTCCGAATTAAGTGTTTCCGCCTCTGCTACAAAGAATGAACCATTTGACAAGATTGACATTAAGGATGATATGTCTTCTATGAATGAACAAAAGTTTGAAATTGATCTTGTAGAAGGATCTTACCAAAGTGAACCATCACCCTTGCGTGAAGAAGAAGAGGTGGGAGTAAATTCACCAAAATTTTATAAAGAGGATGACCATGTAAGAAATCATCAAATGGGATATGAATCCGGCATCTTAACAGGAAAGTGTGGTCAGAATCGATTAGAATACTCTGATAGTTCTATAAGCAATGAGACATCAAGTGCCTATTTTGATGCTGAAAATGTGTTAGAGAATACGAACGATACTGTTGCGGAAATTAATTCAGAAAAGACATATTTTAAAACAAACATCAGTTCTTACGGTTCCATCATGGGCAATAACAAAAGTAATAAGAATGAAGAAAATTTGGAGACATACAAATGGAAGATAAGAGGTGATGAGCCAATCGATTCAGAAGTTGATAAAATAGTTTTCTCAAAAGAAAAACTGTGTGAAGCAATTAATCAGAATGATGACATCTGTGTTGTACCGCAGGATGATGAAGAAAACGGAGAAATGGAATCAGAAAGAGACTGTTCCAAAGAAGAAACTTATATTGAAAAAAATTTAAATGAAGGAAATAACTCTGAATCAAAGCATAAACAGACATTTAAAGAAAAATATGCAGTAAAATCTGAAGCAAAATCTGAAGCGAAATATGAAGCGAAATATGAAGCAAAATATGCGGCAAAATCTGAAGCAAAATATGCAGCAAAATCTGAAGCAAAATCTGAAGCAAAAACACAGAGGGGGGAAGGCAAAATCGAGGAGAAAGTAACAAAAAGGTTGTGCGACATGGAATCGGAAAATATGACCTCAAAAGGTTCTTACAATAACGGGAATTTGTATAGAAGCAATTCGACAATACAAATGCAATCGTTTTCTGACAATTTGATAAATGATAATGAAATATCATCAGAATTGGAAAACATAAGAAGTAGCAAGGAATATTTTGAAAGGCTTGAGACGGCAGCAGATAGAAAGGAAGAAAAAGGGGAGATATGTCATAGAAGTGTAGAGAAAATTTCTAAGAAACTGAATTGTAAAGAGGAAAATAATCCAATAATGAACGATTGCTTGAGCATGAAAAATAGCCAAGTTAGAAAGGTTCCTTTTATTAATGAGAAAAAGAAGAAAAGCGAAGTAGAAGATATTAACGCACCCACATATAGAAATGTTAGGTCGAGTTATAAATCCGAGAAAACTAGCAAACTAGACCAAATGTATATACCAATTTGTGTAGTTAAAAAAAACATAAATGAATCAGCAAATGAAGATAAGTGTACGAAAATAAATCTGCAAGTGAAGGATATCTGCGTGGCGAATAATAACAAGGAATATGTAAACGTAAAAGAATCAAATGCTGATATGGAAGAAATTGATGTCGAGAAGAAACAGAACACAGATTTGTCCACAAAAACAGTGGAATATGAAAAGAGATGGAAAAGTGAAAATATGGAGAGGAATAACAGTGATGATGTTCTACATATTAGTGATACTAAAGCTAAATCTAAAATAAGCAGCAATAAGAAAGAAGATGAAAAGAAGTTTCAAATAAAAAATAATCCATGTGAAGAAGTACCCATGGGAGAGCCAGGAAAGAAAAATTTAGTAAAACCTAAGAATAGTTTAGAAAAGACGTTACAAAATGTTAAGGAAAAAAGGAAGATTTATGAAAAGAAAAAAGAGGAATCATTTATTGGAAAGAGAGTAGAAAAACTTTTAGAAAAAACATCTATAGGAAAATTATGTAAAAAAGAGCCTTTGATTAAAGGAAGTGCTTCATTAAATGGAAAGAAATACCCAACCCGTAGTATAGAAAGAATGAATAATAAAAAGCGATGCTCTAAGGATAACAGACATAATAACATTATCGATTTAGAAGGTGGTAGCTTGTACGATAAGTATATAGAAAAAATAAACAAATTGTATCTCAGTATAAAAAATAAAAAATATATATATAATTCTGAATATATGAAAAATGTAACAAATGATGAAGATACTGTGTTGAGTACAAAAGATAAGGAAGAAGAAAAAGAACAAAAAGATAACGAGGATGATAAAATGTTAGGAAGAGGTTCTAAAATTGACAATGATAATTTTATTGATATTGAGCACAAATTTAATCGAATGAATGAAATGAAAAAAAATACGACTTTTCATCTGAATGAGTACGCGGGGACAAAAATGGATGATAGAATGGTTATGACAAAGTCTTCTCATTTAAGCAGTTCTTCTAACGAATCTTGGAATAACAAATTGACAACAAACAAGAAAACATTGAACAGCAGAAATATATTCAATGTAGGAAAAACTGATTATGCAAATTTGTATGATGAAAATATGCTAGATGAAAAATCGTTGGATGATAAATTGGCTAACATAGAAAAGGATGTGTTAAGTGAAGAGAAAATTTCCCTTTCTTCACATAAGGAAAAGGAGGGGAAATCATTTGTGGAATTGAAGAAAGAAATCATAAAGGACAATGTATCGAATGTCAAAACGAGGTTTACACCTGATTTTGTAACGCCTGATAAGAAAATATTTAATTCCAGTGATACAGAGTGTGAAAGTAACGAAAGTAGTGACAGCAATAAGGAAATTATCCATGATAGTGATAATAGTGGTATTGAAAGTAATAATGGACATCGCAGTTTTGATAATCAAGGGAACGCTTTCATGAATAAAAATAAGAAATGTATTTGGAATTGCAACAGACAAGATGCATTTAGTTCGTCTAACTCAGATTGTGAACGTGATAGTGGCTTTTACAGGAGGTACAAAAAAATCAGGACGATTAATTTGGACAACTCCAACTTGTTAAAACGAACAGGAGAAATTTTTAAGGATATACAGGATAGACAAGATAGTTTGATTAGTAGATATACAGATGATGATTACTCTGAGGACAAGGAACAAGATAAGGAATATACAGCTATCACTCAAGATGCTGATGAGGGAAGAAGGTATGTGTATGATAATAATAGGAAAAACCTAGGAATGATACAGAAAAATAGAAAAAATGAAGAAGTTGTTGGTAAATCAATTTCTTTTAATAATAAAGTAACCTTCATGGCTTTGCAAAATTATAACGATAATGAAAACACTCCCATAGTAAATTTATCTAGTGAGGAGTGGAAAGAAAATCGAGAAGATACCAATTTTGTTGAATCGCAAAGAAGAAGAGTACCAGATGAAATACCTGATTTAGAGTTAATATCAAAGATTCGAAATAAAAAAAATAATATAAACATTTTAAGGCAAGAGAAAAAAGAAAAATATGCATCTAATTTATGCAACAAAAGGGTTGATAAAATATCCAACGAGGGAAATTTGAGCAAAAGGTGTATGAACAGAAGTTTATCAGAAATTGGTTTTGTCTCAAAATCAAGTGGAAAAGGACATATTGTGGAACAAAATGATTTTTTAAAAAAAAACACATTCAAAGTGGATAATATGAGAGAAGTATCACATAACAGTAAAAGTACCATAAGAAGGGTTAGTAGTAACCAGTTTAAATGCAAGAGTGGATCGACTTTTATAAGCAAGAGAAGTAACTCCTTAAAAAATAACTCCGCTATAAAGCGATATTCACTTGAAAAGGAAATTATTCATCATGCGAGCAGGAGTAATGTCCATACGGAAATATCTAAAAGGTGCTTAGAAAGGAGTAGCAGTAGTAAGGAACGTATGCTGCATAAATTAGACACTTCCAATAGGGTTTCTTCAAATAGTGCTGCTTCAAATAGGGGTACTCCAAGCAGGGCTGCTTCAAATAGTGCTGCTTCAAATAATGGGAAAGATAAGGAAACGAAAAAATTGATCTCAGTTGATGGTCAAGAGGGAATAATACATCACATGGAAAAAATGAAGAAACAAAAATTGCTTAATTTGCAAAAAGATAGAAATAAAAAAGAACTAAATGTAATTTCAAATAAGAGGATGATGAATACTAGTCGTTTTTTATTAAATAATCTCAAGGAAGGAGAAGAATCTTCTGTAGAAAAGAGGGGAAAAGCATATAATGGCGTGAAAACTGAAAAAAAAAAAAACGGAATTGATCGATTGAGAAATATGAACAAATCCTGTGTGAATGAAAGAGTTAATAGGAGCGTTGAAAGATTATGTAGCTCATATTTAAGCAAAAAAGGGAAGTGTGACAAGAGAAATGGTTTAGAAAGTTGTATTACTGAAAAGAAGTTTAAAGAGAAGGTGGGAATGACAAATGTATTTGATGCGACGAATAAAAATGGTAGAGTCAAAGAGGACATTAATTCAACAAATAAAGATTTATTAAATACATTAACCATCTCAATGGAAACGATAGATGATCAAACAAATCTCCCCTTGCAAGATAAGACGAGAAACAATGCTTACTCTTTGCAAAGTAATAAAAAAATGATAATCGGAACTAATTTAAAAAACTCAAAGGTAAAACTATACCTTAAAAATAAAATAGAAAAGGTAAAAAAAGAAAATGAATACACATCATTAATTGCAGCATATAATGATGAGAACCATGAACAACTGGCTATATCTAATTCTACTAGAAAGGAGCATGATTCCATCGTGGGGACTAAAAATGAGCAAATTAATGAAAGAAAAAAAAAAAAAATTTCAGGAATTAGAAATGAAGCAAGAAGATCAATAAGTGAAATCCCATTCAGCTCTTTTGTTAATCATTCTTTCGAGCATGATCAAGGTAAGGAATTAATACTGCATAAAAGTGCCCTTAAGGATTGTCATATAACAAATGGTGAAAAGGACAAAAGTTATAGACTTAGTAAAAATTGTCAAAATAACCAATCAAGTGGTTTATTTAGATGTAGAAGCGAAACTTTACGAAATTACAACTCCAGGAACATTGCTGATAGTCATTTATTGCACTCTGATAGGATAATTAAAAAATCATTCGATGATAAAGCGAAAACGGAGTCGCAAACAGAGGAAAATGCAAAGGAAAGAACATCGAAAAGTGGTATCATGAAATGCAACACACATGTGAGAAAAAGTAGCAACATTGACAAAACTAATGATGGTAGCAAGAAAAATAAAATTAACAAAAATATTTATTCACACAGAAATATGAACTTCTCGAATGTTAAGAGCAAGATAAACACAAATATTTGTAAGAAACCCTCAAATGGTACAGAATATGTTTCAAGTTATGAGAAAACATGTGGAAATGTGGAGTCTACTAAAAATGACAAAAGAGTAAAAAATGAAAAGTGGTGTAAAAAATCAAACCCTACTTTAGAAAAAGAGAGAAAAAACAAGTATATTAGCTCTTCTCCACTAGCATGTGAGAGAATAAAGAAGAAGAGTAGTTTGACTAGCTCTTTCGATTTGGACCAAAAATATATGCGTACAAGCAAGAGACACAATTCTGTGCAGGTAGATGTAAGTTGTTCTAACTCTAGACACATTAGTAATATGAAAGAAAACAACATCCTTCAGAAAGACCAATGTAAACCTATTAAAAGATCAGAAAGTACATTATTTAACACAAATTATGAAGAAGAATTACAAAATAAGTTGATAATTTTAAATAAGAAAAGTCTTTATGTAGATGATATTCATCAAACGAAGGATTATGAGAAGGATACAGTAAGGAAATGTATCAGGAAGTGTTCTAACAACCTCTCTAACATGTCTTGTAGGAATAGTAAAAAACATGACAAAGGAGGATCCGGATTCAATGAAGAATACACGAACTATGTGGATATCACGAACAGGATTGTCCCTTTCAATAATACAAGAAATAACAAAGGAAAAAAGTGCAATATAGGTGCTTTTATGAACATATGTAAGAATGATTCAAATTATGTTAATGAAAAAGATACCATAGAAGAGGAGCGTAAGAAGCGGGGTGGTTTACTACAACACTTTGAATTAGCCAAAAATGGTGAGAAAATTGTAAAAGAACCCATGAACAAGTATTGTATGATGATGGAGAAAAAAGTGAAAAGAATGAATGGCAAATGTTCAGAATCATTTGATGATGATATTGATGTTATTGAGGATCACATTATGAATAACACCTCTTTCAATAAATTAGGTTCTGCTATCTTTAGTTCAGACAAGGAAGAAACGATGTATAACAAAACTGATATTCCAAATATGATGCATATGACAAGGGGTGATGATAAGATTAACTTAAAGGATAGATACCTTCCAATAGGATGTGTACCCCAAGTCAGAAATATATCAAGATTTGGAAGAATAGCAAAAACATGCGGTTTAAACTCAAATAGTAGCGTAAACCAAGCAAAGGATTCTTTTAAACGAAATATTACATGTGGAAATTGGGCAGTTATGCAATGTATAAAATCAGGAGTAACAAATGCAAAATTTATAAATACAACAAAAGCTAATGGATCTATGACTTATGAGAAAAACAGAAACGAGATGCCTAATGTGACCAAAGGTAAAGCACATATAAATGTTTATGTATGTGGCCAGAAAAGCAGCAATAGTAAGAACCTTGAGAAGAAGAGCCAGAGTATGTGCCTACAGGGAATTCAGAAAAGTGCACAAGTGAGTTCCAGTTGTAGTGTCAGCCCCAGTAGTGGAGTAAATTCAACAAACTTTGCTCTATGCCTCCCACGTACTCTTAGTTCTGGACTAAAAAAAGAAATACAAAAGAAGAACAAATGGAATTATACTTCTGCATGCACCATCTCGAATCGAAATGAAAGTAATCTGCAAGGAGCAAATTGTACACAAGAGGGAAAAGTAGGAAAAAATAATAATAAGGAAGGTGAAGAGGAGAGGGGAAAGAAGGCTAAAAAACTCATAATCATGAATAAGAACATGTTATTAAGAGATAATAATATAAAGAAGAGAAGTACATCTAACTGTAATTCTCCAGAATTGAGAACAAACACGTATAATACAAATGATGAAAAAAAATTAATTTCAAAAATAAGTCCTAGTAGTATAGAAAAAAATTATAACTATTTCAATGAAACAATAGTAGATGATGACAAGTTAAGAATACCACATAATGAATACTATGAGAAAAGTATGCTTTTTAGTAAATCCAATGTGGACATATCAGATAATGAACGGATGTTTGTCAAAGGTGCATCTAATTGTGTTCATATGGATGCAATAAAAAGAAAGAATAATATATACTTATTACCTAACACAGAAAATTTTTGTGATAATCATCAGACCGGTTGCTTCTTATACAACAATTTTTTGGAAAAAAAGGAATTAAAAAGTGGAAATAATGGTAGTCCTTCTAATTATAGAAATGTTAATTCAAGTAGTGAAATTAAAAATAAGCCATTGCATATACATCAACAAAGAAAAGGAAAAAGTAAGTCCACGAAAATGATGCTACGTAAAAATAGTCCTGACAAGACATTGTTCCAATGTAATAATAATGGAATAAATGTAGTTATTAAAAAAGCTAAAAAGGTAGATGCCATGGATTATAGTAATATGGATCTCAATGAAATACAGATGACTGTTAATGAACATAGGAGGAACTTGCTGCAGTCTGCTTCTGCTCCGGTCAAACGGAACAGTACCGTGAAAATGCACTTAGACGTGAAGACAAATTAAGTGTTAGTTGTTCCTCTTCAAGCCAAATTGTACGCATGCATGTGCATTTACTTTTGAATGTGTCTATGCTTGTGTATACGTATGTGTTTACTTTTGTATGTATACCTTTTTCTTCTCTTTTATTTTTCTCTTTTTTTCTTCTCTTTTTTTCTTCTCTTTTTTTCTGCCCTTTCTTTCTTCCCCCTTTTTGTTCCCCCTTTTTTTTGGTAACACTCTTAATTTTCACACAGCTTCACTGAAAAATAACCCACAGAAAACAGCTGTTTGTGTACATCTTGTGACAACACATCAAAGTTCAGCCATATAACTCTGTTTTTGGAAGCCCTAGATATAGGCTTGGAAAATTATGATGTCAACCCAATTTGCATTACATAGTGTATCTACTAAACTATTTATTTGTTTTATTTTTATTTCTTACATTTTTGTTATTTTTTCATGAATTGTCGATTCAGGTACCTTTCCTATGAAAAGTACCATTTTGCAAAAATGCACAATGATTCATAAATTGCTTAAAATATGTATACGATGATGTTGTGAGATATCTTTTGAAATATTTGACACATAAGAGAATGAAACTTTTTAATAATTGTAAATTAAAAAATATAAAAAAAAAAAAAAGCAGTGTGCAAATTCAGCTACGAATGAATTGCCATTAACGAATGTATTTAAGGGGTAAAAATAAAATGGTAGCAACGATTTTCTGTTTTAACTTTTTATTATTACCTTACATGTAGTCTACGGAGATTTGCATAATGAGAAATAATTAATTTGCATTGAACATTCGATTAACTTGAATTAGTTGTCATTCTTTGTTTTCTTCTTTGACCCCAACCCTACCATGTGTCTCCAAGTATTTTGCTTACATTACCACTGCTTTTGTTTGCTTCATATTAGACACATTAATTTTAAGAAAGTGAAATCACAATAAGTTAACACTTTGTTGTTAAAGATAGTTTGCAAGAATGGAAAAAGAAACATGGAACGGGGGGTTTACATGTATGCTATACAGCATGGTATAACGAATACCGTACACATGGTGTAGGATATATATACATACATGTGTGTGTATAAATATATAAAGCTTTATAACTAATTCATGATGGAGAGCATTATTTACGATAATGGAAAAAGTCTTGTTCACATTTATTGCGAGTCAAACTTGTTCAAATGTGATAAAGTCGGGTTTGTCATATTTAAAAATTCATAAGATGGTTGGAATATGCAATATCGAGCACGAAAAGACTAAACACGCGTAGTAGCATATGAGTACGAATATTATTATATGCACATTTGCAATCAATCAGTTTTATACACATAAAAAAACTTACACACAAAGTGAGTATGTGTATCATGGGTGTGTAGTATCCAAACACGCGCACGCATGCATGCATACATACATACATACATCCATACATTCATAATTATATATACACAGACATGCGCTTACACATGGAAACACATGCTGTAGGGCCATTTACAATCTGATTATTAACAAATATATTTAGCAAGAATCTCCCATTCCATTAAGTGGAAAAAAATAGCTGCCCCATTAATTTTATTTTTTAATTTTTTTTATTTATTTTTTTTTTTCAATTACTGTCTTTGAAGTAGGCATGTTCAAGGGCCTGTTTTGCAGTGATTCTCTGATTTGGATCAAGTTTCAGCATTTTCGAAAGCAAATCAATTCCAGTATCATCTAATCCTTTTAACTAGAAAGAAAAACAAAGGGGGTAATTATTATTTTGTCGTATGAAATGTACATTATGTAACAATATATGTGCAATATATAAGGGATGCAAATGGAAAAGCAACAAGTTCTAATGTGTTGCGTAACAACAGCGTAGTGAATCCAAATTGACATATAAGGAGAGAAAATGAAGGAGAGAAAAATATTCATTCGTAAGGGTATATAATTGATATGTGCTATTTTCCATGTGCGCTTATCCATATGGACATCTCTCTATAAATGTTGGTATTACAAATGTTTCCCATGGCAATGGCTCATAAACCATAAAATTCGGGTCATATTTTGGCAGTTCAGTTACATTTGGCCAAGTCTGCGAATTGGGGGTTCCCAGAATTTTGAATATTCTCATTAGCTGATCTGTTTCAGACACCCCTGGGAATAATGGTCTGCCATTTACCATTTCGGCAAATATACATCCGACGCTCCACATATCAATTGGAGTGGAATATTTCTTTGAACCCATTAAAACGTCCGGTGCTCTATACCACAATGTTACAACTTCATGAGTATATTTTCTCACTGGTATTCCAAAGGCTCTGAGGTGACAGATGCAAATTAGTGGTACGCGCACAGGTATATATAAGTGTAGGCAAAAAAGCATATTATGTGTGTGGCAGATACAGCATGCACATGTGAATACGTATCACATACAAGTGTGCTTGTGTGGGAAAGAGCAAGAAGATGAGAACAGAAATGACGAAAAAGACTAAAAGGATGTAAAAAAAAAAAAAAAAAAATGCGTGGGAATTACCTGGCTAATCCAAAATCTGCGATTTTCAATTCTCCTTCTCTATTTATTAATAAATTTTGCGGTTTTAAGTCACGGTGTAAAACTCTATGTTCATGACAATAGGCTATTCCATTTAGCAATTGAAGTAAAAATGACTTTGCCGTTACTGATTCGAGTCCTCCTGGGAATAAAATTTTTCCAAGGTTAAGAAGAAACTCTTTTTTCTCGACAAGGGTATATTAATATACAAAAATACACATTTACACACATGACTATTTACATGTCTCATAATTGTATGGTATGAGCCATTTTGGGTGTTCCATTAACACATGTGAATAATACCACCATAATACATATATCCACACATAACACTCAAATATATACATGCCAAAAAAAAATAGATATGTAAATAGAATGTAAAACATGAACAAACAAGAGATTTTGCAATATGCTTTCTATCATTTTTCACCATCGCATACGTCTAGAAGTTTTTTAAGGTCTTGATCAAGATGCTCGAAAACTAGTATTAATCTTTTTTTTGTGTGTATTACATCATATAACTTTACTATGTTTGAATGTTTTAATTCCTTTAAAATGCTAATTTCTCGAATCGCTGCATGGAAAATGGAAAAGTGCAACGCTTAAACATGTATATGTTTAAATTAAATAAAAATGTGGGCAATTATTAATATATGCTTACATATATATACACATATTACTTAAAGCGAAATTGTCCTTGAATACAACAATAGTATTAAAACTCAGGCATTTTTGACAACGTCTTTTTGCACATTAATTATATACATTACATACACATGTGTTTAATTTGAAATAAATCCCCAATGGGGGCCACATATTTGTGATCATGAGTTTGCTAACCAGTTGACGGAATACCTTCATCCTCTTTTTCTAGTCTTATTTTTTTTAAAGCAAATGTTTCACCATAATTGTTTTGTGCTTTGTAAACTACACCATATGTACCTTCTCCAATTTTTTCTAATCCATGGTATTTTTCCATTTTTTTTTTTTTTTTCTTTTTTTTTCAAGTAAAAATCACAAATAATGTGCTTTTACTTTTTTAAACCCAGTACTCACACCTTATCATCACAATAAATATTGGTGAACAAGTACATTTTTGGAAAAAAAAAAATATGCCCTTAATATAGCCTAATGTAAAATATCTACAGCGAAAATGCAAAAAAATTAAAACAAGCCAAATATTTTCCTAAAATTTTTTTATTTTAAGCCATTGTAATTTTATTTTTATTTTTTTTTTTTTTTCTACATTAGGCAATAATTTTTTCCCAGAACATGAAATAAAAAAAAAAAAAAAAAAAAAATGTAAAGCTATTTGCACACATTGCATAAGTAGGAAGAAGATTCATCTGTATAATATACACATGAAAATATATAATGGGCATAAGGGTTATATATATTTTTTCTTTGTTAATTGCCTTTTTTTGATTCGTATTGCCTAGATATCTTAAAATTCGTTTATTTTTAAGGATATATTTGCTAGCCATATAAGGTGTGCTCTTAAACTTGTCAATAAAAATTATGAACAGTTCATACAAGTAATTTTCCTTTTACAAGTTTTTACTAGCGCTGTTTAACAATAGTTATTGTTATTTATTCATGATACGTTAAATGTATATGCATATATGTAATTTTATAAGGATGTTTCTCATGACAACGAGATGTTATAAATTTTTTCTGAATGTATGTATATTAACATAGGCGAAAACCGAAAAAGGAAAATATAATATATGTAAAGCGTAATATATAATATATAGTGTGTAATGTATAATGCACAATACGTAACATGAAATTGTCTGAAAACCTCTTATTATGGTATAAAATCTCAAAAATAAAAAAGCTTAATATGCGTAAAATGTTTATTTCTTTGCTGGGTTTTTAGCAGATACAGCTCCAGGTTCTTTCTTCTCTACTGCTTTGATAATACCAACAGCAATTGTTTGTCTCATATCTCTAATAGCAAATCTTCCCAAAGGTGGATATTCTGTAAATGTTTCAACAACCATAGGCTTCTTTGGTTCTAAGCTAACTAAGGCAGAATCTCCAGATTTGATAGATTTGGGATTTTCTTCAACAACCTTTCCGGAACGTTTATCAATTTTCGAATCGATATTTAAAAATTTGCAAGATATGTGAGCAGTGTGACAATCTAAAACAGGACTGTATCCGTTTTTGATTTCACCTGGGTGGTTCAGTATAATAACCTGTGCTGTAAATTTGGAACATCCTTTTGCTGGCTCATTCTTTGTATCTGATGCAACATATCCTCTTTTAATTTCCTTCACTGAAACGTTCTTCACATTGAAACCGATATTGTCACCTGGTCTGGCTTCTTCCAACACTTCCTTGTGCATTTCAACAGATTTACATTCAGAAACAACAGCTGATGGTGCAAAATTCAAAACCATACCTGCTTTCAAAATACCTGTTTCAACTCTTCCTACTGGGACAGTACCGATACCTCCAATTTTGTACACACCTTGAAGAGGTATTCTTAATGGCTTGTCATATGGCCTCTTGGGAGGTTCCATAGTATCCAAAGCTTCAATCAGCGTTCTTCCCTTATACCATGGGGTTTTGTCAGATTTCTCAATGAGGTTATCTCCTTCAAAACCGGATATGGGTATAAAATCAACCTTATCAGCTTGGTACCCAACCTTCTTCAAGTAATCTCTAACTTCCTTTTTAATTTCTTCATATCTATCTTCTGAGTACTTAACTGTGTCCATCTTATTAACACCAACAACAATTTGTTTAACTCCTAAGGTAAAGGCTAGTAAGGCATGTTCCTTCGTTTGACCTTCCTTTGAGAACGCACCTTCAAAACCACCAACTTCTGCTGGTACAACCAACAAGGCTACATCAGCTTGTGATGTACCCGTAATCATATTTTTTATAAAATCTTTATGACCTGGTGCATCAATAACTGTGAAGAAGTATCTTGGGGTTTCAAATTTCCATAAGGCAATATCAATAGTGATACCTCTTTCTCTTTCTGCCTTAAGTTTATCCAAAACCCATGCGTACTTAAAACTACCTTTACCCATTTCAGCTGATTCCTTTTCAAACTTTTCAATGGTTCTCCTATCAATTCCTCCTAATTTGTAAATAATGTGACCAGTTGTTGTCGACTTGCCACTATCGACATGGCCAATAACCACCAAGTTAATATGAGTTTTCTCCTTTCCCATTTTAAATATACTTTACTTTTTCTTAAAAAGATTGTATCTATGTGCAATTAGTATATATGCACGTGGATATAATAAAACACTTGTGGTGTATAATAAATATGAAATGAATTTAAAAAAATATTAAAATGTTGCTAACGCGAAGCGTGAAAAAAGGTACTTTTTTTTTTTCTTTTTTTTTTTGTTTTAAAGTTTTTATTCTTTTGTACGTAGCTCGTTCCATGCGATATAAAAAAATAAAGAAAAAAAAAAATGTTGTTACGAATAAAATAATTTTAACACTGTAATAAAAATTATGACCAAGTCAAATAAAAGGTGATTAAAAAAAATAATTAAATAAAAATAAAACAAAAGGGAACACCAGCAAATAGTGACCAATAGATATGTGAAATATTTTTTTCGTTTATTTTTTTTTATTTAAAGCAGCATATTGTATACATTTAATATTATATTATCTTGAAATGATATATGTTCATGGTGATTTGAATTATGCAGTTAACTCGGAACCATGTGGCAATTTCTCCCCATAAATCTTTTTTGTAATAAAAGAAATATCCACTGGTGTTAAGAGGGGTGGGGATTAAGAAATTAGTGCTCATCTTATAAGCCTGTAAAAAATGGCATTTGTTATGTTTGCACTTATGGAAATGTTCAAAATGGTTTAGTTAGAGAAAAAATGGGCCTCAATGGAGAGATATTTCATCTATACAAGATAATAAAACAAATTGTTTTTTGTCGTTTTTTGCTAGTTACCAAATGTTTTGTTTATTCTTTGACATTCGTGCACATGTACCCCCAAACGTATGTATTCCTTTGAGAAGTTTAAAGATGCCTATGTAATTATATACTCATGTGGTGACAGCATTTTTTACACCCCACATTCATAATTTCATAAATAGAATTTTCGCACGAACATGTGGATGTATAGTGATGCAGCACACTTGTTATTTTTTTTTGGTGCTTAATAATTTTTCCACATTTTATTTTATTGTACACAAATAACAATTAGCACATTTTGAATAAAATAAGAAAATTTTAAATTGCTTTTTATTTTGATGCTCAAAAAGTACAGAAAATTTTTTTTTATTAACATGTACGCATTAAAAAATAAAATGAAAAAAACATGAACACACAAATTAGCACAATAGTTACAAATATAACAAAACACATAAATAAATTACCCCTTTTTTGACTGTTTTGAAAAAGAAAAAAACACTTTTTAAATACATATTTTGTAAATTTTTATAAAGTATTAATCAAATTAAAAGTATATATACATAATAATACAATACATACATTTTTTTTTTTTTTTCTTCACTTAAATATTATTTAAAATGGGAAAGGAGAAAACTCATATTAACTTGGTGGTTATTGGCCATGTCGATAGTGGCAAGTCGACAACAACTGGTCACATTATTTACAAATTAGGAGGAATTGATAGGAGAACCATTGAAAAGTTTGAAAAGGAATCAGCTGAAATGGGTAAAGGTAGTTTTAAGTACGCATGGGTTTTGGATAAACTTAAGGCAGAAAGAGAAAGAGGTATCACTATTGATATTGCCTTATGGAAATTTGAAACCCCAAGATACTTCTTCACAGTTATTGATGCACCAGGTCATAAAGATTTTATAAAAAATATGATTACGGGTACATCACAAGCTGATGTAGCCTTGTTGGTTGTACCAGCAGAAGTTGGTGGTTTTGAAGGTGCGTTCTCAAAGGAAGGTCAAACGAAGGAACATGCCTTACTAGCCTTTACCTTAGGAGTTAAACAAATTGTTGTTGGTGTTAATAAGATGGACACAGTTAAGTACTCAGAAGATAGATATGAAGAAATTAAAAAGGAAGTTAGAGATTACTTGAAGAAGGTTGGGTACCAAGCTGATAAGGTTGATTTTATACCCATATCCGGTTTTGAAGGAGATAACCTCATTGAGAAATCTGACAAAACCCCATGGTATAAGGGAAGAACGCTGATTGAAGCTTTGGATACTATGGAACCTCCCAAGAGGCCATATGACAAGCCATTAAGAATACCTCTTCAAGGTGTGTACAAAATTGGAGGTATCGGTACTGTCCCAGTAGGAAGAGTTGAAACAGGTATTTTGAAAGCAGGTATGGTTTTGAATTTTGCACCATCAGCTGTTGTTTCTGAATGTAAATCTGTTGAAATGCACAAGGAAGTGTTGGAAGAAGCCAGACCAGGTGACAATATCGGTTTCAATGTGAAGAACGTTTCAGTGAAGGAAATTAAAAGAGGATATGTTGCATCAGATACAAAGAATGAGCCAGCAAAAGGATGTTCCAAATTTACAGCACAGGTTATTATACTGAACCACCCAGGTGAAATCAAAAACGGATACAGTCCTGTTTTAGATTGTCACACTGCTCACATATCTTGCAAATTTTTAAATATCGATTCGAAAATTGATAAACGTTCCGGAAAGGTTGTTGAAGAAAATCCCAAATCTATCAAATCTGGAGATTCTGCCTTAGTTAGCTTAGAACCAAAGAAGCCTATGGTTGTTGAAACATTTACAGAATATCCACCTTTGGGAAGATTTGCTATTAGAGATATGAGACAAACAATTGCTGTTGGTATTATCAAAGCAGTAGAGAAGAAAGAACCTGGAGCTGTATCTGCTAAAAACCCAGCAAAGAAATAAGTCTTATGCTCTTTGTAACATATTCTGTATATACATGTTACATACATATATGCTTATTTACATATATTTTACATGGAATTTTTTTATATTTGTTCTGTTTATACGTTTGTACAAATAGATAAAATATTAGAGTTACAGGAATTATATGTAAAATATTAAAAAAAAAAGGAAAAGAAAAAGAAAAAAACCAAATTACATAAAATTGGCTTTTTTTTTTACATTATTTATATTTTTATATTGGATATATAATAGAAAAATATTAAATGAAATCAAAGATATTAATAAGCAGTGTTAATTTTACTTTTTCTTTAATAAAGGAATTTTACATATATATATGCATATATATACGAACTTAAAATTAATATATAGAGATAATAAATAAATTGAGGTTAATAAAGTGTGTACCACATGAAAAAATTTGAGAAAGCCATACACTAGCATATTTTATTACCCTTTTAAATGTGCAAAGGATTGTAATGCTATTGTGCGAAAAGTATAAAATTTGGTTGTTTCTATATATTCCCTATGGGTTGATATATGTGCGTAAAAAATTATTAAGTAAAAAAAAAAAAAAAAAAAAAAAAATTTATTAAAAATGGAAAAGGCATAGTTTCAACAGTAAGAACTTATGTATGGATGTGTGAAAATCACTGTTTGAACAACTCTAACTCCTTTTGTTTCTTACAAATTGTGTATGGGATAAATAATAATTTACATAAACTATACATTATAAGTGTGCAGTAGAATGTGTCATATCTCTCTTTTGTTATGTGTACTTATGGAAAAACAAAATTTGGTGTAGTCAAATTTTAAGAATTTATCTGGAACATTTGAAAATTCTTCTACATATTTATTTTTTTTATCAAAACTTCTGTTGGTAAAATTGTGTGAGCGTTGAATCGCAAGCACAAAAAATATGTAAGGGTTAAAAGGATAAAAAAAGATTAAATAAAAAGATCCCTAACAGCTCTTGTGAAAACACTCCTAGGATTTTTGTGACTCCATGAAAAAAAATGAGCCTTCAGAAGTTTTAACAGATTAAAGCAATTGTGAACAAATTCAGATGATGCATTTACATTTTGTGTAAAACCTTGCCAGTTCATGTATTGTACACCTTTTTTTTTTTTTTTTTTTTTTTTTTCTTTTTTTTACTTTTTTGATCACACAAAATTTGAAACATATCTGTAATAGCGAAATAAAACACAAGATATCAAAATATGAAATTAACATTTTCACTTTTGAACCTTGTTATAATAAATGCAAATGTGATTGTAGAATCTAAGGGTTCCATTCAGTCTTTCTTAATAAAAAAGATAAATCATCAAATAGTTTTATTATATCATAAAAGAAATAAACTATGTTTTATTTTAAAAAATAAAAAAGGAAAATTTTGTAAATATAAGGGTAAAAAATGTAAAGCAAAAAAAAACAAAATTCTCAAGGGGGAGGATGTTAATAATCCTTGTGTTCATCCCAGATTAAGGTTTGCCCCAAGTCCAACTGGATTTTTACATATAGGAGGATGTAGAACTTTTTTATATAATTACATTTTAGCTAAACAATTAAACGGATCACTAATTCTCCGAATGGAAGACACAGATGCGAGCAGAAACACACAGAGTTCATTCTATGAAATAATTAAAGACTTAAGGTAGTATATATAAAAACGTTGTTTTCTCTACTATCTTCATATTGTGTAGAAGACTAACACCTGCTGCATGTGCTGCTCAACAGTTACGTGCTCCTACATATACATATGTATATATATCTATATGTTTTTCAAAATAGTATCCACATTAGAGAGAGACACAGAGAGAAATAGATGGGGGAGGAGGGGCCCATATATCAACTCTCGTTCTATGACAGACAAGACTTACCTGATTATTTTATATGCCTAAACTGATTTAGACCCACACAAAGCCTCATACGCCCAAAATAAAACACATAATACCTCATTTTGATTTTTGCACTTTCGACATGATAACACAGATGGCTAAATTTAAGCTGGGATGAAGGCCCAGATATTGGAGGGGCATACGGACCGTACAAGCAGTCGGAGAAAATTGAACTTTACAAGTATGGATTGTGATAAAAAAAAAAAAAAAAAAAAAAGGAAATAAATAAGTACGTGTGTATATAGTTATATATACATGCAGATATAGATATATTTTTAAATCCATACATATGCTGGGGTATTATGTAGCCCATGTTTGCATGCAGGAAACTGTTCTATTCCTGACTGAAGAATTTTCTATGGATACTCGAATTTTACGCTTGAATTTGTTTTACAGAAAAATAGCCCATGATTTGATTGAAGAAGGAAAAGCCTATTTTTGCTTTTGTTCGAAAGAAGAACTAAATGAAAAGAAGGAGATGGTACAGCAGGAGACACAGCAGAGAAGCAACATTCAGTCCCCCAATGCATAATTGATTGAAAAAAAAAAAAAAATAAAAAATAAAAAAGAGCAACAGAAACAGATGTAGCAACATTCCATTTTTGCTTTCCTTTTCTTGCACTGCTTCAGGCCAAAAGGACAAGAACAAAGTATGCGTATGATAGAACATGCCGAAACTTGATTAATCAGAAGGTTCAGGAATTTATCTTAGAAAAAAAGTCATACACTATACGATTCAAATCTCCAATTGGCAGAAAAATTATATTGAAGGACATATTAAAAAATGAAATTGTGGATACAGTGAACGAGGATTTTATTATACTTAGAAGTGATTATTCACCCACATATAATTTTGCAGCATCAGTGGATGATTATTTAATGAAGATATCTCATGTTATAAGGGGTGTAGAGCACATCTCAAACACATTTAAGTGAGATGGAGGAACATTATATATGCATGTGCAGAAGGTGTGTGTTATGTGCATGATCAGCATTTGACCTTTGCACAATCGTGTACATACCAACAGTACATGAAAAAAAAAAAAAAAAAAAAAAGGGGCAGCTTCGAATGTTACACGTGCTGAGCGATAAAGATGATTTCACATGTAGCATGTACATGTATTATCTGCACCTCTACCCACAAACGATAAAACTGAGCACCTAAATAATCCCTTCATTTAAACGCTGTTTTAACCACTATAGACAAATTTTAGTTCTGGAGGCTCTGAATGCTCAAATCCCCATGTATGCTCACGTCCCTGTGTTAACAACTGTGGAAAAAAAAAAAATTAGTAAACGGAACAATGAGTGTTTAATACGGAATTTAAGGTACTTAAACATGTAAATATGTGCATATATATGTATGTCTACATATGTATATATATACGCAAACATACATGTAATTTTTTTTTTTTTTGTTTGTTTCATTTTTTTAGAGATGAAGGTTTTAATCCAGATTGCATAATTAATTATATAGGAACCCTTGGATGGGGTAGTGCCTCTAGAAGGTTAGACATTTAGCAGTAAGGATTAGGGACGAGCACACACAGGTTGACATACACACTCACTCGCGTTCGTACTTATGCATATGTGCTGTTCACACATGTAGGAAAGCATACAACCTGTTTACATATTGTGTGTTTCTCGTCCTGAACACATCGATACTGCACAACTGAAGCACACATTTTCCACTCCCCCTAACACGCTTCACCCATGTAGGGAATTTTACACCCTGGATGAACTAATAGGCACGTTTGATTTACACGCACTTAACAAATCTGCACTTGTATTTGACATAAAAAAGTTAAAATGGATGAATAAAAAATACATGTTGAATCAAGACTTGGAAACTTATGTAAAACGAGCACAGGAGTTTTTAATTGGCAAACAAGTGTTAATAAAAGGGGGAATGGAATTTATAAAACTTTGTATTAGTTCCTTTAAAGACGATGTACATAATTATGAGGAGCTGAAAGAGTATATAATAGGAGTGATTTCATATGACCATTTGAATCATCAGTTAGATAAAAATAATGAACTTTTAAAAAAGATAACTGTATTTTTATGTAATTTATGGGATGAAAATAAGAATAGTAAGAAATGCTTTGAAACTTTCATGGCAGAAAATTTCGATGAATTAATACAAGGTCTTATGAAAGATATCAACATAAGGAAAAATGAAATTTTATTAAAAGTCCGTTATTTATTAACCTTTCAAAATAAGGGTGTTCCATTTGTACATCTGTTTAAATTATGGGCATTAGCAACAAAAAATAAAGTTCCAAATTATGTTCCTTTAAAGGATAGGATTCAATACTTGAGAGGTGTATTTGGTGTATGAATGTATTTTTCGTGCTTACTACCTTTTCTCTCAGTCTCTTTCTTTTTTTCTTCATCGAAATTGGCATAATCAACATTGTGATTATATTCTCCTTATGTAATCGTTTCTCATTTTATATGAACATTATTTTTTTTTTATGTTTTTCTATTTTTATATTCTTATCCATTCTTTTGGCATGTACCATACATGGAGGATGATTATATATTGCTGCCCCCCCTTGTTTCATAAAAAAGAGGAGAAAAACTGACAACATGAAGTATGTTGATTTGAATGCATATATGAATAAGTGTATGAACAAATGCACTTATGTGTTTATGTATACGTTTGCATATAGAAAAGTAGTATACTATTCTAACACCGTGCTGTCCACACGGTCTCTCTTTTTACCAAATTTGAAAGATAATTTTTCATTCTTAGAAAAAACTGTGATATGAAAGGAAGTAGGTTACCTTTTTTTTTTTTTTTTCTTTTTATGATAAAATTTGTGAAATTGTGAATGTAGTATGCCAACGTCGCACATATACACACTTCTCCTATTTTTTTTTTTTTTTTTTTTTTTTTTTTTTTCTCCACTTTGATGCCTAATTTTAGAATTTTTTTTTTTTTTTTTTTTTTTGTTTTAATTAAAAGAGGGAGACATTTTATTATGGTGTGTTTTTTTCCCCCTTTAGCATTATAGACATAGTTATGCTATTTACTTATCTACTCATTCATTTTTCTTCTTTTTAAATTGTTAATACATTGAAAATAGGTGCTGAGAAAATGTTTTCTCTACTTTATGCTTTGAAACCTTCAAAGAAATGCTTCTTTTTCTTTTTTTCAATACGTGTCTCTAAAATTGCATGAAGGCAGTGTTTGTGTAAAATCTTTGAAAAGGGAGTTTTTTTTTTCTCTCTCAGATTTCTACTACTTTTGATTCCCTTTCTTGTTCTTTATTTTACCTTCTATGTGTTTTTTCCTCGTTTCTACCTCTACCCTATGTTCGTTTATTCATGTTCTAAATCAATTGTAATCTACAATATTATTCAAATTAGTGCAGAATACATCAATTACTTGGTCCCTCCCATCACTTTCAATCACTTTCAATCGCTTACAATCACTGTCATTCACTTGGACTCATTTGCACTCACTACTCATATAGTGAAAGCGTAAAATGGAAGAGGGGGAGGGGAAGAAATACTCGTCCAAATTTGAGATAAAGGGGATTTGTATGACAAGCGAGAATTGTGAAAAAATTTGCAAGATATGCTTAAAAGCAATTCGAGAAAATAAACTTGAAAAAGATATAGCAAGTCAAATAAAAACCAAGTGTGAAAATGATGAAATGTTAAATAAGGAAAATTTAACTGATGAAACAAGTTATTTAAACCTGATAGACAATTTAAAGAATGAAAACATTGGATCGTGGCAATGCATTGTTGGGAAAAATTTTGCATTTTCTATAAATTACCAATTTAACTGTATGATATATTTTCAGCATAAAACCACGAAATTGACCATTTTAATATACAAATCGGTGTGAACTCCTAAAGTCTATGTGTATATGTACATATGGGGAATTTTATATATATTTTTATGTATGCATAAGTCCATATAGTTGCAAGTACGTGCCTTTTTTTTTTTTTTTTTTTTTTTTTTGTGTTTCAACTTCTTTTACTATTTTTCACCATATTTCACCATTTTTCATTACATTTTACTATTTTCACCTTATTTCACCATTTTTCATTACATTTTACTATTTTCACCTTATTTCACCATTTTTCATTACATTTTACCATTTTCACCTTATTTCACAATTTTTCATTACATTTTACCATTTTCACCTTATTTCACAATTTTTCATTACATTTTACCATTTTCACCTTATTTCACAATTTTTCATTACATTTTACCATTTTCACCTTATTTCACAATTTTTCATTACATTTTACCATTTTCACCCTATTTCACCATTTTTGATTATTTTTTTCCACCCCCTTTTATGCATACACGAATGTATGCATTAGTGCAACACAAAAGGTGTTGACATTTCGACCCATAAAAATTAGGGGATCAGATTTAATTTCCCCTGCCTGAACCGGAATTACTTTTTCGAAAAATTTATCTGAACATGATCCCATATGGCAGGACACATGAGGTTTGAATCCTCCATTACTTAGTGTATAACGCACACGTATCGGCCAAGTTCACGAATGTACGTGTGTGTATGTACTGAGTAGAAATTAATTTGTTTTAAGAACTTTGCATAAAAATATATATAAATTTTGCATGTGTTCAAATAAACATGCGTATATTTTGGGAATACACGAATATGAACCCAAATACACTCAGGTATGGAAGAGATGCATGCATTAGCCACTATGCGAAGGGGGATGCAAAATTAGGTTTCAAATTTTAGTTATAGCATTTAGAATGAATATAATAAAAATTTTGCACAAAAAGAGGTTTTTCCGACACAGGGACGGGATTTGTTGACTGATGACGCAAATTTAACCAAATAAAAACTTTTCGTTTTCTTGAAAAAGAAAAAATCAGAAAATCATAAAGGGGTAAAGAAAACGTGCACTGTGGAAGATGCAAAGAAGGATAGGAGTGAAAAAAAAAAAAAAAAAAAAAAAAAATAGCAATACAAAATAAACCTAATAAACCAATAAACACATATAAAAAGTATCAAATATAACGAATGTTCTATACCTTATCAACACAGCACTTTTTCATCTTGCGTCGGGTCCTTTAGAACATGTATATATACATATATATATATATATATATATGTACGCATATGAATTAACCTGTTCCTGAAGCTCTGAAATATGCTTTTAGCCAATGCATAACAATAGGCTGTTAATCTTTAATTCTATTCTACACCGCTCTTCATCAAACTTCATATACAGTTACAATCAACACGCACATAAGTCTATTTCATCCAATTGGGAGATCATTATATAGGGGTAAAAAACATATACTAGGGAGTTTCACGCATGGTTATGAATGCGTGCATATACACACATTACACCTTAAACATTAGTATGTGCAAAAAAGAAAAAAAAATAAAATAAAAAATAAAAAAAAATATAAATGTATGCAAATATACAGAATAATCTTACCTTTTTGTTTCTTTACATATAGCTTTTCTTAACTCACCAATGTGTGCTCCTAGTTTTTTTTTTTTTTTTTTTTTTTTTTTTTTTTTTGTTTTATGATTTTTTTAAAAGTTACACTGTGTGAAATAACCTTATTTTGCAGATAAGAAAGTTTGGTTTTTTTTTTTTTTTTTTTTTTTTTTTCGCATTTGCACACCAAGCTTTTTTCGCCTTTTGTTGTTTTTATTTTATTTTATTATTTAATAATTTTTATTTTTTACTATTTCACACCGAATTGTTCATGCGTTGCTACTTTTTTATTATTTTATGTATTTATTTTTTCCCCCGTTCCAACGAATTTGTTAATTACTCGTTTACCATTGTATCTGTTTAAAGAAAAAGGCAAAAGAAAAAAAAAAAAAAAAACGTTGAGTAACTTAAAACAACAGAGAGAAGACAACAAAGGAATGAAATAAAAGCACAATTAAACTGATTCGACACATAGATTGATATTGATCATACATATTTAAAGGTAGCATTAAAATGTCGATAAATCGTGTAAAATTGAAGCATTTTTATTGCGAACATTTTGAGGATGATATAGGTGCATCAAGCACAACAGAAGAGAAAAAAAAAGACATGAAAAGGAAAAAAAAAAATATCAAAAAAGAAGCAAATAATTCAAGAAAGAATAGAATACTCGTATTATCCAAAGGATTGAACATAAAAAATGTAAGTAAACTGAATGATTCTATCCAATCAAATGACGAAACAACAGTAAGGACAAGGAATAGGCTACGAAAAAAAATAATAACAGATAGCAGTTGTGATGAAGAAAATAGAAAACGTGATACGTTTGAGGATTACGGTGTACGTGATAACAGTAATGAAAATACAAAGAAGAAATTTACATGTTTCAGACAGCAAAATAAGTGTGAGGAACCATGTGTAGACACCAAAGTGAGGAGAAATTCTGGACGAAACAAGGTAATTGATACTACAGATGAAAGCAAAAACAGTGATGAATTAAGTACTTCGGAAGTTGGAGAGGTCTTTCCCCCTGCAGAGAATAGAAAGCAAGGGACTGTGTTAAGCATTTGCTCACGTATGAGCAGGGGTGAAGAAGCGATAAGGAAATCCCCAATTGGTAAGAGCGACGATTATGAAGATAGTACAGACAATGGTAATGCAGGTGGGAAAGGTATATACTGTGAGAGGAATGGAAAAAAGAATGAAATGGAAGAAGAAGGAGTTACTAATAAATTGCAAATGGAGTGTGACCTGAGCGTGGAAAGAAACAAAAGTAAACAGAGTGAACACACAAATGACAAAGTGTATTCTAGCCTTTTTAGCGAAAATGATTCGGAGGAAACTTCCGTTCAAGAAAATCAACGCGATGATTGCGTGTTCAGTATTGACGATGCAGAGGATGAGGGAAATGATGAAAGTATGAGTTATGGCAAAGTAAACAAAAAGAAAGAGAGGAATAAAAAAAATGGCGTGTCTAAAATTAAGAAAAAATGTAGTAAAAATTCTGGTGCACACAGTTTAGAAAACTCTTATAATGAAAATTCGTGCGATAATTATGACCATTCAAGTTTTTACGTAAATGATTATGGGAATTCAGCTGGTGAGACAAATTTATCATACGAAAGTGGAAATGAAAATTACAACCAATTTGACGAGTATGCTTTGCATTTGAAAATATTTAATGAACAAAATTTTGGTAATGATATGTTTCAATTTAATTCTATAAGCGTTAAAAAATCCATTAGATTGTACATTGAATTTACTGCTCTGTCTCTTTTATCCCCCAGTTTAAAATATGATGCAAATTATTTCAAAGCTTCAGAAAGTGTACAGAATATCGAACAGTCTCTTAAGGTAAAATATTCAAGTATTCACAAAGAATTTGATAAAAAAAATTCGCTTGAGGAGTACTACAATAACTCAGATGAATCTGTAAGAGTACGCAAGAAAAAAGAGAAAAAAAAAAAAAATTTGAAAAAATTGTGCCATCTTGTCAATGATAGTGAAGTTAGTTATGAGAAAAACAACAGATATAATAAAAAATGGGACTCGAATAAATATTCCGTAATTAGTGATGAGAAAAGGAAAAAGGAAAAGAAAAAAAAATACATTCTTACTGATAGCAGTAGTACTACTACTCAGACATCCGATGTGAAAGCCTCAAGTGCTATGAGTGCAGATGATCAACGGGATGTCCATTCGAAGAGGAAATTTTCCGAAAATCCCAGTAGCGCGGGGGATGTTGAAAAGGAGAAACAAGGAGGGAGAGAAGGAGATGAGGATGAAGAAGAGGGAGAAGAAGAAGAAGACGAAGAAGAGGAAGAAGAAGACGAAGAAGAGGAAGAAGAAGATGAAGAAGAGGAAGAAGAAGATGAAGAAGAGGAAGACGAAGAAGACGATGAAGACGAAGAAGAAGACGAATATGAAGATGACGATGACATGATCGTTTGCGATAAAGAGGGGAAGGGGAAGAAGAAAAGATCCTCCAAACAAGTGAAGGATAGTGTAATGTACAAGCTTCTAAACAGAGACATGGTAAAAATATACGAGTTTGTAAAGAAGGAAGAGAATTTTAGTAATTACGATTTTTTAAAAATGATTTGTAAAATTAGTAAAAACAAACCAAGTAATTACTATGATCGATGTGTTCAGAAGATAGAAAAAAAAATTTTGTCCAAGAGAGATCAATTTGAATCTCATCCATTCGAAACAAATTTTAAAAACATTTTAAAGAATTATGCAAATATATTTATATATTATTTGGAGTATAACAAAAATCATTGTTGTTGTTGCAATAGAAAATTAAGTTATGCTTGTCCAGTTTTTTTCATTAAACCCTTTTACAATTCATCTGATTTATGGAATAATAGTTTTTTCAATTTTATGAAAGTAAATCATTTTGAGTGGCTGGGAAAAGAAAATTTTCCTATTTTTAAAAATCCACTTGAAAAATGGAATAAGAGAAATGAAGATGAACGTAAAATGAAAAACATTAAGCAATCAAATAAATTGTTCATAAGAACTCAAAATGAAAAGAAGAGAAAAAATATGCTTCGGCATTCTAACAAGAATCATGTAGATAATCATTCAATTGTAATGAATGAAGAATATATTGTTAATTACTTAAAACAAAATGAAGAAATGAACACCTTTCGATATATAGGAAATATAGATGAAAAGCGATTAAAAAGAAAGAAAAAAGGTTTTAAATTTAATAATTTTGAATGTCATGTTAAGTCTAATGAATGTAAAGAAAGTAATTTGAATAGTATTATGAAAAATATATGTGAACATTTTTCTAATTTATCAGAAAATTATATAGAAAAAGACATTTTAGTTTTGCATCTTGGTTCCTATTGCGTTTCTACAGTGTACTACTGGCATGTGTTTCATCATTATAAATTTTTTTTTACAAAATTTATTTATTTGCGCTTGCTAGACCTTCACAAGAAGAGCAAATACTTGTTTCGAGAACCTCTGTTACTGGCTTATGTCTTATCCAAAAAATTAAACAATGACTTGTATCGCGATTTCAAAATTCTCATGAACATTGACATTTCGCAAATTCAGCATAAGTTAAATGAGTGTGACTTGTTTGTCAGGTGAACCTATCCCATAGGATTATGGGGACTTACTCTTTCTTAATTATGTCTTTGTATAACAAAATTTTGAAAAAGACAAAAATAAATCCATTATATGCTCCTGTCTGTATAGTAGTTTATACTCACCTCATATATTTCCATTTTCCTCCCACGCAAAACATTTTACATGGGAAGGATGTGGGGGGGGGGGGTACAAAATAAAATTGGGAACTCATAAAAACATATAGCTTTTGCCATGTGTGTCTGCCATTATAATAAGCCTTTCTGGCCAAGTTCATGATACCCATACGTGGTAATATCAGAATATATCCTCCCGCTGCGAGATGATTATATCTGAATGTAGGTAAACCACTGTGAGAAATTGCAAATTTGCCATATTATTTTTTCCCCTTTTACGGGAACATTTTCCCATTTTGCTTTTCCAATAAACACTGCACACTATGTGGCTATTTAAAAAAAAAAAAAAAAAAAAAAAAAAAAAATGGGACTCTTTAAAACACTTATATTCGCTTTAATCCATAATGTTACAAAATTTTCTCCACAAATGTTTTATTTTTATTTTTCATCTAACCGATAGGTATCTACATATATATATGTATCTGCATACATGTCTTCGTTTTTTTTTTTTTTTTTTTTTTTTTTTTTTTTTTTTTTTGTCGCAAAAAGAAAAATTAATAAATGAACTTTTTTCCAAATTTTGAAATATTGATGTTCCTTCCTTCGAGGGAATTTACGCCTCAACAAAAAAATAACAAAGTGGAGTGCCTACTTAATTTTCAAGCTGGCATTTTTTGAAGTGGCACACATTTAGAGTGCGCCACAATGTAATCATAGAGATACATACACACATATACATATAAATAGATATAGATATATATATAAATGTGCAAATACGAATTACGTACTCGTACTCTCATATTCGCATGTGGGAGTGGGAAAACAAAATAAAAAAAAAATAATTAAAAACCTGGAAAAGAACAAGAGAAAAATTCATAAATCAGTGCATAAGTAGTTTTATGAATAAAATGGGGAATTATAAGAATTAATACCACAACCTTGAAGAGGCAATTGAAAAAAGCTGCGCCTTTTTTTTTTTTTTTTTTTTCCCCAGCAGTAAGATATACAACTTTGCTGCTAAGGTTATTTTATTTTTTTTCTCGTTTAAATATTAATTTACTATTTTGTATGGAATTATTTAGTTCGATTTAAAAGTTGAATTTTTTTTTTTTTTTTTTTATATATTTTCTTTTCAAATATTTAGGGACTGAAAAAGTGGTGACATTGCAGGAGTTAAGAAAAGCTCATTCAGCTTTGTGCACCAATTATATAATCAAGTTGCAGAAGCTACATTTTGCCATGCAATTATGTATAAGAAAATGACGTATTTTTGTCCATACATCTGTCTTATAAACATGCCTTATAAGAACGCTAGGAAAGAAAATAGAAAAGGGTGTAATATAAATTAATGCAACATTTTAAAACTCGGACAAATTATCTTATAAGGAACAATTCAATATATACTCCTTTGAAAGGAGGTTGAGGAGGCGCATACATCTCTCCTAAATGAACAAAGCAAAAGCATATATATAAGAGATACGCACATGTTCAATAGAACACCAATACGCTGGAATGAAATAAAAATTAAGGGAACCCGTGAAAGGTCCCTAAAAAATAAGAGGATTGGACAAACGTTTTGGAGAGGAGAAGAGAAGAACCATGCTTAGCTATTCAATAAGGGGAACGAGAAGATATATAAAATAAAAAAAAAAAAAAAAAAAAAAAAAAAGGGATATTCCAAACAAGTATCCACTTATATGTTTCTCTATTTACCCCTACCCAATTACTAAACTTTTGAAAAAAAAAAAAAAAAAATTTTTACATCAACATGGGAACCTTCAATTTTGGAAAGTACAACGGAAAGACCTTTGAGGAAGTGTTCGAAAAGCACAAATCATATGTGACATGGGTTAAAAATCTGGAAAATCCATCTGGATCTCTAATACAATTTAAGAACTATGTCATAGAAAGGGAGAAGGCAGAACCTGGACAGCAAAACAGCAAATGTTCAGGAAATAATTTTTACAACATAGAAGAGAATCCACATAATAGTAGAACTTATAGCAATAATAGATACAGTAAGGGAGGTAAAAGTTCCAATTATTATGGGTATTATGAAAAGGGAGATGCAGGGCACACACCGAGAAATAGAAGATCGCTGGGTGAGAACTCCAGTGCTGTATTTAAAGATGAAGGGAAGAGTGGGGGTAGCAACGAAAAGGATGTAAATAGTGAGTTTACAACAAAATTTGTGAACACAATGAATAGTAAAGAATACAAGAATTATGAACAAAATATTATGAACGATATAAGTAACAGTTATAACAACAATGAAAAGGGTGAAAAAATTGAATTTGATATAATCGTAGCGTTTGAAATATTCAGTGATGATACATTCAAAATAGTGCAAAGAGATAATAACAGCAGTGGTGGTAGAAAATTTGCAAATTTTAAAAATTTTGTCCCCAAAGAACTTTTTAAAATATTATCCGAATTTAATCCAACTTTAAAAAAAACAAATAACTATTCTTGTATTACCTTTGAAGCTGACAAGTATGAATATGTTTTATCCAATTTAAAGGAAAGATGTACCATTTTAGGAGGTATTCAAAGCATTCCTAACTTTTTATTAAAATGTTTTAAAAATTATAGCCGATTTTCTGAACCGCAAAAAGTTTCTGACATCACTGCAAACATTTTGACAAGTACATTGTGTCCATACACGAAAAAAAATTATGAAAAATTGGATATCTTAGTAGGTGAAAAATTAAGTGCAGAATTAAAAAATTTTCAAAGAGAAGGAGTATATTTTGGTTTAAAAAAAAATGGGAGATTACTAATCGGTGATGAAATGGGGTTGGGAAAAACATTACAAGCATTAGCATTGATGGCATTTTATCAAGAAGATTGGCCATTTATTGTGGTCTGTCCATCTTCCATCAGATTTCAATGGAAAGATCAGGCATTAAGGTGGTTATCTCATTTATTATCCGAAGATCAAATATGCGTTGTAAAGAGTGGCAAAGCAGACATACCTCGAAATTGTAAAATGATTATCATTTCGTATGAACTAATAACTAAAAATGATAAATATCAAAATAAGTATAAATCCATTGTTTGTGATGAATCGCATTATTTAAAAAATTCATTTTCTAAAAGAACCAAAGCAATAACACCAATTATTAGAAATGCTAAAAGATGTGTGCTCCTGTCAGGTACCCCTGCATTAAATAGACCTTCAGAATTGTATGAACAAGTATCTAGTATTATTCCAAACTTATTTAATTATCATGAATTTTGTGAAAGATACTGCTTTAAGGATAAAAATATATACACAAGAAAAATCGAATATGTTGGATGTAAACACACTGAAGAGTTACATCTATTTTTGACAAATACTATCATGATAAGACGATTAAAAAAGGATGTATTAAAAGAACTCCCAGAAAAATTGAGATCCAAAATTCCAGTGGAAATACCACCCAAAGAATTAGGAGAAATTCTTACCTATTACAGAAAATTAGAAACTAAAAAAAGCTTAAACATTTCTGACAATTTTGATGATATAGATATATCAAGCATGGGTAACAACTCATATCAATATGACACTTCCATGAGCGAAAGTGGTAATAGAGGAGATGATGAAAATATATCGATTTCCCACCTGTTTAAAATGACAGGATATGCAAAAGTCAAAGCTATAAAAGAATATATCACATACTTAATCGATGCGGACATTAAGTTTCTTTTATTTTGTCATCACAAATTAGTAATGGATGAAATTGATGCTTTTTTGAGAGAAAAAAAAACCGTGTTTATACGAGTAGATGGATTAACTCCTATTGAAAAGAGAGAAGTTTATATTAAAAGTTTTCAAAATGATGACAATGTAAAAATTGCATTATTGTCATTAACGGCATGTGGAATAGGATTAAATTTAACTGCTGCAAACACTGTTGTTTTTGGAGAGTTATATTGGGTTCCTGGACAAATAATACAAGCAGAAGATCGCGCACACAGAATTGGTACAACTCATGAAATTGTCAACATTCATTATTTAATTGCACAAAATACAATTGATGAAGTTGTGTGGAAAATTATTAACAAAAAATGGAACACCTTAACTACTGCTTTGAACGGTATGGAAGATTCACTAAATGTTAAAGAAGTAAACAAATTCGATAAATTTATGATAGATTTAACGAATGATCCTAATAAATCATATCCCACCTCCTTAGTTACAACTCCAAAAGTTAAGAGAAAATCATATGAACATAAGTCATTTGAAAGCACCAGTACTAATAGTAAAAAGGACAGAGATATAAGAGATTTCTTCAAATCAGCTGACAAATCTGCGGGAAAAAATGACTTTCCAGATTCAACGAAAAAGAGATCAAATAATACACCTACGAATGAATACTCTTCTAGTAGCACATCTCCATGTTTGATGCAGAAGCGACACAAGGCGGAAAGTTCCTTTGGAAGAGGAGGGGTTGACGATGCGTGGTGAGAAGTCGTGGTGAAGTTTTTGTGAAGGAGAAAAAGTGTCCGTATGTACGTATGCAGGTATGCCCTTCGATGGATCCGTGTGTACTGAATGATATTTTTTTTTTTCGTAATTCATACAAGGTGGTTTATGACAAATTAATTATCACCTTTAAATGCAACACCATATACTTAGTAAAGAGTTTTTTTTTTTTTTTTTTTTTTTTTTTAACCGCCTTCTCCAAATTCCAAGTGTTGGTGTTCGAAATGGTGGGAAATGACAATTATCACAAGAAATGCGATAGATTAGTCCCCATATGGGCGCTGTGAATTATATAATAAATTAAAAAAAAAAAAAATAAATAAAAAAAGCATACATAATACATTTCCCCTTGTTATGGCATCAACTATTTTTAAGTGAAAAAAGAAAAAAAGTGCAACACATGTGTTAAGATGTACACCCACCTTTAATGAAAAGAGTGTGTGCTCCAAAAAAATATATTCCTTTTTAAATTACTCCAAAATGATTATTTTTTTTCTTTTTTTTTCTTGTAAAAATTATCCCATTTTAAAAATTATTTTTAAAAGATTGCTCTATGTTTACTCTTCTGTGTTGTGTCATCTATTCGTTTCATGTATTGATAGATATATATTACAGTTATGCCAAGCATGTATACAAGTGTTTATGTTTCTACATGCCTTTTTTTTTTTTTTTTTGTTTTTTAGTGTAAATTATTGCAAAAAATACAGTTTATTCCCCTTTGTTTATGTTACTTTTTTTAAAAATGCATATGTGAAGAAGCGCGACCATTCTTTAAAAACACTCATGCAAGTATATATATACATACATATATGTGCATACGAATTTGCGAGGCTTAATGCGGCCCTCGCCATCTAAATAAACGCCTCTCCCAGGTGTCCACTTTTATATATGCTAAAAAAAAGACATTGGCTACTTATTTTTTGCTTATCTGAATTTTCTTTACACACATATATGTTTATTCCATATATTATAATGCCAAAATTTAACTTTTTCCCGAAAGTAAATTTTTTAGCTTATATTAAAAAAATTAAAATAAAGTACAACCCCTGTGCTGCGTACAATGACAACTGTCGAAATTTAATTTATCACATTGAAACGCAGCAGAAAAAAGACAAGTTCCTGGATTTGGAATACAAATTGGAGTTGATCGAGTTATAAGGAAAAGAAAATAAATAAAAACATGAGCAAAAACATGAGCAAAAACATGAGCAAAAAAATAAGCAAAAAAATAAGCAAAAAAATAAGCAAAAAAATAAGCAAAAAAATAAGCAAAAAAATAAGCAAAAAAACAAAATGAAACATTAAATGATGCTAGTGGATACTTGCTTTCCCCATACAACACACTTTGCAAATTCATGACAAATTCGCATTTTTCTTATTTAATGTATCACATCCCATTGTAACTCACGCATTTTGGAATTAATTTTACCTGTTCCTTTTACGTCAATACAGTTATAATGAAGAGCCTCTAATAGAAATAGAAATGCAGAATTCCAAAGTTTTCAAGTATATTGCTCTCTTTTTTTTTTTGCAATTTTTTAAGGGGCGCTTTGGTCATATATATATATATATTTTTCTGTGTATACGTTTGTCTAGTCTTTTATTTTTTTAACGGCTTTTTTTAAAACTAAATTTGTCTTTTTTTTTTTTTTTTTTTTTCTTTTTTGTGATATGTTATACATTAATTACTATTGATTTTGGAAGACCCACGATCAGAGGTCCTCATAGGAATTTCCTTTTTGATGTCTCTCCATAGATTGCATCACCATTATAACAGCAACAAATTATATTTCACAACTATAGGTTTAATCCTGAGAATTACGATTTGCCAGAAATACAACGAGTACTTGACGAAGATCAGCAGCAGTGTAAAAGACAGAAAGCAAAAAGAAAAAAAAAAAAAAAATGCATAAGTGTTTACGCATTTTATGAAAAATATATGCCTATATGTGTAAATATACAAATGCATAAATGTTATATACATATATATATATATATATATATATATATATATATATATACTATCTCGTTTGTGTATGCTTATTTTGCTGCCGTAAGCGATTTTTCCAAATGACAAAAATAGCAATAATACTGCTACAACAATGCTGACGCATTTTTTTTTTTTTTTTTTCTTCGATAGTGCACAAGAACTTTATGAAGACAAATTTGTTAGAGAATAATGAAAAATCCTTTTAAATTAACAAGAATATACCATCTTTGTGATTTATATTATTTGTTTGTATGTTTATATTGTGTAATGAATTGGGAGGGGTGTATATAATATTACAAAATTGAAAAATGAATTGTCAAGGAAAAAAAAAAAAAAAAAAAAAAAAAATAGCAAAAATAACCATCTGCTATAAATTGTCAATAATCTGAAGAAATGGCGAATGAGAAATGATTAGCATACAAAATGTGCACTTGCAAAATTGGCAACTCTTTTTTGCAAAGTTTGCAAAAGAGAATGTGCGTGTGTCTTTAACAACCTCCCTCACGTGCTCATATGCCAACATGTGAAATGGAAATTTATATTAAAAAGGAGGAAAATAAAATTTGAAGAATAATCTGAAGAATTCAAAAAACAAAAAATTTTAAATTGAAAAATGAGTAAACTCTAATTAAAAAATTACAAATTGTGTTTTTACAAAACTAAATGAAAGACTGTCATGTCTCCACTATCAATTATAAAAAAAATACATATACACATATTCTTTAAAAAAAATAAGAGAAACAAATGACATTTTTTTGTATAGAATAAAAAATTTAACTACACAAAATAAAAAATTATCCAAGCATTTTGTTATTTCGCAAAATGTACTCATCTACGAATTGCTCCTTGCAATTTCAGTTTTGAGCTCTTATATAATTGATAAAATTATTTTGCTTGACAATTGAGAACTGTTCAAATTGTGTTGTATCTTAAGTAAGATAATTTAAATCCATGCATACCATTCATACACATAAAAACTAAATGATACAAAACTGGTTCATATACATAAAAAAGGCACAATGATATATTGTCATATATATAGACAAAGAGCTGAAAATGTTTCTTTCCTCTTAAGAATTGTCACTCAACCTGTATATTTGTTAAAAACTTGATAAAAAAAATAATGTTTTCAAATAAGAAATTGATATTCGACCAACTTGTTTGTATTTCTTGGAGGAGCACAGTTGTGGTGTTCCTTAAGTTTTTCGCTTTCGTTTTCAATAGCTTTTTCCCGTGTGTCTGAGGGGAGGGGGGGAAGTATAAAAATGTATACATATATATATATATATATATATAAATATATATGTAAGTTCCTGAGTAAGCATTATGTAACTATATGCGAATGTACACATCTCAGCGGAACTGTTATCTCCATAACGCGTACACGCATGTGACATCCTCTACAGTAGTGCTCTTCACTACGGATGGAATGCCTCTGTCTTACTTTTAAAAACACGAATATGTACGCTTGAATCAAATCGATGTTGTCGTTCGTCTTGACGTGATAAATGAAGAAGTTCATCATGTTTTCCAACTAAATGAAAGGAGGAAAAGGTATACACGCACATGAATGTATGTATATATATATATTTACAAATGTACATAAACATATATCTGTGAACATTCTGCACATGAAAAGAATACGGGAAAATAATTAACCTCCTCCTTGGTGCTCAGGCATAATATGTTGAAATGCACACCGGATGGGGATAATTCCTTCAGGTAGTTCAGGACGTCTGATGGAGACAAGGACGGAAAAACCCAAAAAAAAAAAAAAAATTTAATAAATATGTGGATAAAATGGAGACACATACAAATGATTTCGTGTATACAATGCGAGGCTTAATGCTGATGGTACCCCCTTTCTTTGTGAAACTTTTTTTTATTTTTCCTTCTAGTTTCTATTTATTTTTCCTTCTAGTTTCTATTTATTTTTCCTTCTAGTTTCTATTTATTTTTCCTTCTAGTTTCTATTTATTTTTCCTTCTAGTTTCTATTTATTTTTCCTTCTAGTTTCTATTTATTTTTCTTTCTAATTTTTATCATTTTTTACTTACTAATGTAGGACTCCTCGTTTTTGGCAAGTATTTCCTGCAATTTTGACGTGGGCATTTGGATTTTATCCAACTTGGTAATATGCCTACTTTTTGACTTGTTCCCTTTGGAGATTAATTTGTTTCCCGATTTGGCATTCGATTTGGCATTCGATTTGGCATCCGATTTGGCATCCGATTTCGTATCCGCATCTGCTTCGACATCCAACTGATCAGTAACCGTTTGGACCGTTTCATCCCCTTCGTATTCCCTCTCTTCCGACTCCTCTTGATCGGGGTACCCCCCCTCCACCCCTTTGGAAATATTTTGTAAGAATTCCCTTTCCTTATCATCTGCATATTCTATATTTTTGTCGAGCTTAGCACTCAGGAAGAAGGGAATTTCTTCATTTTTTTTTACATTTTCTTGAACTGTACAATTTTCTTTTATTTTATCTAAAAATATGATATATGCAATTTTTGATATACTATATCCTGACAGAGTCATCAAATTCTTGTTAATTTGTTTTTCGCTGGATTTATACGTTTCCATTAATTGTAGGGAATTGTGCCTTTCCTTAATTTTGGCCTCTGAATCGTTCTTGTTTTTGGTTTCTTCTACCGTGGATGATAATACGTCGATACTATTCGAATAACAGTCATCCATACCGATCACTTTCCCAAGAGTGGCATCATTGTATGTCTTATTATCTTCTGCATCGGGTAACGGTTCCATCAGATTTGCACGAAAATAATGATAATCATTAACTACGTAATTGTTATTATTAAACAAATTTTTATTGGTAAATGAATAGAGGAAGTTTTTCGTGTTTTTATGGGCTGTGTATAAATAAATATCATTGTATATCATAGAAATTATATCATTATTGAATAATAAGTAATCAATAAAAGTATTTGATATTATTTCATATATTAATAATGTATTATTACTTAATGCGAATAAAATTAAGCGATTATCTGCACTAAATGTAACATTGGTAACTGAGTGGGAAAATTGAAATTTTCTCGTTATACACTTTTGCTCAATATCTATAATTATTGTGTGATTATTTGACAAACTCGCAACGGTTAAAATGTTAAAATGGTAAACAGAGACAATATTAATTTCATCATTATTTTTATCATTTTTAATTTTTCTATTTATTATATATTCATTTTTAATATTGTACGAGTACGTTAACTCACTTGTGTATATATTCCAAACCCTTAAACATGTATCTTCTTTACAACTGGAAGCAGACAAGAAGTTACATATTCCATAGAGATGCAGTTTTAATATATCACCATTCAGATGTGCCTTCGATTTGATGGAGTATTTATTTAATTTATAACTATTTCTATATGTTGTTGATTGCATGTTAAATGAATGGATTTCTCCATCATTGTAACCAATAATACCAATATGCCCACAAGTAGATATCAATACACTGGTTGCACATTTTTTTTTTTTTTTTTTTTCTCCCTCTCTTCCTGCTTCTCCTTCTTCTGCGGAATGTTCATAAGGATTATACTCATCAAAAATTTTGTATTCTTCTTTTTTCAATTCATTTGTACCTTCCTCCTGTATGTGATTCGTCAAATCGTGTATCCAATTGAACATGCCATCACTCACACCGTTTCTTTCCTTTTCTCCAGCATTATGTAATGCTTCTTTCTCGGTGTCTTTCCTCCTTCCATCTTTTTTCATATGACCCTTGGGAATTTTATTCATAATGTCAAAAGGTAGCGATAAATATACGTTGTCTATAATCTTTTTATAGGAAGATGCTAAATACACCCGATCCGAATCTTTCACACACACGAGAATATTATTCCAATCGTAATGCCTATTTTGGTTTATATCAAAATCAATAATGGTTTTATTTATCAAGCTAATTTTCTTGTGCCATGAAAAATCTTTATTTTGTTCTGGACAATGTGGATTTAGAATGTATAAATTTCCTTCCCTTTGATTTACATCATTTGCTGACACCACAATTTTAAACTTTTCATCATTCAAATATTTTATATTATTAATAATACCAACACAACTGTTTCTTTTTTTTATTATATCTAAAGTGAATGTATGTTTATGCAAATTTAGTAAATTTACTTTGTTGTCCCTTTTTCCTACTGTGTATATGTAATCCCCTTGTGGAGCTATCAAAATGGTCTTTACACAATCGTGTATATTTCTTAAAATAAAATAGTTACTACTTTTTGTATCTATCATAATAATTTTCCCCATTTCTGTACCTACTAAAATTACAGGCACATTTTCATCATTATAAGTATAGTTATAAAATTGAACACAACTTACCTTATCATCATTCATATGTATATTTTTTGCATATACAAATTTGTCACTTTCAGTATTAATTATGTAAAGTTCATTTGTTGATGTTACAATACACAATTCATCCTTTTTCGATGTTAATATCATTATGTTTATATATTTTTCTTTGCTTAAGTTAATACTATTTAATGAGATATACTCATGAATTATTTTCTCCTTATTTATATTGTAAAGATATATTTTATTATCATTCGTTAGTATAATCACTTTATTTATGTATCCTGGTGGGTGTACTATGCTACAAATTTCGATTTCTGAGTCATCGTCAAATAATGAAATGCATTTGAATAAGTGACTTTCTCTATCCCTTATGGTATCATTCCCTTGAGGGGATTCTCCTGTTCCTCTCTTTTTTCTACTTGTACAATCATCCGCATTTTTACTCACTCTATATCCGTCACATATGTTGTCTTTGTCACTCTTCTTACCGTTTGTGTTATTCCCTTCATATGTATCCTTCTGCTCTCTTCCCTTCCCCGTTTTCTTCACACCCCCACCTTCATCGACCATTTCACTCGACATTTCATTGAGCACTTCATCAAGTACTTTTTTTTTTCTTTTTTTTTCCCCCTCTTCTTCTTCCTCGTCTTCTTCCTCTTCCTGCTCACTACCCGAGTTGCTCAAAAAGCCATCTCTTCCATAGACCTCCTTACGAACATCATTCCAAATTACTATTTCCTTTTTGCTATAACTAAGTAAGTAATCATAAACCGTCAAGATGTTGAGAATACAATGTTTGCTGTCACCCAAAGAAAATATCTTTTTTCCACCAGACTCATTCACCTTGTATATTTTTTTATTAAAAACAACATAAACATATCCATTTGCACAATATAAATTTTTTATATCTTCTGTATAATATTCGGATGTATATGCTTTTCTAAGTTTATGTGGATCAAGTACGTAAAATGCATTTTTAGCACTTGTAATGATAAAGGGTTGTATTCCTTTCATCGATAGACACATTATTCCATTGTGAACAACTAGACCAATGGTACCATTGGCTATGAATAAGTTACTTTGTTTATGAACTTTCCTTCCGTTCCATTGATGTTTGTTTGTATTCTCCTCGCCTTTGCTTTGATCATCTTCTTCCTCATTTTTCAAAATACTTCCATTTGCAGGATCAGCTTTAACGAGTATTTCTTCTCCTGCATTTAGAACTTTATTTCCTTGCTTCTTTCTTCTGTTATTATTAAAGAATTCATTTTTTATGTATATTTTATTAATTTCTCTCTTGTTGAATTCTGTGACTTTGTACTTATTCAGTATACTTATAGACTTTTCTTTGCATTCCTCCTTATTTCCATTTTCACCCTCTTCGTGATGTGAGTTCGCTTGGTTACATTTATCTGAGGAAAACACATCACTAAGTTTTAAGGGAATGCGGCTGGGTTTCTCCTCTACGCCCATTTTGCCTTCTTCCCCTCAACCGATTCCCAATTTATATTTACTAATTCGTCCTGTGAAAAAAAGTAAAACAGTAAAAGGCAACACGAGCAAATTGGAGGTGTAATAGGCAAAAAAATGGAAAAAAAAAATAAACCAACAAGTGGGCACTTAATCCGTTAAGCTGTTAAGCCGTTAAGCTGTTAAGCGGTTAAGCTGTTAAGCGGTTAAGCTGTTAAGCGGTTAAGCAGTTACGCAGTTAAGCGATTAAGCAGTTGATCATCTGAACAAGTGAACAAATGGATGTAGGAACAAAACGGTCGGCAGTGGTTGCGAAGGGATCCACTTTCCGCTGGACTAATCACAAATCACCGTCGTTCGTGTGGACGATTGTTGCAAACAAAAATTGCAAATGTAGAGTTCCCCCACCCCCCTTTTGATTCAAAAAGTAAATAAACGCTTCAAACCATTTCAACTTTGTTTCTACACGGACACTTGGTGACGAGTTAAAGCTCGAGAAAAAAAAAAAAAAAAAAAAGTTTCCCTTCTCTATGATGTATTTTTATATACAAATATAAAGGGTATTACGCGGGAAATGAGAACTGGTTTTAGCAGTTAATTTGTAGGATTCATTTTTTTTTTTTTTATTATGGCTATCTATATATATGTATGTATCTAAAGTAACAAATACTACAATTAAATTATAAAACATTTAAAAAAAAAAAAAAGTACAAGTCGGTAAAAGTTAAGTCTCGCAGTATTTTTACTATGCCTCCCGGGATGGATACCAATATGTAGAAAAAGAAAAAAAAAGAAAAAAAAAAAATACATACACGCATGCGTAAATATATATATGGGCATATTTAAGTATCAACATATATACATATGTATATATATTCATACGAGCATTTATATAATATAGCCCCACCCACTGTCGACAACGAGAGAACGATGCGATAAAGAGTATATATGCGCGATGTCCCATTGGGTCAGTGGAGTATGGAACAGCTTGTTTCTCATTGTACGCAAAAAAAAAAAAAAAAAAAAAAAAAAAAAAAAGTATGAAGAGAAAAAAAATAAAAACAAAAGTGTAGGGATGGTGTGAAGATTGGCTTGCTATTATTAGATATTTCTGTGTTTTATATTTCTTGTGTGAATGTGGCTAAATTTTTGATGTAAATTTATTGTTACTTTTTATGACATTTTTTTTTTCATTTTTTTAGCACATGCCTTTATCTTTTTTTTTTTTTTTTTTTTACTTTATTTTTTTTATTTTATTTCTACACCCATGTGTTTCGTCATAAATTATGAGCCTTGTTTTAGTTGAAAAAAAGAAAAAGAAAAAAAATAAATACATAACTGAGAAATGTTTTATCCTTTCGTTAACTCATTCGTTTGATACTTTTTTTTGACTATTTCGTTTTTTTTTTTTTTTTTCGAGAAAAAAAGCTGTGTAAATTTAGTCTTAACTCATTTTGAGCTACCAGAACATCCATATAGAAGGGCATAGAGTAATACTTAGGACTCGAACTGGATTCAGATTAGGGACACATACATAAGAGAATAAACTCCCCAATAACTCACACCATACAAGTGAAAAAAATGGCCGAAGTTGCAAGTAATTATAATTCATGCAAAATATTCATTTATAGAAAAAAATTTTCTACATATGAGAGAGATGATACGTTGAATTTTTTCCATTGTACCTTTTAGTATGCCTACTTTTATATATATATATATATATATATATATATATATATATATATATATATATATATATATATATATGTGTATCCTCAAATGAGCAAAAATAATACGGGTTTTATTACGCTGATTTTTTCACGCTTATTTATTTATTATTATTTTATTTTACTTTTTTTTTTTTTTTTTTTTTCTGTGTGTGTCTGAAATATTTACCATTTATGCAAATTAAAACTGGCACATTTTGTATTACTACCACGTTGACAATATCTCTATCTCTTTTTTTTTTTAATTCCCATTATAATTAAAAATAATTTTTTTTTTTTTTTTTTCAAAGCCCCATTGTGTACACGAATCCATAATTTTCGTGCACAATTAAATATTTGCACTTTATTTTCCAACGTTTTTTGTATATTATTGGAAATGTGTATGTATTACCACATGTACACTTATTCACACATTTTTGTGAGCAATATGACAAGAGTGTGCTTTATGTGCATACACCCCCATGTTTCATCCACTCAAATTTCATCCAACCCAACGGAACATTCACAAATTTTTAATTTTATATTGTTTTATTTTATTTTTTATTTTCCCCACCCATGTCGCAGAAAATAAGAATACAGAAAACCTGAATAGAAATGAAAAGCAAAGTGATGTGAGGCAGATGAACATTTTGGCTGCCAAGGCAGTTGTAGATGTCACGAGAACGAGCTTGGGCCCCAAGGGAATGGACAAAATGGTTCGTGTGTATTATCACTTTTAATTATTCTTCATTCTGCAGCACTGTTTTGGAATAACACAGTTTAGTAGTTGTTCTTTTGTTTGTTCGATTCTTTATGCATGCTTATTCGCGTCTTTGCATCTTTGCTTCTTTGCATCTTTGCTTCTTTGCATCTTTGCATCTTTGTTTCGTTACTTCATTTCTTGTGTGTGCTTATGACTGCTCCAGTGTGAATATCTTGTCAACTGCTGCACCCCACTCCCCATACACACGCACACGTTTGTTCTTTCAGATTGAAGATGGAAAAGGAGGAGTAATCATTACGAACGATGGTGCAACGATTCTAAAAGAAATGGCCGTGGCACATCCAACTGCAAAAATGATTGTGGAGTTGAGCAAAGCACAAGACGTAGAAGCAGGGGATGGAACAACTTCAGTTGTGGTAATGTGTGGATCGCTTTTAAATGTATGCAAATCGTTGTTAGATAAGAATATTCACTGTCAGAAGATTTCTGAAAGTTTTTTTGAGGCATCAATGAAAAGTGAAGAAATATTAAGAAATATGTCTATCCCAATAGATTTAAATGATAAAAATATGTTAATACAGAATGCAATAACATCTTTAAATTCGAAAGTTGTGTCTCATAATTCTTCACTTCTAGCCCCAATAGCTGTAGATGTGATATTAAAAATTACAGATATTAATAAAGATAGAAATGTTGACTTGAACAATATAAGAATTGTAAAAAAATTGGGTGGTACCATTGAAGATACAGAAATTGTTGATGGGTTAATATTTACAAGCAATAAAATAAGTAAAAGAGCACATGGAATTAAAAATTTATCTCAGGCTAAAATTGGATTAATACAATTTTGCTTGTCATTACCCAAAACTGATATGGATAACACAGTTGTTGTGAAGGATTATAACAGTATGGATAGATTACTAAGGGAAGAGAGAGTAATAATTGCAAAGATGATTAAAAAAATTGCGTCAACTGGTTGTAATTTATTGTTAATACAGAAAAGTATATTACGGGATGCTGTAAATGATTTAGCGCTTGATTTTTTAGCGAAATCCAAAATTATGGTTATCAAAGACATAGAGAGAGAAGACATTGAATTTATTTCAAAAACCTGTAATTGTATTCCTGTAGCTAGTTTGGATTATTTTACACCTGATAAATTAGGTTATGCTGAAAATGTTGTAACAGAATCTATTGGATATGGTGAAATTGTGAAAATAACTGGTGTAGAATCAAAGAATACCATATCGGTTCTCATAAGAGCGTCAAACAATCTTATGCTAGATGAAGCAGAAAGATCATTACATGATGCACTATGTGTTGTTCGAAGTTTAATTAAAGAAAAAGCAATATTACCAGGTGGTGCAGCACCAGAAATGGAACTGTCACAAAAATTGTATCAATGGGCAAATACGCTTAAAGGGTCTAAACAAATTTGTGTTAAAGCATTTTCAGATGCATTAGAATTAATTCCTTACACATTGGCTGAAAACGCTGGTTTATCACCACTACACATTGTTACAGAATTGAGAAATAAACATGCAGAGGGCCATAAGTACTATGGAATCAACATACGAACCGGAACCATATCAAACATGATTGATGAAAATGTCATACAACCATTGCTAGTCACATCGACGGCGATCAAATTAGCCACCGAGACTGTCATGATGATTCTAAAAATTGATGATACTGTAATTTGTAGATAAGTGCATATAAGAATCGAACCTTCTTGAGGAGAAACCTCCACACAGATATGCACGTACACACATATGGGAAAACTTATTTTAAAACCTACCCTAAAACACACAAATAGGGAAAAAAGCATTTATCCCATTTTATTGAAAATGCAAAACCGTGTGCGATTGATCTCAGTCCCATAATACACGTGTGTGAGCCTTTTTAGTTACAAAAACAGGGCTTTATATTCAAAAACAGAAAAATGAAAAGATGGTATAAAACAAATGTTCAGCATCAGCATGAACAAACGGTTTGCAATGCATAGAACATGCCCATGTGCAGTATGAAAACGCACAAAGGAGAAGCAATTTTATACTACTCTTGTGGGCAACACACACACACACAAAGGTATATGTATATATATGAACGTACAATTATTATGCATATTTACATTTGTGTATGCATGAACTTCATAATAAAATCATTGTATACATGCTTCCCTAGATGCTTGTCACGTCGCACGATTTTTTACACATATATATACATGTTAGTATTTTGCCCTTCTTTTTTTTTTTTTTTTTTTTTTTTTTTTGCAACACTTTTTTCCCCTTTTCGCAATGTGTGCACCATTAAAACTATGAATTATTTTATTTTGAACCTTTTATTATGGGTTTACATGCCATAAAAAAATACTTCAAAAAACGCTTCAAAAAAATGTTAAATATACAATTATTTCAATCTTTCTTTATGCATCGTTACAAAGAAAATGGGAAAGTTTTACTCTTCCTACGGTCGAAAAAAAAAAAAAAAGAATAGTATTAGGAACATGCTCTACAGTATATTAAAATGAGGGTTTCATTATTGTTCAATAATACTTGCTATTAACTTAACTCATTATGTAATGGCGGATATTAATGCGAAATCCTGTGTTTCTACATCAGAAGAAGGGCATAAGCAAATGAAGAATCACAACTAACTTAAAGGTGGTAGGGAAAAAACCCACATCCAGATCTACAAGTACATATATAATTACACATACATATATCACCTTCCTCAGATGAAAATAATGCACCTTATCCCCCTTAGCTGTTGGCTGTAGTGTGGCAATATGGCTATATTTTTTTTATCAAAAATAATGAATTTCATTTGGTACTTAAGAGTAAATCCGTTTATATAAAAAAGCAACTTTTTCTATCTTATTAAAACTTCCCTTATTTTACGTTTTGCCAAAACTATCTTCTTACCTTATAATTTAACAGAAAAGAGAGAAAAAGAAAATAGAAAAAAAAAAAAAAAAGTACATAATTTTATTCAGTTTGGCAATTTAAGCACTTAACAATTTGATAACAAAACCTATTTTTGTAATCCCAGTTTTTTTCATCTTGGTACTTTTTTAAAATGGAAAACATCAAGTTGGGTAAATATATATATACAATATGTATTTTTCTTCTTTTTTTTCATTTCGAATCACCTTGTTTCATAATTGAGCATGTAGATGTACATGCATATGTACACATTTTTTGCATGCATCTTTTTTTTTTTCCAAGCAACTTTGACAATTATGAATCCATCATTCACACTTCTAAAAATGTGAACATCTTTTAGTGAGTCTTATGTACATTCTTCTAATTTTCACAAATCTTTCCCATGTATTTTTTTTTTTTTTTTTTTTTTCTTATATCAAGGGTTTATTGGCCTAGGGAAGATGGGATCTGCTTTAGCCCATGGTATAGCCAAGTCTAAGATTATTCAGGAGAAGAATATTTACTACCATTCACCATCGAAAAAAAATACGCCCTTGAATTACTTAAGGTCCAATATAGAGGTACGAGATATAGACATTTATCATGTATGTTACATAATTTATCTTATCAACCTAGTGTCTAAATATTCTCATAGCACCACGTTTTCACGCTTTAAAAAAAAAAAAAAATTACTTTTCAGCTTGCCCAAGTGTGTGACATAATTGTTTGTGCTGTAAAGCCAGACCTTGCAAATGAAGTACTATCTGATATTAAGGTAAAAAAGGGGAAAAAAAAAAAAAAAAAAAAAAACACAATATGTACGTTCTTTGGAAAATATAAGGACAACCACTCGTTTGTATTAAACCTAGGAATACATTTTCATATATACTCAATTATATATATATATATGTATATTTAAAATTTCTCCTTTTCATATTTGAAGGGATATCTAAAGTCCAAGTTGCTTATTTCCATTTGTGGAGGGTTAAATATAGAATCGCTAAAACAGGTACGAGGAAATGAAAAAAAAAGAAACAATGCAACTTTTTTTATAAAAAAATATAAGTACTTTTCAATGCACAAAAAATGATATTATTATATTATGAATTCATGTATGCACACTCTTATAACGAATAGTGGAACCCCATGTATTTATGTTTGATATATTTTCACTCAGATGGTAGGTTCAGAGATCAAAATTGTGAGAATCATGCCAAATACCCCGTGTTTGATTGGACAAGGTGCATTCATTTTTTGTGCAAACAGTTGTGTAAACGATACGGATAAAAAATATGTAATAGATCTTTTTAATTCATGTGGGATTATTCACGAAATAAAGGAAAAGGATATGGATATAGGCACAGCGATATCTGGATGTGGACCTGCATATGTTTTTTTATTTATTGAAAGTTTAATTGATGCAGGTGTAAAAAATGGGCTAAATAGAGATTTAGCAAAAAAATTGGTTTTACAAACAATAAGTGGATCAACGCAGATGGTTCTCTCATCAGACATACCCATTCAACAGCTTAAGGATGACATATGTTCACCAGGTGGGATTACAGCAGTAGGATTGTTTACCCTCGAGAAACACGGTTTCAAATATGGAGGTAAGGGTTGCCTCCTCCATGCCCTATGTGAAGTACACATATGTCAAACAAGAGATAAAACACAATTGATGTACATGAACGATGTATATATATAATAATGGGTATGAACACCCTGATGTGTGCATTTCCTTTCTTTGACACCAACACCTTATGTTTTTTCCATCCACCCCTAACCTCTATGCAGTAATGGATGCAGTAGATAGTGCGTGCCAAAAGTCCAAGTCAATGCACTGAACGAAAGTTAATTTTTACAATTTACTCAATATTCTCCACAAATAAGCACCTTTATACACAGCATATATTTTAATCACTTTTTATAATAACAAAAAAAAAAAAAATGTTCATTTGGTTTAAGATTGAATTAATAGACACAAACAAACAAACAAAAAACAAACAAGGGGACAAAAAAAAAAAAAAAAAAAGAAATTTCCCCCCCATTGGGACTAGTGTATATACATTTTGAGAAACAAAAAAGAAAAAGGAAATGAAGCAAAACTAAACGAATGAGTGTGTATAAGTATAACACGGAATATCATAGTGGAATATCATATAGAACAATTTAGTGTAATGCAGCATAAATTAAGGGAAGCGAGAGAAAGAAAAAAAAAAAAGAAAAGCTTAGCTAAATGAAGGAAAATAAAAAAAAAAAAAAAAATATACATAGGTTTAAGTATGCATGAAAATGTACATATAAATGCATATTAACATGTATATATGATGTAGTGTGGTACACTCTGCACACGAAACAACGTGGAGAATCTCGCATGTGCACGCGCACATCCTATTGATGAATGAACTCCCTTTATATCTGTCGGTTACATCCATTTTTGTAAGGAACTTTTTTATGTGTTTTCTTTAAAAAATATATTTCTTAGTACTTGTATTATATTGTGCTTTTTCCCATCAGATGATTCTGTACTCATAGACTTAAAAAATTCATAGTTTATATGATTCATATTCATACCATTTTTGAAAGATCTTTTTTTATTTATCTCTGATTTGTCATCGATACTTGAAATATTTTTTCCCTCATATTTTAACAATATCTCACGTATGGAATCTTGTCCTGTACGTTCAGAATAGTAATTTTCATTTTTGTCGTAATTTATGTCTTTCTTACTGAGTGCAAAATTTTGATGCTTGTTCTTGAAACCCAAATTAGAATGATTCAATGACCCTTTAGTTTTAAGAGAACTATCAGCATACACATCCTCATCGGATGATGCGTCGTTCATAAGGTTTGTATAAGTTTTTTTGTCGTTCTCATTACTACTTGTTTCTGATTTATTTCTTGGAATTTCTTCATTCCTTTGTGAATTACTTGAAATATTTTCACAAGACATGTGAATATTTTCCCCCTGCTCATTCGTATGTGCTGCAGGAGCTGCAGTATTTCCTCCTGCTCCTTCAGACGTAGGCATTTTACATGGAATAATTTTTTCTATGTTAATGTCATAATTTTTCTTACTTATTAATTCTTCATCAGATGAACAATACTCATCCGTGTGAAAATATAAATTTTTTTTTAAAAGAATAAAATAAATTTCATTTAATAAAACACGAATACCTGTGTTCGGTACTACATTAACATAGTTATTTTTTTCCTTTTTTTTTGATATATTAAATAAATTATTTTTGTGCATATTTTCTAGTTTTTTCAAAAATTTATTATTATTATAAAACAGATTTGTGAAATAGTTGAAGAATCCATTCGAGGTACTTCTACTACTATCCGTATTGCTATTCTTATTTATAATATCTAATATTTCTTCAATGTTGTTTAGATCCAGTTTAACATCTTCGTTCATGAAGTTAAAGTTGAAGTTTCTATATGGATTCGAGCCACGATCTTCTGTATGTGTTTGATGAGATTCCTTCTTTTCTGTATTCATATGATTCGAGGAGGTGTGAATATTTTCTCTCCTCTGTTCTGAATTTAAGAAATCCTTGTTATTTGTACTCCCATTAGTATCATTGCGAACGTTATTAGAAGTTGTGAAATTATCTGCATTTTCAGCTGTGGCAGGATTTATTACAATGTTTTCCTTTTCACTACCAGGTGAAGTTGATTCCTCAAGGGAACCACTCTTAAGGTTAGTAGAAGAAAAGAAAAATGATTTTTCTCCTCTATCCAAGTGTGTTTTATGATTTGGAAAAAGGAAGTTGGAAAATTTTGACTTGAACTTATCTAAGTAGGATTGATTCCATATTTTTTTTTGTCTATTCTGATATTCCTTCACATCTGAAGGATCTTCTAAAATGTCGATTAGTTTAATTAATTTCTCCTGGTTGTACTTGTGATCTTGGAAATATCTTTTTCCAATTTGCTTCATTTTGTTAATAATTTCAGGTGAAGTTTCATCTAATTTTATGTTATTTATAAAACAATTAAATCTAAAATATTTATTTTTATCAAGTAAATTATTACAAATATCATGTGTCAATTCTGTGTTTGTAATTGAGTAGACAATTTGCTTAAGTAAAACATCCCATCGTAAAAATGTATCATAAGTTTTGTTATCATTCAACTCGTTTATATTTTTTGGTTTAAATTTACCTGTCCCTACACTTACAATACAATCAATATAGTCATTCAAGTTTATTGCCTTATTTTTTTCATCTAGTACTGTTTGTTTATCTTTTGAAAAATAATGCTTTAATTTGTATAAAAGTGTATTTTTTTGATTATTTAAGTAGTTATAAAAAATGAGTTTCATTTCATTTAAACTTAATAAAGTAGGATTATTAAAACATATTGCACCATCTGCGTATATGTTATTATCAAAAGAAAAAAAATTAAAAAATCCTGGAGCGGCTGTAGTACACCTCAATACATATTTTACAAAAATGTTATAAAAGCTTTTGTAAATACTTACGTTGTTTATGTTCTGATTTATGTACACTGTGTTCGTTTGTATTTTTTCTCTCCAGGAGGCTTTCTCCTCTTCTAGAACGCCCTTCGGCTTGTCCTTCAGCTCATCTTCTAAATCACCATTTGAGAAATCATTAAGCGTGTGTGTACCTCCTCTGTCGTGGACCATTTCATCATCTTCCTCATCACCAATCGAATCATAATTCGTAGATATAAGGGCATCCAATCCGTTTGTCCCTTTGTTACCTTTTATAATGTTCAAATTACTATTATAATTTTTTAATATTACCGGTTGCAATGGTGTGACATTCATCTGAGTAGACACAGTAAAAACATAGGGCGTGAAAAAATCTGCATTATAGTGAAACATTTTTATATTTTTAAAAAATGAGTTCAAAATGTTACTCAAAATGTTAGAGTCATAATAGGAATGTTTTAATAAATATCTAGTGTTCCTCACAGCATACATGTCCTTTTGAAATATTTTATTAATTAACAAATTATACAAAAATTCAATTTCATTTAAGTGTGCCTTTTCAAGGCCAATTAAAATAGATATTATAGCCCCTGTACTTGTTCCACATATTATATCAAAATATTCAAATATATTTTTTTTTAAATGACTATTTATACATTTTAATATTTCTATTGATAATAATCCTCTTATTCCTCCTCCATCCAAACATAAAATTCTTAATTTCCTTTTCTTTTTCCTTTTCAATGTTATTACTAGGTTTCGAAATTTATCCATGCTTATATGTTCCTTGCTATTCAGGTTGTATAAATACATTCTCTTCTTCCTGTTTTTTCTATCCACTATATCGTTCGTGTTACCATTTTCATAGTTCAATGGAATGGCATCTTGTTGTTTCTTTCCATTTGAAGATTCAAAACTCTTCTGATGGCTTTTTCCCCTCTGATTAACTTCTCCCTCTTTGCTAGAAAGGCGCTGAAATTCTTTTGTTGACTTACACGTTGAATAATTATTCATTGACATTGACTCATTTTTTACTCCATTGATACTATTCCCACCTTTTTTCTCCTCAAGAATTTTTTGTTCTACTGATGGATTATTCCAGTGTGCAGTAGAGACAAAACCGTTGCATCTTCCGGGCACCTGATCTCTTGAGGTAATTTCCTCCAGGATATGTTTCATAATGTACCTTTTGGTATTAATAAAATATTTGGAAAATGTGTGAATAGCATGATGAATAAAACTTTTTTGATTTTCATTTTCCTTCATCAAATAATCATGTGCTTTTTTTTCTCTATCTGTAAAAATGATATCATTATATAAATCGAACATGTTTACCCCTAGAGCCTTTAGCAAGATATTTGTTTTTCGAATAATAATTAAGTCCTTATACTCACATATGAAATGTCTGTTGTATATATTATTTAATTTTTTTTTAAAAATTTTATTATCAAGCAAAAATCGTTCTTTTTTTTCATCTGATATGTAATAGGAGTTTTGATTTTTGTACTTATTTTCAAAAAAGAGGGATAACGATTTTAAGCATTCGATTAATTCACCCCATTTTTGCAATTCTTTAATAAAACTTCCTACTTTTATATCTTGCAAATATTTTGATATATTTCTATACACAAACATATAATTTTCGTTGCTCTTTCTACTTTTTAATCTATTAATATAAAAGTCTTGTTGAAAAGACAGTATATACAATATCCTAAGTATTAGCGTTATGTTAGATCTATTTAAATCATTTTTCAAATTTTTTGATAATATTTTTATAATTTTATTCATATTCTCTTTTTTCATAATAGTATAATAATATAAATTATATATTACTGAGTTTTTATTTTCTACTAAAATTTCGTACAACAATTTTAACAACTTATTTGTAAAATAAGAATTCAAATCTATGTATTTAAACAAACACTCGATGTAATTCTCTACCAGTGCAAAGTTTAGGTATGGGTTACTAATATTAATAGCACTCTTTCCTTTATCTACATTATTATCATCATTGCTTACTTTAGAACTTTTTAGCAAATCTAGATTAAAATGAATAAAACCTGTAAGAACATAACCTTCTGCATTTTCTCTTTTTTCACCTTCTTTATGCTTTATATATATTTGTTCTAATCCTTCCATCTGTCTACTGCTCTGTGCTTCTCTTGGTTCGCTTTTTCTGCAAAGGGAAAACTTCAAATCTTTGTTGTTTAGATACTTCTGTGCATTCAGGTAGTTGTGTAATCGGTTCATCTGTTCAGTCTTATTGCTGCTCGTGTACGTTTTTCCTGCGGGTTCTGTGCGAGAGGTTTCTATTGGAGGGAGATCTGTTGTTGAGACTTCTGATGCCATTTGAAAATTCTCATATATTCCTTCCTTCACCGAATCATTTCCTGTGTTCAATCTTATCGATCCGTCATCCTCAGTATGCATATTTTTTTTTATAAGTATTAGCAAGCCCATATTTAAAAAGTTGCTTTTATTTTCTGAAATATCGTTAGTAGTGCCCTCTGGTTTATTTTCAATATCTTTTATATTAACATTATAATCATTCAAAATTATATTAACTTTGTTTTCATCATACTTACTTTTATATTCATGTTTATCATCATGTTCATCGTTTTCTAAATCTTCCTCATAGTTTTGTTCTTCTATATCTTCCTCATCATCATTTTCTTCTTCTTCTTCTTCTCCTTCTTCTTCTTCTTCTTCTTTTACTTCTTCCTCTTCTTCCTCTTCTTCTTTCTCGTCCTCCTCTACCCCCTCCTCCTCCATGTCTCTCCTTTCTTCAGGCACATCTTCCCTTGAATTCATCTTATCATCTATACCACCATCCCTCCTTTCATGTTTGCTTTCTCTTATATGAAACTTTTTCCTGTTATTATTTTTCTCATACTTCAATATATCTACATCATCTTCTGCGTAATTTTCATAAACTTCGAAATAATTATTGCAGTTGTATTCTTCTCCTATACACTCGATTATGTTTTTTTTTTTTGTGTATCTATCTGTGCGTGGATGTAGATCATCTGTTCGATCTTGTAATCCATAACGCATTTTTCTCTTATAAACGACAACTCCATTTGCATTTTGGAATTGTACTAATATACTGGTTAATATATTATCCTTAGAGTTTTTGTTAAAATAAAAGGGGATAAAAAGGACATTGTCTTGACTGTTACTTACTGTTCTATTTACTTGATTCATTTCGTCACTTTGTATTTCCCCTTGCTTTAGTCTCGTGTTCATGTACCTTTCATTCCTTCCATGTGCTAGACCTTCTTTATAATAATCTCCTTTCTCATATGAGATTACCTTTATGTGCTGATCATCATCTGTGAAGGAGCTACTTTTTTGAGGATTTCCTTCTCCCTTGTTATTATGACTTCCCCAATTGTCAGCTTTTGCCGCTCCTACTTCGGTTGCATCTGCTTTGGCTGCATCTGCTTTTGCTCCTCCTGCTTTTACCGCTCCTGCTTTTGCTCCTCCTGCTTTTACCGCTCCTGCTTTTGTCGCATCTGCTTTTTTCACACCCGGCTCTGTCACATCCCTTTTGTTCTGTTTAATTGGGGGTTCACTCATGTCGGTTTGATATTTGCCAATATGAGGATTTTCATCATTCTGTCTGCTGCTGGAGTATTGATCATTATCTCCCATGGATTCTAATTCTTCCTTTGTAGAGGGATGATATCTGCTTTCATCCCTTTTATCGTAACAGAATTCATCTTTTGTATAGACCTCATTTGTAAGTATTGGTTCTTCTTCTCCAGCGTTATAACATTCATTGGACATATTATCTACCCTTACTTTTTCCTCCTTCAATTTTAGTAATATATGTTTCCCTAGAAGAACAATTTTATTTTTAATTTCTTCTATATCTTCACTTTTCATTTGGCTTTTCCCTTTTATCATTTTTGAATTTTTCCCATCAGATGTATTATCTGTGACTTGATTCTTTGTTACATCTGAATTATTTTTAAAAAGAGATATAAAATAGCTGAGAAAAGAGTTATCTTCTTTATATGTCTCATTGTTATTATAACTATTATTATTGTTGTCTTTTTCGTTCAATATATTCATAATAACATAAATCAAGGATATTTTGACATTTTTATGTGTAAAATCGTTAAGTATTATGCGATAAAATTTTTTATATTTAGTTAAATTCTTAAATATTAGCAATAGTTTATAAATTATTTGATAATCTATGTAATCATTTATATCATCATTTTTTTTCAATATTAAAAATCTTTCATTCAAAATGTATATAATTGTTCTTATGTGATTGCTACTGAATAGCAGATGCTCACATGTTTTGTCTTCGACAATTTTGTGTAAGAAGTTTATGTAATTAAGTTTCTCCTGCGTGTCTGTTACATGATTCAGTTTTTTGAAGAACAGGTCAAGTCCTGTGAAATTGTTAACAAGGTGTGGAAAGAAACGAATCTTCGTATAAATGCAAAAGCGCAGGGTGGATCCATATTGGGGTATGTAACGTGGTATTACATGATTGCACACAATTAAAGCTTGAAATATAATGCGTAGCATAATGTGTGATATATGCACAACACAAATGGTCTATTATGGGTATGATACTCAAAGAAACTTACCTATGTACTTATTCACGACATCGTTAAATACTTTAACCCTTTTTAGCTGACTTCTTTTTCTAAAAAATTTGATTTTTCGAAATTTTGTTAAACTCAATTTTTTTGAAATAGGAGTTATATACTTAAATATGTTTTTTTGCATTCTTAAGGATTTTGAAAACATAAGAATTGAGTAAATGCCATAAACCAAGAAAATATAAACATTTTTATTCATTTTATTTAACACTAGGAAAGGGTGGACAGACTAAGGGAAGGAGAAAAAGAATGTGGAGGGGAGGTAGGATTAGCCAACCGCGGATACAACTAGGAAAAACAGTAAGAGGACTACTAAAATGACAATGCAAAAGGGTGATGCGTGAGGAAGTGTAACAAAAAAAAAAAAAAAAAAGAAAAAAAAAAAAGAGGTACATGGAAAGAAAAAGAGAAGAAGAAAGGAAAAAACAGGGAAGTAAAACTGAGGAAAAAATGAAGAAAAGGAGAAGAACAAACTAGAAAATGAAAGAGAACTTTTCATAGTTCTTTTATGCCCCCTTGCTTATTACATAATGGAAAAATAATAAGCTAGCAATTTTTACTACATTATTGTCTCCTATGCCTGTTATATTTCTCCACCACACCACTTAGGTGATTATTTCTCTTCTTTCACAATATCTGTGTAAGGTATCTTTATATCATGTTTCGTTTTCCTTTCGCATTTTTTCCCTTTTTTCATTTTCTCTTGTTTTTAATTTCATTTTTTGTGCTCTATCTTATACTGATCATGACTTAGCATTTTTTTTTTCTTTTCTTGCACCACACATTATGTTTAAAGAATTTTCCCATTGTCACAATTTTATAGTGCAAAAAAAAAAAAAAAAAAAAAAAAAAAGCTTAAAAAATGTGCTAACCGGTTAAGTTGTATTAATGCTGCTTCGTCTGTTACTCCCCTGTGTTTTTATTTTTTTTATTTTTATATTTCTTTATATACAACTTCCTCAATTATGCCTTTTTTTTTTTTTTTTTTTTTTTTGTTATAATTTTTTCAAAAGAGCAAACTTCACATGCATCGATTTTGCAGATTACACTTTACATCAAGTCAGGAATGAAGATTTTGCAATACGACACTTGTCCCATGGAAATCCATACACATATGCATATGTACAGAAAATCACACACATGGGTATACAAGTTTTGCTTTTCTTTTGATTCATACAGTACAAACATACTTGTACACGAACGAAACACATAAAAGTTCAGCGTCAAACATTCCTTTACATCTATCAAAGGTCAACAAAGTAGCTGTACATATTCCTCCCCTCTTTTAATTTTAATTTAAAATGATCCTTAAAAATATGTGTTTTCACATTAGATCCATAGCCATTGCACCAGCTATGTGTTGGGATTGTCTCCCGGCGTAAGGATAATATGTGTATATACGTATATATATATATATATATAGGTTGTTACAAATGTTGATAAAATAAAAACAGATTGGTAGAATAATTGGAGGATACCAAAATAAAATTTTTTCAAATACGCAAAAACCGACTTCATGTGTAAAAAAAAAAAAAGAAAAAAAAATTATTTTTGAAAAAATTGGAAATTTGGAGGTCTGGTCAAATTTGCTACGAAATGGTATAAAGATTTTCACCCCGTGGGTTCTACAAAAAAGTATGTACATGATCATACAGATGGATGTACATACATACTTTAACAGATACATACTTAACAGATACATATTTAACAAATACATATTTAACACATACATGCGTAACATATACATATGTTACATGTGCGAGTATATTAAAAACAAAAATTGTGAATGTTGAAAAGAGTGTTCAAAATGTATTTTTGTTGTTGGGTTGATACAGCACATTTTGGTGCTCGTTGGAGACTGGATTTGCCAAATTAACATTCAGATATATCATCCTTACCGATTTATTTAGCTATATTGTTCACTTGATGTCTATAGATTTTTTCAGGTATGGATTTATTCCTCTTTTCTCTCCTGAATAATTGTTTTCATGAACCTTCATTTTGGCATGTTGGCCACTATACATCTTCATTTTTTTTAGATATTTTTGTTTGTTATGGACCCTTGCATTTCCATCAGTTGATTTTCTTTTTCTTACTAGACCTCTATTTAGTAAAATATTTTTATTTGGCATTCTTCTATCGTTAATTTCGTTTTCTTCATCAACTAGTTTTTTTCTTATTTCTCTATTTTTTTGATCTTTACGTGTTTTTTTTTCTTCCTTTTTCTTTTTTTTCATACTTAACATGTTTTTAATATTTTCATCATCAATTTCGTCGTGTAAATTTTTTCCACTAATATAGTGATTCGAGTTACTGTTGTATTCTTCCTTTTTATACATGTTGCCTTTATTTCTAACCTTTTCAAACTTCTTAAAAGAAACAAAATCATCATTCGCATCATTTTTTATTTTACTTTTTTTTATTTGTTTCATTGTATTAATGTTATTTCTAAACATTTTTGTTTCATCAAACTTGTTCTTCTTGTCCTCGTCATTTAATTCAGGTAGTTCCACAAACTTTAATAAATCATTTGACGTCATTCCTACGTTTTTTAAATTGCTCATGTTATTTTTCTTTTTACTTAATGATTTAATTTTTTTCTTCAAAATTTTCTCGTCAAAATTCATAAACTTTTCTTCCATTTTTTTAAAGTAATTTTCTTCTTCGATTTTTTCTGGTCTATTTGATACCATATCTTTTATTTCCTTTAAAAATATACTTCTCTCGTTTTTCAATTTTTCTCTTTTCTTTTTCTTCTCCTCCTTTTCCTTTTCCCGGATGTGGCTATCTGTGTATTCTGTTATAAGACTTTTGCTGATTTTGTATTTTTTGCTTTTCTCAGTGCCTTTATCCCCTTGGAATTTCCCTTCATCTTCTTCGTCATCTTCCAATTCGTCATCTTCTTCCAATTTTTCATCGTCTTCCAATTCTTCGTCATCTTCCAATTCGTCATCTTCTTCCAATTTTTCATCGTCTTCCAATTCTTCGTCGTCTTCCAATTCTTCGTCGTCTTCCAATTCTTCGTCGTCCTCCAATTCTTCGTCATCCTCCAATTCTTCAACATTTTCCTTCTCCATTTTGCTCCTATTCACTTTTTTGGAGGTAAATGCATCACACCCCTCAGGTTCATCTGCGTCTCCCAACTGCTTACTGGCCGACTTATTTAGTTGCTGAATTTTGAATTTAATTTTATTATCCAATTCATTAGTTTTGGCAATAAGTGTGTTCATATATATTAGTTTATCTAAGACAGGGTGGTTGTGTGTATAAATGTTCATAATTTTTAGAAATATGTAGTACGTAAGATATATAATGTATGTTAACATTGTTTCATTTTTCTTTTTAAGATAGAGCAATATGTTTTTATTGATGTCTGATGGATTGACATTATTTTCATTAATTTCTTTAAACTGAAATAGTCGTTTGTTTTCATTAATTTCGTTATACACTTTTTGGATACATAGAGACAATTCTTTTTGCAATATTTTATATTCTTCTTGCTCACTCAAAATAATTTGTTCAATTTCTTTGTTATCCTTAATTTCATTACTTATTTCTTTTTTTTTTACCTTTAAATCTGTGCTCATATCACTGATTAACTTTTTAATAATATTTTCTTTTTCTTCTGCCTTGTGTAATCCTTTGTCATCCATATTTTTTGATATATTATCCTTTCCATCGTTATATATATTATATAAATCAAAATCATTTTCATTTAAATTTTCCTTTTCCTTTCTATTGAGATATATGGCTTCTTTTATTCTTTCCTTACTGCCTTCTTCGTCATCACTTGATGAATTTTCACTTTCATATTGATAATAATTTTTTTTTTCTTTTTTCCATGGAACTTTAACAAATTCGTCTTCTGCTTTCTTCACACCTTGGTCTTTGTCAGTCCCAACTTCATCATCACTATCATCCTCCTTTTCTTCATCTACTCCTAACTTTTTTTTCCTCTTTTTCTTACTAGCAGATTTGGCGCTCACACCGAGATCAGACTTATCATCACGTTCATCACGTTCATCACTGTTATCACTTTCATCACGTTCATCACTATTATCACTTTCAATATGTTCATCACTATTATCACTTAATATATCATTGCTGGAGCTAAAATTTTCAATATCACTTCCATCTTCATCCTCAATTTCCAAATCTTCCGATTCGGAGTTCTCTACAAACTTTATTTTGCTTGTATCGACGGATACACGATTGTTTTTTTTTTTCATTTTTTTTTTTTTTTTTTTGGTAAAGCATATATTCAAAGGGATATTTTTGGACGCGGTGAGGCAGGAAAAAAAAAAAAAAAATAAATAAATAACCACTAAAGCGAAACCTTTCTCTAATCACGAACTCATAGCAGAGCAGGTGAGTTTTGTAAAGAAAATTTTAAATAAGGCGTTACAAAGTTGTTTCACTCAATAATAACGCTTATGCGTATGTAAATATGGATGTATATTTAAGAACGCATGGTTATAAGGATGCATGATTATAAGGAAGCATAATTATAAGGAAGCATACTTAATAATGTACGTTTTAAATGAAGCAAATGATCTTTATGTTTTCACCCCTTAAATCTTTTTTTTTATACGAGTTTTTTATTTTAATATTATTATATTTTTTTTTTTTCTTTTCCTGCCTTAATTTTATTTTTTCATATATTTTTGAATTTGAAAAATTATGAATTTTTTTCTCTATTTGTTTTGGAGCATTGCAATATAAGATTTGTTTTCACTACAGGAGATTCTACATAAATTGCAGAAAAGGCAGGATTAGTTTTGGTTGCACTTTTTATTTTTTTTTTATAATTCTTATATGGACATAGTTTAAAATAATTTCCTTTTTTTTTCTCCTATTTATATAATTCGGTATCTCATATTTCCCTTTAAACAGAAACAGCTTCATCGTCCTTTATAAGCTTAAATTCCCTTGTTGAATTAAGTCATAGGAAAAAATATCCCCCAACTTTGGTATATATATATATATATATATATATATATATATATATATATACATACGGACTTTGTATATATATGCTGAGTGCATATTGTGCAAATGTTGTGTTTTATTGGAAAAAAAAAAAAAATATATATATATAGGGATAAAAAGAACCTGAAAATGAAAAAAAATTTCCCGATCTACTAAATAGTTTCTTTATACCCTAAATGTGAATAAAATATCCCTTGAAAAAAAAAAAAAAAAAAATGATACGCATAATCAAAATGACACATTTAGCAGGAATGAAATGTGCTTTTCTTTTTCTGGAAATATAAATTACTAGAAAATGTGCTTATTTATTTAAGGGTTTTTCAAATTAACATAAAGGAATGGTGTGAAATTATTGCTATTATCGATTATCACATGGTTTTGCACAAAAAAAAAAAAAAAAAAAAAAATATGACAAAAAATTTTTAGCCGTATTTTGCCTATATTTTCTGCTACACCTGTTGACCACACCTTTTGGTTATGTTTTTTGTCATTTTTTGTCATTTTATGGGAGCATTTTTTTTTATTTCTCCTTTTGCGTCATTCTTAGTTTTTCCTAGAATGCTAGCAAGACTTTTGAGAGGACACCGTGTCAAACCCAGCCAACGTATTCGCACGTTACAGAGACCCAAGTAAATATGTCCGTGCTAACGTGAAAATTACTCAGTTACAGCACTTTTATTACAGCGCCTTTATTACACATTTTTCACAAAAAATCATGCGATAGGAACAGACGAAAGTTCAACAAGAGCATGAATGAATTAAAGGAGTTAAGCAGGAGAATAAAAGAAAACACGACCGTAAAAAATGAAGAAAATAAGAATGAGCCGGAAATAAAAAATTTATTCGAAAATTTCCTTAGTAACAACTCCATAAATTACCTGAGTTCTCTCATAAATAAAACGAACGCAAATGGTAAAACCAGTGAAAATGACAAAAAGGTAATTAGGTCAGAAGTTGAATACTTGGAAAACACATTTCCAAATGAAAAACGGCGAAGTAATAAGTTTAATGGGGATGATGAAGCAAGTTCCACACAGGATTATACAGAAAATAGGGAGAAGGATCTTATTGTGAAAGAAAAAAAAAAGAAAGAAAATTTAGAAAGTTCTACAGTGGAAAATAAAAGCATAGGACACATAAATGTAAAGAAAATTTTGCAGAATAAAAAGAATGTTGAATTTAAAGATTTAAATAAATTAATTAATAGCTTTAACGATGAAATAATGAGGAGAAGTAAAAATCTGGAAATATTTATTAACAAAAACAAAATAAAAAACGATTATAGTGATAAAATCTTAATGATAGACAATTTTAATAGAGAAATGCGAGTTATCGAAAACGGCTTCAGTGAAAAATATCCCCTATATGATTTGTATTTGACTAAAAAGAAAAAAAAAAAAAGTTATGACTCGCTAATATTTTTTAAAAATTTCTTTAAATGTTTAAAGAATTATATACATTTTGTAGATAAATCGGAAAAGAATTATAAAAAATTAAAAATATGGAAATCATTAGTTTATTTAAGAAATTGCAAGATGCACATTTTGTTATTAAAAGCCATATTTAAGTGTGTAAAAAAGGAGGAGGAGGAGAAGAAGAAGAAGGAGGTCAAGGCATTTCCAAAAGAAGAAAATGTGGACAACAAAAATGAGAAAGCAACAAATCCACAGTTTATCACAAAAGATGATATTTACTCGTATGGCAGATCTGGGTTAAAGAATATTACTCCATTGAATAAGCCAAATGAAAAGGAAAATTTTGAAGTCAAGGAGGAGCAGCAGGACAATAATACAAGCCGTAGTAGTAATAGCTCGGATAGCCATCTTGATACTAAGCTGATGGAAGATTTAAAAAATATATTTCAAATGAATTCATTAGAAGCAGTTGCAGATAACAAATTAACATTTGTGAAGGATATTAAAATGAAATATGACCACATTTTAAATAATTTAAAAAATATCATTCATACCATTTTCGAAAAAATGTTTGTCCTTAGCAACAGTATTAAAATATATAAATATGTGTATATTAATTCAAATGATATTTTTTTAAAAAATGAAAAAAATATTCACGAAGAAAAAATTTCCTATGCTATGTTTTGGCACTTTGCCTATATTTTAAAAATACACACTAGTTATTTGGAGAAAATAAAAAAACACCTATTTTCTAATTTCTTTAAATTGATAGTTTTATTTTACTGCATTGTGAAAAATATAAATGGTAAAGAAGTAATAAATAACCTCCATCAAATGAAACATATAAATTCTTTGACATATGAACATGTAAAGAAATTTGTTTCAAGTGTAGCACAAAAAACTCATGTTAATTTGTGCGCACAGAATTATTCTAAATTTTTTAGTCAGTTTAAAAGTTACCTTTTTAGTGAATCGAATGATTATGTCTACCTATTTCAAGGGAATAAGGAAATAAAAAACAATTCATTTTGTAACTTTGGATTAAGTGATTACATAATCGAACATGAAGAATACATTGTTATTGATATGGAAAACTTTTTCAGTAACATTTTTTTATTGCTTGAGAAAGATTATAAGATAAACACACGGAGGAATTTGTCCCATTGTGAGGAGTTATCCCTTTTGCAGAAAGAGTATATTGACCTGAACATGTCAGGAAGACAAAGTGTTGGCCAAAGTGGCGAAGAAAAGGGTAATGAAAAAAATATTATTCATGATTCTGACATAAAATGTGCTAAGAGTGAGGTAGGAAATAGTACTACTACAGATGAGATGGAAAAACAAGGAAAAGAAAGTGAAGGCACAAACATTTTTTCTACACTATCTCGCTGTTTATTTGAATTCCACACTTTAACAGAATTGTTATTTGTGATGAATAAAATTGAGAAGACCAATAATGGCGAAACGGGAAAAATGGGAAAAAAAAAAACATGTCCAAAAACCTCATTCGACATTGAAATTGAAGAAAAAGGAAACACAGACGAATTGATAAGCATATTTAACTTCTACTTTAATAATAAACAAAAGGAAGAAAGTGGTGACGATGCTTATTTTGTAAAGTATGTACTAGACGGTAATGATAATGAAAAACTGAATCATGTGAAGGATAAAATAAAAAGAAAATATGAACATGTAATGAGAGAAGGGAATGTAGATCAACTGCGATATTGTGGAAGCATTTTCTCCCACTATATGATAAACAAAGAATTGAACGAAAATGTATTTACATTTTTTCATAAAATAAATATGAAGAGAAATAATTTAAGGGAAATTTTTGATGTATACTATATGTATCGATGGAAAAAGGAGGAAAAAAAATTCGATCAGCTTGTTCAAAAAATTTTTCAGAAAAATTTTTTTTACTATCTTAACCAGATTAATACCATTTTAAGTGATATATTCCTTTTTAAACAGGAGGAGGGATATATACTGATAAATGAAAACATGGATGATTATATATGTAATGCCTTTTTTGATAAATATAATAATTATAATTTGATAAATGTGGGAGAAGTAAATTATCATTCGATTTTGAGTTTTATTGAAGAAGCACAGATTGAATTGAGAAAATGTGTGCAGCAGAAGGCCGAGAAAATAATTGCAGAGAAAAATATTCACAGTAAGGGTGTGACAGGTGGTACCGGAGGTGTAGACATGGAAAAGGGATACATATTCAGTACTGGAAAATATATGACTGAGGAAACCGGTGATAACAATGTGAGTGTGGAATCAAAAGTGAAATTGAAAGCAAAATCGACACAGAGGAATATTTGTTCGTCCAATTTTATTAAGCATACTGTTTTTTGTAAAAAGGAAGAACATAGCAAAAGGGATGAAGAAGGAGAGAAGGGTGAAAAGGGTGAGAAAGTTGAACAAGATAAACACACTGAGAAAGAAAAGGAAAGAAATGTGGTATCTGTTCCAGACAAAACAATCATCAGCATAAGCGTAAAACAGGAAAGTATAGACTGCTTAAGAATTCATAAAAATTTGTTGTACATTGTTTTTACAATTTATCGCATAGCACATTTTTCCTATTATGTTTTATTTAAAATTAAAGGAGAGGAAGGATGGAACCATACAACAAATGAGGTTTATGGGATGAGAGATGAAAAAAATGAAAGGGCAGAAACGAAGGAATCGAGGGAACCAAAGGAAAAGAAAAAATCAAATGAAAAGAAGGAAAAAATTAAACAGACCATTGGAATTAATACTATACTATTCTGCTACAAAATTGTTAAATATATTTATAACACATTTTTAAGTTATTCATTTTTTATATTTCGATTTTCTTGCTTTCCGAATGTGATAAATGCAAGTGAATTTTTGTTAACACTGATTAATGATAATATATTTTTAAAAAAGGTTTTGCAAAACATTAATTGTGTATTTTTACATTATAAGGATTTATTTAATATTCCCATATGTGAAGATGACATTATTGTATTTAAAAATTTACATGTGAAAAAGAACAGTTGGTGTGGAACAGGAGACAACGAAAGCAAATATAAAAATTGCACTCATATGAATAATATGAACATTGGCCAGCTTTTCAAAGGGGGAGATAAAGTCAATTGGGATGAAAGGCACATAAATGGAATGTGCAAAAAGTACCAGAACAACAGTGATGTTGTAAAGAAGGAGCAAAAGAGGAGTGATAATAGTGACAATAGTGATATCAGTGATATTGGTAACTCTGGTGACATTGGTGATATTGGTAACTTTGGTGACGTTGGTAATATTGGTCACATTTGTGATAATAATGGCGATAGTTCAAAATGCATGAAGGTACACGAAAAGGAATGTTGTAAAGAAAGGCGAAGTAACAAAAAAAAAAAAAAAAAATTCATGCAGACGAAAAAACATCAAGTTTTATGTATAAACAAAATAAGCATATTGAAGAAGATTTATTTATATATCGACAAATTTCAGATTAATTTGAATTTTTTTAAAAATATGTTTATCAAAATTTATAAGGACAAAATTAAGAACCTTCTCCAAAAAGATATCATTTTTATGGATGAACAATTTTTAATTAACACTTCAAAAATAGTTAACTTAATTTTTGAAATTTTTCAAATACAAGACTTATCAAAAATTGTCCATACAAATATTACCTTGTGTTTGATAGATTATTTTTTTTTCCTTATCAATACTCAAGTTTATAATTTTGTTACGAATAAAAGGAGAATTGATAATAATGAGAGACTCCTCCTGTATGACAAGTTGTCATTTGCACAAAATAGCCTTGTCTTTGTTTTGCGTGCTTATGGAGGTACGTGCACTTTTGTGTGTTCGTTTTATTATATTGTGTCTTGGATGGAACTTTTGCATTTTTTTTTTTTTTTTTATGTATCTGAGTGTTGAATGCACGATTTTGTCCTCTGGTTCAACATGTAGATATTTTAATAACAATGTAAGGATACACATTTGTCTCACGAAATTTTTTTTTCTTTTTTTTTTTTTTTCATCTGTTTTTCCTTCCTCAATTTTCTGAACGCAGAAAACGCCCGAGAAACGGAGAGAAATCATACCACACAAGATGAAAATTATTTCTTAAAAATAACGGACCAGTTGCCCTTCAATTTGATAAATTTGAAGAAAAATAAAATGTTGTTTTTACTCCTTTTTTGTAAGATTAAATACATTTTAAATTCTAAAAAGGGAATATTGGAAATGCATGATCCGCAGATTATTCAGTTGTTATTGTCGAACAACCCCTACGTGTATGATGATGAAAATTATGATGCCATACTTAATGAATTTAAATGAATCCTTTGCACAACCTTTTTGGGTGATCATTTTGAGGAATAAAAAAAAAAAAAAAAAATTCATCACATTTCGATTGACAGTGCGATTTTTCTTTTTTTTTAAGTGTATAAAAATGACACATTCGGTTGCTTCAGCGGGATTAGCAGCTTGAGTTGTTTCATTTTTTTTTTTTTTTTTAACATAACATCCATATTTCTACCTGACCCACTTTTAACTTTCTTTTCACACTACTTTTTGTTTGCATATGCATTAAAATGTGTGTGTATTTTCGTTGCGGACATTTTATAGTATTTTTTTTATTTTTTTCTTACTTCACCAGTGATTTGTGACAATATATTTTTGGGCATAACTCTACTGAGTACATATGTATATATATATGTATGCAAATTTATGCATATATATACACATTTTTCTTTTTTTCACGCCAACATTTTGTAACCATTTTCCCTTTTGTGTGTCTCTTATCCTTATACCAAATGGATGAGATATGATGAACAGCTCGTAAAGTTCCCACACCTTTGCGCTGCATGGTTGTGTATATGTATTGGTATAGTTTTTATATTTCACTTGAGTGTGTGTTAATAAAATTTTCATTTGAAATGATATGCAAAACAGTTGTTAATGGTATAAAAAAAAAAAAAAAAAAGATGAGAAAATTGTATTGTACGAAGGAGCAAAAAAAAAAAAAAAAAATGGCTTGAAAAAAAAGGTGGGGTATATAAGTGCCATATATATACAAAGAAGCATAGTCATGTGTGTGCAGAAATTGGACGATTACTAATTTTTGTCAAAGAGAATTATTAGAAAAGAAAAGAAAAAGCCACATAAAAATCCCAAGACATGATTGAAGTGACTTACATTTTCTAGAAACAATGAGGAAATGAATGAATAAAAAAAATTATAAAGAAAGTTCGTATTAATGATGTAATTATTTTTAAAGTAGAAAAATATAATATATATCATATGCATCCCGTAAAGAGAATATATACAGGAACTACTTCCACATATAATTTTATTATTTTTATTTAAAAGTATATTATTTTCATTGGAATAATTTTTTAAAATTAAATTTTTAAAAAATATTTTTTCCTTCTTTTCTCTCAAGTAGCATATGTACGATATGATATTTGATAAGGTACCAGACAGTAGAAATACAACTAATATTTGACTATTTGTGTAAACATTTGAAATTAATTTATATATAGATATTAGTGAGCTCATATTAAAATATAAATGTAAAATATTTTTATGAATAAATAAAGAAGTAAAAAATGTTTTAAAATTTTTTGTTTTGTAAATATCATAATAATTACATTTATATTTTTCTGCTTTCTGCTCTTCCTTTACTTCTAACAAATTTCCTTTATGAAAATAAATTTTTTTTTCTTCATCCTTATCAATTCTGTTTAAATAAAGATAGAGACCAACATTAATAGCTATAATTAATCTGTCTAATTTACATTTATTAAATAAATAACTGAAACAGAGGAAATTATTTTGAAGCGTCTTTTTTATTTGCTCCTGTTGGAATATATCTTCCATAAAGTCTCCTATTCTTGTCGTTTTAATGTTATTCCATATATCTGAAACATGTCTCTTAAAGGAGTATATTTTTTTTATTCCTTTTTTTTTCTTTAACTGATAATCGGAGTAATAATGCTGTAAAGAAATATGTTTATGGATTATGAGCTCTCGATTTGTTCGCTTGTAGTTCAGGTTGTTGTACACAAATGCGTTTCCTCTGGTAAAAAGATACGTTACTATTACGAAGAAGATTAAAAGGTTCATCCTTTTTAGTGATTATATTCCTACTCATTTTCTGTCAAGTGTATTTTACCCTTTCTGCTTTGCGGGATATGAATGGTTGATACAATTAGACCATATACTCTGATGCACTATTTCTGTTTTCTCGCTTCAAACATGCAAAGTGTTTTTGCATGTCTTTTAGCACAGTCCGCTCAAGTGCCTTTTAAATAAAACATAGGTGTACACCCAATGGATTCGACAACTGGAAATTCCCTCAGTTTTTCTTCTTAGATTTTTTTTTTCCAGCTTATTAAAAGGTGCTAGGATAAATGAGAACAAACGTTAGCACATTCTTGCAATTCTGCAGTTCGGCAATTTAGCTACTCTTCAATTTAGTTACACTGCTATTTGGCAATTTTGTATATGCGGATGGATGGAGGTGGCAATTTGGGATGAACAAGAACTTATGATTGAAAAATATACTTATTCAAACGCTCAATGGAATCCATTACCAGTTCTAAGGATTGTTTCCGTGTGTCTCTTCGTGCATATGTTGGGAAATAGTTATCATTGATGGGAGCTGATCCTTTCTAATTTGCGAATTAGTGCAAAGATTAGAAAGGAACGATCATGTTGTGGTAAACATGTAAATACACAAATGAACGAGCAAACAAATGTACAAAATATCAATGTCGTAAAATTCGACAGGTGTAAGGGAGAAGGACAAAGATATAACATCCCTATAGCTGTACATGTAGATACTTACATCCACGTATACACATGTGTGTATAATACCTGTGCAATGTTTGGTTATTTGTTAATCTTTAAGTGTAAAGGGGGAAGTAAAAAAAAAAATAAAATAAAAATAAAATTGTATAAATTTTAGCATAGTTCACACTTTAATTTTGCAAGGAATGCAATTTTAAAATGTTACCATTTTCTCGAAGGAGAAAAAAAAAAAAAAAAAAAAAAAAAAAAGGAAAATTAAAGAAAATATCAATGTTATAAATACATGCTAAATAATAACATAGTCATTTAAATACGCACATAAAGTACCAACTTTGGGGGGTAAATGTGACATATTTGTGCGTAAATAAAAGGGAAGTATTTATTTTCCTATGATCGTAAAAATATTTTTGTTGGAAATATGGTAAAATTAAATTCGTTTTTTTATTTTTTTATTTTTTTATTTTATTTTATTTTTTTGCCTACACTTTTTAATATTCACCTTTGTAAAGGGCAGCAAAATGTTTACTTACTATTTTTTTTTTTATTAATTTATTTTATTCTAAAAGGAATGGAGAAACTGAAAGAAAATAACACAACTGAGAAAAGATAAAAAAAAAAAAAAAAAAAAAAACAAATCAAAACAGCAAAAAACATAGCACAGAACTGAACACGAAGCGGCACACTAAGTGAAACACAAAAGGAAAGAACAAACAAAAGGACAAAACAATTACAGAGAAAAACATTCCTTTCCCTTAATGATAAAAGTCTGTTCGATGACGTTCAAAATTCATCCCTATTGTTACACATTTTTTCCCAAATTATTTTATGTCTAAATGGTGCACGGAATAGTTAATTCTTTTGAACTGCAAAAAGAGTTATATATACACGCTCTGTTATATTCGAAATAAAAGGCTATTTTCTTTTCTTTTCCTTTTTTTTTTTTTTTTTTTTTGTTTCACTCTCTTTCCTTTGTTTGCGATTTCGAGTGAAGGGTAATAATGTTGGTATTCATCAATCACAAACAGCGCCGTTTAAAAAATTTTACAAATAATGAATAGTTATACATTTGGGGAGAGTTATGCAATGTGTACATATGTGTGTATCTGCATGATGTCTGTTATGTATGCTTAAAACCACTCAATCATTAAAAAAAGGGTTGAATGAACGGAAAAATCTTCTACAAATGCTTAACAAGTCGATTTTTTTTTTTCTTTTTTTTTACACTATTACACACGTACTTGTACAGGTACATATATATATGTGTGCATATTTTTACCGATTCTCAGATGGATGAGCGTAAGGGTATGGATATGGACAAGCTCAGCGAACTTTTTAGTGGTACCGTTGGATTGATGAAAAATGCGCTTCAAGGTTTAGCTCAGAGGTAAGGGAAAAAGCATGCAGGACGGAGATAGGTGTCCTAAGTGATTTGACTCATATATACATATATACATGACAATATATAAAACAGTCTACGTATGTTTATGTTGGATATTATAAAAATGCCATATTAGCAAAATACAGAATTGTTCTTCCATTAATTATTCCGTTCGATGTTCTTTTTTTTATATGTTCATTACTTGTTATATATACGTGCATTGTTTGTGTGAATAAATAAAACGTTATTATATTTGTGAAAATTTTCAAATAAGAAAGTTTGAGAACTTAACCTCTCCTCCCCCCCCCAAAAAAAAAAACGTTTCTGCTTGTTCGTATATAGAAATTCCACCATTTATAATATTCTACACATAAGTGATAATATGCAAAACAAGGGTGATTATGAGGAACTCTTACCAAATGAAATGAAGTTTAACAAAGAGCAAATAATAGTAAGAAAAAAAAAAAAAGAAAAAAAGTAGCGTTTAATGAGATCAAATGCATAGATATGAGGAACAGTGTATTCTATGTTTATAGTTTATTTATTTATTTATACATATTTGAAACAAACCCATTTATGTATTTGTTTGCATGATGATGTTGTTACATGTTATACCCTCTGCGGTAATATATGTTAATAGGACTAATTATGTTGTAGTAGTATAAATCACACGAAGTAGTACAAAGCGCACACTAATGAACAAGTCTATCAATCCAGAAACATATAAACTCTATTTTAGTAAAAATTTGAGATATATTATGTTATTCACTCTCGCTACATATGTATATATATATATATATATATATTTTTTTTTTTTCTGTAGAAATGGGTACTAGGGGCAATCTTCTTGTATATGCTCGTTACAATTTTGTCGTATATTTTCGTTAACTACATTTTGTTCTACGCTGTAATATTTATTATCGTAGCTGTTGCAATTAAGTTTTATTTTTACTACCAGCAAAATGATGACACCCCACTATTACAGCAAACGAATTACCATCACTTCGAAGCCCATAGCATTTAGTTTATCCCATTGCAATTGTCAGAATAAATACTACTCTTTTAAAAAGGAATAATATATACATATATATGCACATACACATATACGCACATGTAAAGTGTGGCATATATAGTAGAATAAGGAAGCTAACTGGTTACAACGATTTTCAAAAGTTCATGGAGAAAAATAAAAATGTAAAAAGCCATAAGTTTACAAAAAAAAAAAAAAAAAAAAAAAAAAAAAAAAAAAAAAAAAAAAAAAACTAGGAAGAACAAAGTGGACTGTAAAAAATACGCTTTGATATTTTTAATTTTTCAGGATTTTTTAAGTTATCTTTTATATATTCTCTTCTCATACAACCCCTTAGCATGTATTTTTTGTTTTTTCACTCTTTACATTTTTCCTATTTGTAATGAAAAAGTTGAATACATATATTTTTTTTTTTTTTTTTTTTATACTAACCTATTTTTACCCCTAAAATAAGGACTTTTACTATTTAATATTTCTTTTTCTTTTTTTTTAACACATTTTTTGCGCTTCAAAAATTGTTTTTAATATAAGGAGAAGTTTACCATTTTACTTGTTCCATATCTATCGAACCATTTTTAAAGAATAAAAAAAAAAAAAAAATATATATATTTGCCTTGTCATGTAGGACTTGGACCTGTTGGTTGTGTAATTTTGGAGGCATGCAATAACTTGAATTGTCACATGTAGGAATAATACAATGCCATAGGATTTTGTGTACATTAGATAATACACATATAGAATTATAATATATGTGCCACTTTAATCCTCTTTATTTTTAATGGATAAATGCACAAATGTTAGAACTAGTTTTAGCATCATTCTGAGAAAAAAAAAAAAAAATTTCCTCACTTGAAGGAACTTTTTTTTTGAGCTCTTTGGCACTATTACTACCATAACGATAACCCATTCTACCATCCCCCGTGTTGCTATTGACCACATCGAACCGAACCACTTAACTGTTTTTGCATCACTGTCAATGGAAACAGACATAAATAACGAGACAAGAGACGCAATTAAGGAAGATGGGGAAGATGAGGGAAAAAATCCATTGGATGATACCATCGAAGTTCGATCCATGTGCATAAATTGTGAACAAGAAGGAACAAACAAAATAGTAAAATTACAAATTCCATATTTTAAAAATATATTAATACATTCATTTGAATGCGAATTTTGTAATTATAAAAACAATGTCATCCAAGATTTAAATACTATAAAAGAAAAAGGAATAAAAATAATATTTAAAATATCAAAACGTGAACATATGGATAGACAACTGGTCAAGTCTGAATATGGAGTATTAAGAATTCCACAAATTGATTTTGAAATTCCAAAAGAAACACAAAAGGGGTCAATTAATACAATAGAGGGATTCTTACAAACTGCTTTAAGTAATCTTAGTGAATATCTCAGGAATTTGAAGCAAATGTACAATGAGGTAAATGGATTAACTAAAGATGTACCTGCTCAGATCGTAGAAGAAGAAGCAAATCAAGTTCAACATGGGGAAAATAGTCAAAATAATGCATCTGTAGGGATACAAAATATGGAAACTGCTTCTGATGACCAAGGAGCTAAAAAAAAGGAAGAAATTGAATCAATGAATGAGTATAGAAGGGACAGAAACGAAATTGGAAAAGGAGAATATTCTAATAACGCGAATGAAGAACAAAGTAATCAACAAATGACGATCGAAAATTACATAAAATTAATCGAAACAACAGTTCAAAATTTATCCATTTATGTAGTATCGAAGGAATTACCATTTACCATCGAAATTGTAGACCCCTCTGGACTAAGCTCATTGGAACATTACGATGAAGATATTAAAAGTAACACAGTAAAAGTGGAATATTATGAACGAAATAAACAGGAGTTAAATGAAATGGGTTTTTATGAAGAAGACTTTGAGGATAAAATGAAAGAGAGAAATTTAAATCCAAATGGAAATGAAGAAAAACAAGAGGATATTGACGGAAGAAAAAAATTTAAGAAAGAAAATTACGATTTTATTAAAAAATATGTTTATATGAATGGTGGTACAAATAACAATGATGAGAGGAATAATACGAATGGGGGAAATACTGCTATCCGGTACAAAAACATAAGCGAAGAGGAAGAGGACAAATTAATAGAATCATTTGCATCTAACTGCCCATGCTGCAATTACATGGGTGCAAACAATTTCTGTGAAATTAATATACCTGGTTTTAAAAAATGTTTAATTATGTCTTACGTATGTACAAACTGCAACTTCAAAACTAGCGAAATTAAAAGTAGCGGTGAGATAAATCCCAAGGGAAAGAAAATTACTCTCACTGTAAAAAGTAAAAGTGATTTAAATCGATTTGTAATTAAGTCAGAAATGGCTTCTATTCATATTCCCATCGTTGATCTTATATCGGATTATGGAACTCTAGGAGGTTCTCTCACAACAATCGAAGGATTGATTCTAAAAATAATCGAATCTTTGGAGGATAAATTTAAATTTTTACTAGGTGACTCTAGCACAAACATGTACAATTATGATAATAAGAATGATAATACAACCGAAGGGATGCAAACGAAAGGGAAAACGAATGGAAATCTTCTTCATAATAACGAAATAAGTAGTGATGAATCCATTACAAATAAAGTAAAAACCTTAATTGCTAATTTGTATAAATTATGCAAAACGAATGAATTATGCCCATTTGATATTATCATTGACGATATTGCATCCAACAGTTATATATCAAGTGACAATATTGGACACGATGATAATTTAAAAGAAGAAGAATATGAAAGGACATTTGAACAAAATGATATGTTAGGAATCACATCAATGATCACAGAGAATTATTGAAAATGGTAAAAAAGGTAAGAAGAAAAAAAAAAAAAAAAAAAAAAAAAAAGACCTCATTTTTGTTCCCCATCTTTGTATTATTTCCCGGCTTCCCATTCATTTCAAGCTTATTAGAAAAGAGGTTAAGAATTTGTAAATTTTTAAATAATTAAGATATGGCCAAATAAAACAACACAATTGATGCAATGAATAAAAGTTTGCACTCTATATATTTATTCATTCGTTGAAGCGTTTTTCTTTTGGGGAAATAAATCTCCATGTCATCTCTCCAAAAAAAAAGAAAAATTCTTACAACGGATGTGATAAAAAATTTACACGCATGTTTTTACATTTGACAAAATCTTCATTTTGGAAGCAAAAAAAAAAAAAAATATATATATATATACTTTACCGATGTTACACATTTTATAAATTTTAAAAAATAAGAGTTGCTCAAAGAGTTTGTGAAAAATAGTACATGTTTGTTTTCCCCTATTTTGTGAAATTAAAAATTCACATACTTATTTATATAAAAAAAAAATATATATAATTTTGATTTCCCTTTTTCATTTCGCACCATTAAATTCACATTGGCCACTTTATTTAATCATACACCTTCTATAAAAAATAATCGAATCATAGCTTATTTAAAAAGGAAAAAAAAAAAAAAAAAACACATCATCTTGAAAGAGGATCCTTATATATTTTTAGGATAATTTATGATTTTATTTTTGTATTAATGAGATTTATAAATCCATTATTGTGCTGTCGCCTACAACCATGTTTAACGTGTATATAACCATCTCCATGTAAATATATGAGCATACCCCACTCACGCTTAATGATTATTTCTATATTGAACAATGTAACTCGAACTACGAATCAGTGATGGGTGTAAAGGGATAATATGTGTTTTTTTTTTTTTTTTCTTTTTTTGTTCCCATAAATTTTTTTCCTAACTTTTATACTTCTTTAAATCAATAAAATTCACATGAATTCACATTACATGTTTGAGAAAAACATAGCAATTTTGCATGTTAGAAGTCAGTAAATTTGGAAGGAGACTGATTAAGCACATACAACTATCGTAATGTAAACAAATAGACAATGGGCCTACTATCGTCTTGACATGTTATATCACATGCCCTTATGCATATGTATATATGCAAGAAGCTGTTTCCAGAATATTTATAGTGTTACTTCATTAGTTTTGTTAATTTGAAAACATTAGTTTCATGTTTTGATATCTCGCACATGAGCGATATTTATAGTTACACATCCAAAATGTGCAATCAAGGTTGAAAAGTAAATAGGTTATATGTTCTTCACTTTGTCAAATCTATTTCAGTACGTGTATAATTTGACACTTAAGATTTACATGTTTTGGGTAACGTTTACAAACACAATGGAAAAAGGAAAAGAAAAAAAAAAAAAAAAAAAAAAATTTGAACAAGAAATAATAGTGTATATGCCTAATTTTTATTTATTTATTTTATTTATTTTTTTTTTTTTCATTTTTAATCATGTGTGCGTGTATTTATTCAGGTATATCCACTACATTCTTATCATCACAAAAAAGTAAAAAAAAAAAAAAAAAAAGAAAGCAGGAAGGTCCTAAGAACGCATTCGACACTCATATGAACGTGCATACATGCTTACACACGTGCACATATATATTTGCACATTTATAAATTTTGCATATTTACATTTATGCTTGTGCACATGTTTATTTTCCTCGTTTTACTATTTATCTATTCCTTCCACGCTTTATTTACTGACTTGAAATTTTTAAAAAAAATTGCAAAAATATTGTTTATATATTTATTTCCTTACTCAAACGCATGCCATTATTTGTCATTCCATTTCCATTTCATAAGTAGAAGTTTATGTGAACTAGTAAATTTTCTCAAGATAGCTCTGAAAAAAATTCATATTTATATTAAAATTTATATAAACACATTTAGAAACAATCTACATGTTTTGATAGAATATTATTAAAAACATAATTTGTCGAAAAATGTAGAAAATATACTTTTTTTTATTAATTATGATGAGACCCATTTGTATATTTCGTGTTGTTTCATTGTAATTTCTCCTTTATTTGTCTTATATCATAATTAGTTCTATCTTTTTTCTGTCTTGTTTAGCTAATTAGATCGTTCTTTTGTCTGTCTTGTTCAGACAATTGTTTCGTTCTTTTGCATTTCTTATCTAGGTATAATTAATGTGTACTTTTCATTGTTTTGTTTGGATAATTGTTTTGTAATTTTTTTGCTGACCATTCCGTGTGCCCATTTTGTACTTTTTTACTGATCTATTCGTATACTTATTTTGCATTTCTTTCCTAACCTATTCGTGTAATTATTTTGCATTTTTTTCCTGATCTATTTTGTAATTATTTTGCTTTTTTTTCCCAATCTATTTGTGTGCTTATTTTGCATTTTTTCCTGACTTGTTCATGCAACTGGTTCAATTTTTTTTTTTTTTTTTTTTTTTTTTTTTTTTTTTTGTTGTTACACCAATAACCTTTCGACTCACCCTATCAAATTAAATACCATTTTACGAAACTTTACAAAAAAAATGAAGATGTCAGTAACCCTTCGTCAACATTTTTGGAAGACAAAGTTGTGTCCGCTTCATATGGAAAATAGGTGCAAGGAAGGAAATAATTGTGACTATGCTCATTCTATTGAAGATTTGAGATCTATTCCAGATTTGAAAAGAACCAAGTTATGTTATAAGTTGTTAAAAGGTGAAAAATGTTTTAATAAAAAATGTAATTATGCTCATAACCAAGAGGAATTAAAATCTGCGCAGAATTTGTTTGCGTATAAATCTTCTATGTGCAAATTTGTAGCCAATAAAACGTGTTTAAATGGGTCAACATGTCGTTTTGCCCATACTATTGATGAATTAAGAGTGCCAAGAATCCCAGAAATTTTGTTAGAAAAAAATAATTTAGAAGTTGAAGGAGAAAATGACTCAATAGCTTGCGTAAGTGGTAGAAATATTATAAATGAATTAAATAATAATGGAGATTGCATAAACAAAGAAAATGCAGAAAGTGTTGGAAGCATGCATAGGAGTACTAATGAGAGGACCGATAGTAGTATTAATGAAAGCAAAGAAAACATTACGCAAAAATTTACGAAAAATTTTGATTTGATTCTCAATAACTTCCAATCAATGCAAATTACACAAAATGAACACAGGTATAACAACACTAATTATTTGAAAAACTATAGTACAAACAGTGGTTTTCATCGGAACACAAATAATAGGGAAAATAATCATAAAGATGAAAAGAAAAGAAAGGACAAAAATAGAAATAAAGAAAAGCAATTAAAATCCAAATTGAAAAAATTTAATTATGTAAAAAATTATGAACATAACCTCGCTAATTATGATGCAGTTCCAAATAGTTACGCTTCGTCTTCTAATAAAATGAAAAGTGTAGACGAGAGATATAAATTTTATGACAGCAACACGACGATATCATCAAGTTTGAACTGCGCGAAGGTAGAGAAAAACGAACAAATGAATGATCAAGCCTATGTAGGTAAGACATTTGAAAAAGTTGATTTGAATGAATATTATGGAAAAACAGAGGAATGTATTAGAAGATGTTCCAAAGAGAAAAGTGCAAAGGGGAATGCAGATGAGTGTGTAAAAGGAAGCGAAAATCAAGAAAGAGAAGGAGAAGGATGCGTAGAACTGAGCTATAACAAGAATCGTTGTAATGAGAATGGTGGTAACTACAAGCACGGGCAAGTTCGTACAAATGAATCTAACAAAAATAAAAGTAAAAAAAGAAATGATACCAAGAATTATAATGTGCAGAAAAATGCCCCCACGTGCGATATAATAAATGGGAAAGCAGGAAATGGATATATGGCACATGGCAATACAGGAAATTGCCATATGTCAAATGACAATGCAACAAGTGGTAACACAGAAAATAGTAATGTGCCATACCCCACGAATAACAAATATATGATGAATGGCCAAGAAAACCAAATAAATTATACTGACTACAATTACAATAATTATGTAAACCCCTTAATATACAACAAAGTGATGCAAATGAAATTCAACGCATTTAATCCATATATTAATTATAACCAAGTAAATAATAGTGCATGCAAATATGATGGTGCCATCATGTCTAATCATTATCAGCATTTTATGAAACCGAATGAATATTTCATGTACGATCATCAAACGAATATACAACATATGACCCCAAATTATTATGCTAATTATTTGTATTTTTATGCAAATCCGTATAACTATGATCATTGTGCAAGGACAAATAAAATGAAAAATGCAGATAATTCTGTTGGAGAAAAGTTCATCTCTACTGGGAATCAGAAACAGAGTGTTCCTAAAAAAGCTACTCACTTGATGGAATTTAACAAAAGCAATGACAGGAATGGAAATGAAGAAAATCAAGGTGATAAAACTTTCGATAAAGAACATAACTATTGGGGAACATATGAGGAGGAGCTAGATACCTCTGAGGAAGTGTCAGATGAGGATGACGAGAGCTGTGATGAATTCGTAGGTGGTAGGGACAACGATGGACCCGAAATCAGCAGAGAAGAAAGGGTGAACGTTACAGATGAGACAGAAAATGGGATAGAAAATGGGGTAAAAAATGGGATAGAAAATGAGGTAGAAAATAAGGTAGAAAATGAGGTAGAAAATGGGACAGAAAATGAGATAGAAAATGAGAAAGAAAATGAGGCAGAAAATGAGATAGAAAATGAGACAGGAATTGATCCAAAGAGTGAACAACTAGAAAAATCTACCCATCACACACAAAGTAGGGATGGAAACACAAACACGGATTTGACAAAGGCAGGAAAAATAAAAAAGAATAAGGAGCACATAAAACAATGTAGCGTATCAGAATTGAGAGGAAAAAATGAGCACACGAAAGAAAATATGAACATATGCATAAAAAAAAGTTATCATGGAAATGCAAACAACAACAATGCAGTGATAGAAACAAGCGAACGGAATAAATTTCGAAATGGTAATTTAAATGATGAACGAGTGAAACATACAAAGTCAAACATGAAACATAAGAAAAACAAAATGTCCAATTTTGTTCCCCTAAACAATAATGAGAACAAGAATTATAACAGAAACATTTGTCTGAGCAATGAGGAAACTGTGTATAATACAAAGAGAAATGATAACAATATCGAAAACATAAAGCAGGGTACAGGTGGAACTTTTGGGAATAGTACAAATGCCAAGAGTACGAAAAATGCACAATTGCAATTTAATGCGCATGCGAATCCTTCTTCCGTGTATAGCTATATACTGAATGCAAGCAATACAGAAAATACAAATTGTGAAAAAAGATTTATGAAGCCATCATCAACTCCTATGGATCTATATCTTAACAACCAATATCACATGAATCAACTAGCCAATGAACACATGATGTACAACTTAAACAATAGAAACTATGGTTATTATTACTGCCCCTACGTCCCCTCGGATGCCTATAACGATGAAGTTTATTTGAACTAGCTCTTCATGTGATGACCACCACGTGTTGTAATGTCCAGGTAACAGTGGGGTGGCATTGGTGATGACAGCGTCCCATTTGTTGTAACTATTCTTTGGTTATCACAGTTATGTGTGAGAGACAAATGCTGTGCTAGTTTTTCCACAAGTTTGCTAAATGGGTATAAGTTATGTACACCTAAAGGACACAAATAAAGTAGTACAATTGCGGACACGACGGAACACGTATATGTGCATATATATATATATATATATATATATATATATATATGTATATATGAATATATATGTATATGCGAAGGCAATGCTTCGCGAATCATAGACATGATTCTTAAAGCTTGTCCATCCAAATGTTTGTCAATTTTATAAACTATTCGAGAGTTACACTATTATGTGATATATCATAAGAATGCTAAGCTTTTTTTTTTTTTTTTTTTTTTTTTTCTATTCAAATTGATAACTGAAAAGGGGGGAAATTTTAAATTCCATTTTAATCTGTTTAATTTGATATGTCATATACATTAGGTGGAAAAAATATTCCATACTTTCACAATTTTATTTTATTTTTTTTCTTTTTTGTCTTTCATTAAGGCTGTAAATATATTAAATGAGTGAGTGTGTGTTATAAGCGTTACATGGTTCCAGGAATTTTTTTTTTTTTTTTTGGCAGTAGAAAACTTTTTTAAAAAAGGGAGAAAAGAAAAAAATATATCTAAATCTTCTATACATTTTGCACAAATATATTTAGGGTAAATGTTTTGAAAAAAAAAAAGAAAAAATAATTTAAAAAAAGTGAAGTTCTTCATATTATGAATGAATTAAAAAATAAGAGTAGCACATTTTTTGTAACAAAAGGAAATTTTAAAACAAATATAATTATATCATAAACATACATATAATCCGTATATCTACACACCTGCAACATACACATATTTATTCATACATATGCAGCGCAGAAAAAAAACTTGTATTTATTTGGTGTTAAATAGTCATTCATATATACACAATGTATAACGTTTGCATATATGATTACATATATACAAACGAACACATGTAGTTGCGTATACACGATATCAATTTCCTGGGGCACGTACATAAACTTCCTATATTTCTTCTCTCATTCTTTTTGACATGGTTTTAACACTTTTATATGGTTGTGAATGGGGGAAAAAAAAAAAAAAAAAAAAAAAAAAAACATAAATAATAGTAATAAATAAATAAAAAAAAAGGTAAATTACAAAATATGTGAATAAAAATGGAAAAAAAAAAAAAAAAAAAAAAAAAAATTGGGTGGGATAGGACAGGATAGGGTGTGTATATATACTCATGAAAATGGTAAATAAAAAATCTTGATTTCGTATATACATATACTTCTTCGTAATTTGCACAGTTTTCACTTTTTACATCAATATAAAAGTGTTATATTGTATTATATTATATACCATTTTGTGTAAGCACAATCATATTGGTATACAATATGCTATGTGTAGGCTTGTGTTAGTTATGTGCTGGTTTATGTCAGTACAATTTTTACCTTTTCTTTTGTGTCTATACTTGTCTGCTAAATAGTTAATATTGATGTATTTAAATTAATAACAAGCGTGGATTCATTAAAAATGTAACTTGTCTGACTGGAATGACTTTTTTTTTTTTTTTTTTTTCTTCCTTTCTGCTGACGAGCACTGTTCGCCAAGCAATGTTTTATCTTGATACTATTACTTTATTTTTACTATTTTATTTTTGCTGCTTTATTTTTGCTGCTTTATTTTTACTATATATTTTTTTTTTTTATCCTCCTCCCGTTCACAAAAAATATAGTAAATTCATCTGTCTTGCCATGATACGTATACCCCGATCACATCGCTTAGTACAAGTCTTTTTTGGAAACAATACTCTTAATTTTGTTGTGTATTTTTTTATTCGATTTTTCAAAAAAAAACATATTTGCTAAATTCTTTGGGATTTTATTTTGTATCAAATCACATACTTTCTTATCTACAAGTGCGTAATTTTTTTCAATGAATTTAAAATATATATATCCAGCTCCTTGAAAGGTATCACTATATAACCAAAAAAAAAACATCAATTTCATTTCTGAATAAAATGGTATATAGTTCATGATGTGCGCTAATAAAATTGTTTCCAAGTAGCAGTATAATGAATATATAATCCAATAGGTTAAAAAGTGAATATACTGAACAAATTCGTCATTTGGTTTATCTTTTTTATTTATTAACAAATTATATGTTTTAACTGCTGGACATATTACCGATACGATTAAATTTATCAAGTGCATAATTTTCTTTGGAAATAAATGCAATCCCATTTTGCTTAAAATTATAATTTACAAATTAAAAAAAAAAAAAAAAAAAAAAAATTGACGCGGGGTATAAGTTTGGAGAAGACACACCCAGTAATACAACGTAGGCGATATGAGATTGCTTCAAAATTTAATCAAGGGTCTCTAGTACCAAACGTATATAGGTAAATATGGTAAAAATACTTTTTTTACTTGTGATATATGCTTTCTCTAACTATTTCTGTGTGACTGCATAACAAATGTGGTTACCTGAAAATATACTAGTTTTGAAACTGCAGGAAGGTTAAAAGTACTAGGGGAAAATAAGGGGAAAAAAAAAAAAATTCATAAAAAGGTATGAGTTCAGCTAATATATCATCAGGATTAGGAAATAAAAAAAATATGTGCGTCAGAATTGAATGAAAAATGGAGATATGAATAAAGAAATTTTCAATTAACAAGAAATAAATGGCGGTAAGGATAATGAATATAAATGGAATAATCAAACAGTAGAAAGGGAAATTATAAACTTTTAATTTTTCATGCACAAAATTGACGAGGTATGGTATTTTATTATACAAAAATGAGAAAGTGGCACAACATGAGGCGAGTGTAGTTGAGAGGGCACAGTTAAAATATTATGAATTTTATTGTGTGAAAAAAAAAAAAAAAAAAAAAAAAATACCCGAACGAGCTAAATAATGAATACATACAATTGGTACAATATATTATAAAATGGTGCTACTAAAAAATAAAAAATTGTCGAGCAATCATTTTAGCTGATAAACGCTATGGTTCAGGTATTTTCTATTCATAAAGATACGCATGCATAATTGTGTGTTTAGGTAGGAATATAACGTATATGATATATTTGCATACATCTGAATATATAAAAACACGCATAAATAATACAAGCGTATGCCATGAAAAGGAGCATACAATACGTGACACTTGGAAAAAATGTGCATACACCTGTGCAAATTCAGGTCATCGATATGATCATTTATTCATTTCACTCAAAAAAATCCTCCCCTTCGCGGTCAATCCAAATGGGATAAGAATACACAAAGGAGAAAGTAAATGATCAGGTAAACGTTTTTATGTAACGACTATGCAAAAGGGAGTGCAAATGGGAGGCAAACGGGAATGAAAAAGAGAAGGCAAATGGGAAGGCAAATGGGAAGGCAAATGGGAAGGCAAATGGGAAGGCAAATGGGAAGGCAAATGGGAAGGCAAATGGGAAGGCAAATGGGAAGGCAAATGGGAAGGCAAATGGGAAGGCAAATGGGAAGGCAAATGGGAAGGCAAATGGGAATGCAAATGAGAATGTAAAAGGGAATGAACGTGTGGGTGATAATAGGCAGGAAAGCAAACATACGAACTCTGGCGTGTACTTGTTTTGGTGCTCATAATATGTCATATTAATTCGCTTTCCTAAGTGCGCAGGCAAATGCTTGTTTTCATATATAAGCATTTGTAAAGGTGATAATTTTTTTTTTGAACTTACCTTGAAAAACCTAACTCGTTAAATGTTTGGAAGAAGCAGGAGGTAGTTTTAAATTTTTGCGTTCTTCTGAAAATTCAAATAATTAAAGGGACTTGTTCCCCAATATTATACAAAACGATAAACGTTTAAGTTCATGTTACATATATAATTTCTAAAAATGTATTCTTACAAAAATGTTGATATGAATTGTATGTTCTGGTTTTCATATGATAAATAACAATAGTTAAAAAGTAATTCATGAATTAACGTGTTTTATTTGTTAAAAATTGTTCACATGCTTTATATTTGGCATATTTATAATTATTCTTGAACTGTGATTTTCTCAGTCATACTTGTATGCACTAAAATATTTCATAATAAAAAATATATTATTATGTATATTTTTTTTTCATCTTCTGGAATGGTAAAATATTTTGGTGCTCCTTAATTTTCTAATAGAAAAAAAAAAAAAAAATTTAGTTAGCAACTCAGCTTAACTTTTAATTTTGTCATTGCAAGTTTTTTTTTTTTTTTTCGGACGAATGGCAAAGATTTTATATTAAAAAAAATTAAAAATAATTTTTTTTAATTTTTTTTTTTTTTGAGGTTCATTTGCTTTAATTATTCTTTTATGTTCTTTTTATTTTGTCCATTTTCATTACTTTGTTTTGGTCCAATTTTTAATAATGTAAAAGAAGGCAGAAGGGGGGGCACATTTTCTTTGGTGATAAAAAGTATCATGTTTTTTATGCATATACATATTATGCTTGAATGATTAAAGGACTGTGTATTTATAATGCGTATTTTTGTATTATTTATTTATTTATTTTTTTTTCCTCTGTACGAGCAGTTTAAGTATAACATGCATTGTACTTGTAACTTATGTATAATTAGCAATCTATCTGCTCTTTAATTAATTATGATGGGAGATGGGCAAATTAATATAATATTTATAACTCGCCCACTTTGCATTTTGTTTGTCACATAATAATGCTAGATTTATATTAATAGTAAATATCGTATTCATATATATGTCCATTATGTACATGTAATTTGAACATGTTTTCCCCATCATGAAATACACGTAACAACCACAGAAGCATGTTTTTTTTCAACAAGACTAATAAAATGATACGCTTTTTTATATTGTTTTTATATAAATGTACGTATGTACATAAGAATACACACAAACGCATATATATATATATATATAATTATGTGACATGTAAATATTTACCTTGCCATTTCGTGCGCTCCATTTGATTATTATGAAAAAAATCTTAATAAGATGAGCCGTATTAATATCAGAAGCAGTGCGTTATGGTTTTCATTTTAAAGCAAAAAAAATGCGAAGAATGACCAATCATTCTTTTGTTTGTCCATTAATGTTCCCATATTTAATCTGATTTTGGAAAAACTCCCAGAAAAAAAAGAAAAACAAAGAAACAAGCAAAAAAATATCAAAAGAGAATTCAAAAGAATGTTTTTTTTATTTTAATGCTTCAATTTATTACTTCCATATTGCTGGCATATTTCTTTACATGTCTATTTCGAATAATGTGTTATCCTCTTACCAGTATGCTGTTCAGCAGATCATTGGTTTGATGGATAATATAATTTTTAAGATATATAAAGGTAACTTCATACACTTTCCTTCTGCTAAACTAGAAATAGGAAGGTACATATTTGATCAGAGGGTGATAACGACATTACGTCATATTTAATATTTGTTATGCCAGTTGTGTAGTTGTATAGTTATTATTAACCAAAGCTGTGTGTCAACACCCATATAAATGCTTTCTAAATGCGATAATCGTTATGCAAATGAAGCAATAGTTTTTTTTTTTTTTTTTCTCCCATTATCAACATTTTGTCAGTTTATTTGTTTTGTGCATGTTGATCAAGATGTTATCACACTACAATAATGTAAATATCTTTACATAATATAATACCACCCACTCAAGTGTGTATTATACAGTTGCATGTACAGCACTGAATAGGACTTTATCATATAGTATAAATATAAGAAAAAGTGTGCAAACTTTTAAGCCTACTAAAATGGAATGAAAATCATTTAGCATATTACTGAAGGAAGGTTATCGTGGAGAAAAAAAGCATGCATGAAGAGTTAGCACTATTATTCCTAATTTTATCAGTCTCTATCATATTGTACTTGCTAATATATGCCACTTTTAAAAAGGTTGTACATAAAAAATGAAGTTACTGTTTTGGAGTGTCTATGTAAAAACAAATATACGAAGCATGTAAGATGTCAGATACTAACTGTTCGTTACGTTATTCCCAACATATATTATTTAAGACATGCGTATTTGGAAGTAATCCTGTAAATTTAAAGGTTATGCCCATCGTCAAATGTACAATGTGTTCGTGAAATGTAATTTTGAGCTGATCCATTGTAGTTTTTTCTATTCAGTAAACATTGGGTGAATATATCTCCTATTTGTCCAATTCCGATATAATATGTTATAGTTCATTATCATTTTTATGCGTTTTCATAGTACCTTAAATAAATAAAAAAAGAATTCTGTGACTATTTCGACACACTTTTCATATTTTTTTATTTTTACAATTCTATTATTTATGATAAGGGGTGAAAAGTCAATAAGGGTAAAACGAATGAAGAAGAGAACTTTTTATTTTTTTAGAAAAAAAAGAAATTATGTTGATAACATCTGTTCAATTTCATAAGTTCCCTAATTTTGTGTTATTTTTAATACCAAATATGGGTGTTTTTTTTTTTTTTTTTTTTTTCTGATGTTGTATATAATATGTTGTGTAAAACTGAGAGCGGAGGAAAAAATTGAAAAACATATTCCTAGAATCAACATACAATTTTATTAATTTTCTACACGCAATAATTAACCCTTATGCGAACTTTGGGAAATATGCACCTGCAAGTAAAATAGAAATGTCATTTTTTTCTTCTCTTAATTGGAACGATAAACAAAAAAAAAAAAAAAAAAAAAAGGGAAAAAGAACTGAAGCGGTTGCTTATTAATATGAATAAATTTATGAATTACTTATTTATTTATTTATTTTATTCTTATTTTTTTTGTTTTTAATACTTAAGGGATGACTATGAATTTCCATTATTTCCCATCTATGCCTTTTTTTTTAAAAAAGTTGTCTACAAGTGTGTTGCAGCGAAATGGAAAAATTATTCAGATTTACGTTTCACATTCGCGTCATATCTGACTAAAAAAATTATGCGATGGCCTCCATCCGAATTGAAAAGTTAGAACAAAACGTTAATATGCGCATTAAATCCGATATTTTGACACTTTACGGGAACCATAAAAATTTGTTTATTTTTTTAAAAAAACATCAGCCGACACACAAAAATAATAAAACATAATAGTATAAATACAAAAAAAAGGGACAATGTATAAAATTGTTTTATAAAATGCTCCGCCATATACAAAAATTATAATTTTTTTTTTTTTTTTTGCTCGTTTTGGTATGCAGTATTTAAGTATATATATGGAGAGATATATACATTTTAAAAAAATTTTATTTTTCTCACGCTTAAGTAAGAACTATTACATAACGCGTTATGGAATCTTTGCCATCAACAAAATATGTATATACTATTTTTTGCTCAAAAGAAGAAATCGAGTTTTCAATTCATTGGGATATGAAAAGATAAAAAAGGGAAAGAAATTGACTATATAAGATTATATATGTGTGATGAAAATTATAAAGCCAAAGAAAGAATAAAAATTAATGTTCTTTTTTTTTTTTTTTTAAAATTTATATATTGTGCCCATATTTTGAGGATATACTTTACTTACATAATTTTGAATCAACCAGCTAAGTGCACTTGTACCCCTAGGTCCCTCTCCACAGGTACGTAAAAAAAAAAAAAAAAAAAAAAAAATGCACATAAGCAAAAAAGCAACAAAGAAAGAAAAATTATATAAATCATAAGAACTCCAAATAATGCTACTCTTTCGCATATCATCTGGTTGTAAGAAGTGCAACTGGGAGTAATAGCAATCCGAAGGCGTCACATTTCTGAAATATTCAAATCAGCACTACTGCCAAAGGCGTTTATGAAAATAAGTCACATATAAGTACTCGCGTACATAACATATATAATATTACATACATTACATATGTACTTGGGCGAATAAATATAATATGCACTACTACCTATTATAATAGGGGGCATTACTAGTTTTTACCCGATACCCTTCCCCATCACTTTTGATGGAATCCACTTTTTATGTACATATATAATATATACCAATTTACTACAGCTATTGTATGTACATATAATTGCCAACATGTACAGAAAAGAAAAAAAGAAGTAAAAAAATATATTGATAATATTTTTCCTCGTACTCAAAAGAAAGTGGATAATATTTTAGAAGATACAAAAAATTTATAAAAAAAAATGATGATGAAAAATAAGAAAGAACATATATAGTATATATGTATATATGTATGTTTGTATGTATGTTTACATGTACATTATACAATTTGGTTTAGTTCATTAATTCTTCCATAAATTACAAAAGAAATATATCCCCGCGCAGCACAAAGAATTTAATTTCTTAAAAGAAATACCGTTAAGAAAAAGAAAAAACAGAAAAAAAAAGGTGTGAACATTTCATGAGCAAAAAGGAGAATCAAGTAAGGCTTTTTTAGATAAATATATTCATTATAATAAAACCTTAACCAACCATTTTTCAAACCATTAAGGTAAGAACACAAAATGTGTTTAAAAACAACACCTCTGTGAAATGTTATATACATTTTTATATACTTATGTAAATATATAGCTACGAATATACAATATTTTACAGTGCAATATAGCTTCCAACCATCAGCTGTACGTAAATGCCTAAACATATGTTGTAATAAACACATGAACCATAAGTGCTTAGAATGTTTATATTTTCACATTATACACATGTATACTAAATGTACATATAATTTCGAATGAAAACGGAATTATCCTAGCATTTTTGTTTATATGGAGAATAATTTTTTGAAGTAAATAAATCAAAGTTGTGTTTTGCTTTTTCTGTTGCCTTTTTTTTTTTTTTTTTTAATGGATTTATAATGTTAATTTGAGAGATGAACATATGGGGACATATTGCATCCCATGAACATATTAGATACATAAATTCGTTAACCTTATAAACGTGATTTTGGTGAAAATTTTGCATTATGCATGGAGAAACTTTTGATATAAGAGTTTAAAAGGGTATATAGTAACTTATACACGTCACATATACTCGTACTTATTTTATTTTATTTTATTTTTTTTATAGATAAACACAATGGGTCGCATGTACGGTAAGGGAAAAGGTATATCAAGCTCAACCATTCCATATAAAAGGAAACAACCAAGTTGGTTGAAACAGAAGCCGTCAGAAATTGAAGACGCGATAATTAAATTAGCAAAGAAAGGACAAACTCCATCTCAAATTGGTGCAACTTTAAGAGATAATTATGGAATACCTCAAGTGAAAGCTGTTACAGGAAATAAAATCCTTAGAATATTAAGAGCCCATGGTGTTGCCACAACGATTCCTGAAGATTTATATTTTTTAATTAAAAAGGCTGTGTCCATGAGAAAGCACCTTGAAAAAAATAAAAAGGATAAGGATTGCAAATTCCGATTAATTTTAACCGAATCGAAAATTCATAGAATCTCGAGATACTATAAAAGAAAAAAGTTGTTACCATCTAACTGGAAATATCAGTCCAGCACAGCTAGTGCACTGATTGCATAGACCTAGATTTACAGGACGTGTAAAAAGTGTATCGTCTGACGCGTGTGCACGTATGTGTATAAGAACGAGTAAAAATTAGAAAAAATTTGTGAAAATTAAAAAAAATTAAAAAAAAAATTAGTAAAAAAGGATAAATGGATGAAAGCGAATACATATAGGCACAAATATACATTTTGCACACACATGTCATCTGTGTACGAACAGTAAAGTATTTAACGAGCTTCCTACCCCTCTATCATTTTTAATGTGTATTTAAAACTTCAGCAAAACTCCTATTCAATTTTTTAATAAAAAAAAAATAAAAACCCTTTTATTTTACTTTATTTTTTTTTTTTTTTTTTTTTTTTTGCTATCCATAAAATGTATTGGTTTTAAAAAGTTGAAATGGGGAAAAATAAAGAAAAAAAAAAGCAAAAATTAGTATAATTTTTTTAGCCATGGGTTAATGCTTGTATAAACAATAAGTATACCTATGCAAACCTTATACATATATACATTTAAACAGCAAAAAATAAAAGAAAAAGAATATTTATATTCAAATATTGTCTTACAAAAAAAGCCTATTAAAATGATTGCCAAGAGCAAATTATTCTTAGCACATATGGATACATCATTACAAATAGTTTGAATTGAAACAATGACATAAAATTGGGAATATTAAAAAAATAATAATAATAAGTAAATAATAATAAAAGCTGTTCGCTCGTTGGTTCGTTCTTTTTTTTTTTTTTTTTTTTTTCCAAGCTAGCCATTTTTCGCAATCTGAATAACATCTTCATCAGCTAATTTGTGATCTGATTTAAAAAAAAAAAAAAAAAAAAAACAAGTAAATATACACACGTTTGTGCATGGTTACATAAATGCACATATACATGAAGAACCTTTCGAGGCACTGTATATACAAATAAAAAACAATGCTTGAAAATGTATGTAAACTAATTTCTGACATACGTAAATCAACTCTCTGGGGATTGTGCTTCGTGCTTCTTCCCCAAACAAGTGCAAATTTAAAATCCTTAATCATGTCCTATAAAATAAATGTATAACATTGATAAATATCAATGTTATCACGCTACTAAGAAGGTAAATGAGTACAAGACGTAGTTACAATTATTGATTTTGCAGAATTTTACTTTATGAATTTGATTAAGCACAGCTTCTACAGTTTGACTACCTACAGAAATGGAAAAAAAAAAAAAAAAAAAAAAAAAAAAAAATGAAATTTGGCGTTTAAAAATATGAGTAGAATAAACATAGGTCAAAAAGGACTTGATCATTAGGAAAAAGTCTTCAATCGTTGAATCGTAAAAAAAGAAAAGGAGAAAAAAATAATATAACTTTTTCCATCGTTTAGGGGCAGGTTTCTACATTTTTCAATATGATCTTTCCCCACGATTTTTTATATATTTTTTTTTTCTTTTAGATTCCTTGTCTTTGTCTCTTACCCCTCTGTCTAGTTAACGTGATAGGATTCGTAAAGTCAGGTTTTTCCTTGCGAACTTTGGTATACACGCGAATAATTTCCAATTTTTGAAATATATATTCTTTCAAAACATCCAAGTTCCATGACTTGCTGCTGCTTATCACAACAGTATTTTCGCTACGATGAAAAGTTGTGTCAAATGTGCACATGAAAACGGATTAATATAGGAGCTACATTTTGTTTACACACAATAATATGGAAACTTATATGGACATATATATATATATATATATACCTATGTAAGTAATATAAGAATACATGTATGTAAATCGCTATATATGAAAGAACGAAAGATATATTCTTTCCTCTTACCCTGAAGCAATGTTGTTAATTTCCTCCAAAGGAAGCATATCAATTTTGTTGTACACATAAATGCACTTTATGTATTTTCTGTTTCCCTCAATAATGTCAATGAGATCATCAACCTAAGTATTTAAAAAAAGAAAAAAAAAAGAAAAAAAAAATTGTATGAAAATGAAAAATGAAAAAGAGTATTTAAATTACGAATTGTTAGCACATTGTGTGCAATTTCTACATTTTCATTTCTTACCGTTGCATCTTCATTAAATAACAAGTTGCAATTGTGTATTTTATACTGATGAAGTATGCTCATTATAAGTTTATTATCCAACTGAAAAATATATTCAAAGACGATGCAGCGAGTGGAATAATTATAATGGAGGTTCAACATATTTACATACGTATACATATCACCAAATTTCCTAGTAACCATGTTTACGAATAGACAAGGTGAAATGACAGAGGACCTAATATTCAAGGTGCTTACCTTGGTTAATGGGACCGTGCTATTTATGACAACACCTCCGGTCTTCTTTCTTGTTAATGTGATCTATAAAAATTAAAATGTACATATATATATATATATATATATACATAACATTAATGAAGAATTAATCGAGAAATTTGTAATAATGTCTTCGAATAAGTTAGGTTTTTAGAAGAAACATATTGTAGCATAACATATAAATACTATAAATCATTTCTTGCTTTTTATTTTTTTTTTTCTCCGCTTTATTTTCATGCATACCCTTTGAGGCTCTTGATTTATTCGTATGCCCACTGTTTTAAGTTCACTAAAAAAAGGGTAACAAATAATTTTAATTTGCCCTTAGGTATGTCATATGCTATACTTAAGTAAGATTTCGAAAAAAAAAAAAAAAAAAAAATTACTTTTCTAATTTTATTTTTTGACTATTATCCCTTGTTGCGTCTAGAATCATCATAATCATGTCACACGACTTTGCAACAGCTATTACCTATAAACAGTAAGGACAAGAAAACAAACTTGTCAATGACGTTATGATATAGTATTTTTCCATTTTCCATAAATAGAGATGTATATATATATAATATATACATATATATTTTATTTTTTCGCACTTGTCTCCCCCTTCCACGCCCTTCTGAAGCCCCTTGAATGATCCCAGGTAAATCAAGAAGCTGAATTTTTGAGTCTTTGTAGCTTATTATTCCTACAGAGAAACATACGCAGTCATGATTATAATAATAGGAGTGTGTGACATTCTAATACAGACTATGAATAAGCTGATATATCAGCAGCTATGCTCTCCTAATCTAAGCTGATAGTTGAGGGAATCGTACCTGGCTTGCACGTTAAGGTGGTAAATTCATAGTCAGCTATCTCTGACGTTGTATTGGTTATTTTTGATAAAAGTGTAGATTTTCCCACTGAGGGAAACCCGATTAAGCATATTCTTGCATCGCCTTGTCTAAGAATTGCAAAAAGGATAGCGAGGGACACATATGAATATTAATTACGCCTTTTTTTACTCATTTGTTTAATCACTTGTTTATTCATTTGTTTATTCATTTGTTTACTTATTTATTATGTTCTTTTTTTTTTTATTATTTTTTATATTTTCTTTTCATGTCATTTTAACCGTTGTACATCGAATCCCTCCCCTTTCTTTCCTCCCTTTGGAGCTTCAAGAAGCTGTGACCTAAGGATATAAAAAAGTGTTAATGAAAAATATATACATCAAATTGTTGCATCGGCTTAATCCAGTGGAGAGAAAAATATGGTTATAACACAACCACAAGGAGGAGTATTGCACGGGTTCGTATTCATGGCAAAGTAAATTAAGGAACGGGAGTGTCTTAAGATATTGTAACATAAATGTGAATACCCATTGGACCCATTTATATGTACGTTCATGTAATATACCGGTATTTGGCTAATTTAGCTTTTAGTTGACCTAAGTGATACTAAAATAAAAAAAAAAAAAAAGGGCATACAATTTAGGACATAGAAAAGTCTTCGATTGGTACTTCAAAGGGGTTATAGGGACAATGAAAGGGAGTATACAAAACGAGGGAAAAAGAAAGAAGTGAGGAATACATAAGGTATACATAGACAAAAAATACATTACCTCAGTTGCCTTGTTCTTTTGGGTTCTGGCCATCTCGGCCTCTATCTCTTTAATTTTCTTTAAAAATAAAAAAAAAATAAAATAAAAAAAAGGTAATAAAAAATAATGTAGCCATTACATTATGTCCATAGTTATAAATATATAAAAATGAATAGAGAAAAATAGCTCAGTTTTATGCCTACCTCTAGAATTCCCATTTTGATAGATATAAATATGTTGCTTTTAAGCTCCCAAAGTATTTTGTAAAATTATATATATGAAACGTAACCAAGACGGTAAAATAGTATAAAAAGGTTAACTGGTAATACTTAATTATTACTACCTTTATTTGTAAATAAGTTTACATTAAAAATGCAAAAAAAGGAAGAAAAAAAAAAAAATAAAATAATAAAAAAAAACTCAAAAACGGAAAAATTGTTATTTTTATTTTATAAGAGAAAGGATGTCGTAATAAACCTTTTTACTTTAATTCTCAAGTGATAATCCCTTCAAATGTTGAAGGAGTAGGCCTTTTCTTTGCACATTTGACTTGTGTCGTGAAAATGAAACCTTTTAATACTGAATTTTTTAAATATTTTAATTTTTGCACAAGTTCTTTTTATTAATTCGCAATAAGTAATTTTATGGTTAGGTAAAATTTTTCGATGATATGTGAATAATGCATGGGAGATGGTGGGGAAGGTAGGTATGTAAAAATATGCTACGTGAACTTGTAGAAGTACGGGTAAATAAATAATATATATAACCTGTGTACATATTGCATATGTGTTGTGTATCCAGTTTACTGGTGTGTGAAGCTACATAAATGCAAGGCGAACAAAATCAGAAGAACTAAAACACGGCACTATTTCATTCTTGATAATTTAAAAATTGTAAGAAATTTTATGTATGAGAGGAAAAGAGCAGGTATATGGTATGAAAAAAAAAAAAAAAAAAAATATTCGGGGATTCCATATGAATGTACATAATTTTGTTTATTTTTTTCTTTTCCTGTTTTTCTTTATTCGTTTTTCTTTTCATTTCTTTTTTTCCTCCCTTTTTTTTCTAATCCATACTTTTGCCTTGGTAGCATGAAAATAGCTATGCCTTCTTCTAACGTAACAACTAGGTGGCCGTGCTATGCATAAGTAAATACGTCTTCATGCACAATAAATGTGTTGGCTGTTTTTTTTGAAAAAAGTAATCCTTTCTCCTTTTTCCTTAATAAAGAGTTGCAATATATTTTTTTATTTTTTCTAAAAAAATTGTTCAAAATTCACAGGAGCATAAAAAATTTCTCTGCTCTTTATCATGCATAACTACTATATAGCTACTCAACAAGGGGGTGGTGGATATGGATATAATCTCTCTATTCGTCCAGATATGTCTTCCTTGAGAGAACAGATGAATGTATAATTTTGGTGTACGTATAAATGTTATATTGCACCGAGCTACCCCAATACAGAGCGTGCTTGAATGTTTGAATCTGTGCATATATGTACATATTAACACAAGCGAGGGGTGGAAATTAAGATGTAGTTTGAAGTGTTGATTCATCGTCATTGATCAGCCATCTGCAGAGTATTTGCTTATCGCGGCAAACCATTGCTTTGTCAAGAATTCAATTTCGTCATCTGGGTGGTCGTTAAGTTCCGAAAATAACTGATATAAATCTGTAACTGAAAATAATAATTCCTTATATCCAATAGTTTCATAAATATATTTCAGTGTTAATAATATGGACAAGGTAACATTGTAACTTGTGTTGTTATTTTCATTTTTTAATGAAAGTCTCATAGTCATAATTTGAATTTTTTCAGGTTCATTAATATATAAGGAATATAGTTCAACGAGAATTAATTTTAAAATGTCTAAAAGTGTAATAGAGGCAATTTTCATGTCTAATTTTTCGCTATGCCATATGACACCTTCGTTAATTGTATTTTTAAAATCATCATTTATATGTATTCTTGGTAGATATGCAAATAAATCAAAACAATTTATGACATGATCGAAACAGGTTTGATAATATATGGGGGTAAAATTTTTTTGGTTTTTTTTTTCATTTTTTAAAATTTCATAAAGACATAATAGTGTACAGTAACCTAGATCAAACCAATACCATTTGTTTTTTAAAATAAATTTTTTAACCTTCCTTCTTTTCGTTCCTCCATTGCTGGTGTTATATTCGATGTCATAATTTTTATTATCTTGGTCAGATGCATTGTTGACAGTCTCTTCTTCATCTGCTTCTTCCACTACTTCTCCAACTTTTCCCATTCCTCTTCTATCCACATCAGTAGAACCGAATTTGCAACAACTTGTATGACATGAAATGAGCGTAAATTTGATATTGTTCAAGAGGTCAAACAGATATTTGTTCTTTTCATTTAGTACAGATCCAAAATTCTGATACAGTCTGTAGAGGTAGAGAAAATATATTCTCCTCTCATACACTACTTGGTAGTTATGCAATAGGTTTGTCGAGTTGGATTCAACATTCTTTTCATGCTCAAATGATTCAACTAGTTGATCAAAGAGATTTCCCAAAGATGACATTTTCAATTTGGTTGAGGTGTAAACTAAGGATGTCACAATATTTTGTTCTTCTATTCTTAAATCTACAGATAGTTGATTTTCTGAATTATTTACAATGGGATGATATTTCGCTGAATCAGAATTGGCATTGTAACAAAAGAAAATTTCCCCGTCTAATTTTGATATCTTTTCACCATATTTCTCAAACAGCATAGTAATATAATTTCGACAATTTTTAACATAGGATTTTAAAATGCAGAGTAAAAGTTTTAACTCTAAATGGAATCTTCCTTTCTTTGTACTTGTACTAGCAAGAGTAGTGTTTTGAAAAATGACTAAATGTTGATAAACAAATAGAGAATGATTCAAAACGACAGATTCATTGTATCCATGTATTGTACATATATCAATAACGTTTAGATAATTTTTTTTAAAATATCTGACTACATATTTTAAACAAAGTTCTACGTGGTTATTTGAAAATATAAAAAATAAATGATATATGTTTAATTTTTTTAAAGGATTCGTAATAATTTTACTGATATGCTTAAGTTTATTATCTTTGATTAAATTGTAAAAATTATTTTTTAAAATATTTTTTTCATTAATTACAATATATTTATTATTTTTTAAAAATAAAACTCGAAATAACTGAATCACGTGTTTTTTTGTGAATAGCGGGAAATTAATTAGTATCGATGATATGCATTTCAGTATTGTATTAAATGGGTAAATATCAAGGAAGAAAATACGACTTAAATCCTTCAACTTGTTTATATACTTTATGTGACGAATTTGATGCATCTGAAATTGTGTATTTCTAACTACATTACTAATTTCTTTGTTGCCTGTCTCTTTACTTACATGATTAACATCAATGGTGCAATATAAATCAATCGAATCTGCATCAGACAGATAGGTTTCTTTGTATGTTAAAATCTCATTAACACAATTAATGTTACGTCCATCCAAAGACATGCTCGTTTCTAGCCGTTCCACACCTTTATTCAACCTACCTATGTGTTGGTCACTATATTTTCTGTATTCATCGTTTATCATATCCATTTCATTGTATAATGTTTTTTTCCTTTTCATCTTTTCAACAATTTCATCCCTTTTAGAAGTAGCATTAACTTTATGACTACCACCTCCTCTGCTTTGGAATTTTTTCTCGTTAAGGGCAATGAGTTCTTCATTTTCATGAGTGAGCTGCATTTCATTCGTTAATTCTGTATCAACAAAGGCTTCATCATTCCATCTACTATTTCTTTCATCTTGTACAATTTTGTAACATTGTTGAAGTAGTGTCTTCAAAATTTCGTTAATCTTTGATATGATAGAAATTTTTGTAGAATTATCCACATATATTTTGTATAATGCTTTATTAAACATGTTATATATGTACATTTCACTCAAAGGTCCGATGTTTTTTTCATTTTTTTTATTATATAGAAAATACATAATAGCATCAAAAATATGTTTTGTATCAATTCCATTATTTAGTTTCTGATTAATAAATACTATAATTTCTTTAAATAGGTTTGGTGATTTTGTATAATTTAGAAATAACAGTTTATTTATTAAATACTCGTAAAAGTTAAAAAGTTGTTTGTTCATAATGTTTCTGATTTCATTTTCATCATATATTTCGTTTCTTAAAAGATCATTAAAAATATCTAAAAGAAAATGTTTATCATTTTGCATGACATTCTCATTGAGATTCCTATCCATGTTATTTAATTTTTCCTTACATTTCAAGTATGTTTTATATCCTTCTTCAAATTTCATGTAATCCTTAAGCTTATTTAGATGATGCAAGAATTTGCACAGAAACAGATTTTCAAAGTGCTGCTCACTGGGTTTGATTATTTTTGAACTTTTCGAAATGTTTCCCGAGTTCATCAGAGTCATTGATTTCTCCATAGGAACCACCTGGGAGACATCATGAAGAACCATTTTGAAATTATTCAAAACGTACGACCATATAAATGTATCCGTGTTTCTAAATGAGAATTTTTTAAACAAGATATTCAGTTTTTTATTAAGTGCTTTGTCTCGAGCAAAACAAAAACAGAGTATAAAATTTTGAAGTGTCATAATGTATACAAAATATGATATTGACTTTATTGTGTTTTTGTTAAGTGTGTTAATTATTGATATGAGAGAAATTATTTTGAGGCACAGATTCTGATTATTTTTTACTTTTTTTAAATGTGGTTTGAGATATTTCAGTTTGGACAATATATATTCTGGATAAATTCTATTAAGATCTACTTCAGATTCTTTCAGCTGAAAGTTTTGAATCCCATCAGAGATACAGTTTTGGTTTGTGGAATGATTCCCCATAGAGGATACAAGAGTTACGAAAAATTTATGTTGTGTATCCTGTTCTACTAGTTCATCTTTCTCTAAATCATGAGGACATAAGTACAATGATAGAAGTAGCAACAAATGGTTACTGATACAATAATCTATGTCATTTGTAAAGTAGACATAACAAATTTCTAACAAATAATTTTTACAAGCATACAACTTTTCTAATTTTATTTTTATGATTAAATTTATAAGGCAGATTGCTATAACATAAGAAGTATAATTTTTGTTAAAGACGAAAATTAAATTATTGGTTATAACTGTGAAATGCTCTATATTTATTTCATTCTTAAACATATGATTAATAAATGTGCATATGTATGCAAATGTGTGTAATTGATAATGCATATCCATGTCATCATCTATTTCATTTAACTGTAACTTTAATGCACCATTCCTAAAATCTACACCTTTGTTAAGAACCTGTGAAATTCTATTCTGTTCTTTCAATTCACATTCGATAGTAACTTCTTTTACTTTTTCCATCTCTTTACCTTGGCCCTTCTTTGTGGACGCATCCGATACAGATGATAATACACAGGACGATTCTAAATTGTCTATTTTGTTCTTATGCGAGATAATTACATCATTACTGGGATCATTATTTTGTAGAATCAAGTCAACGTCTGACCGATTTACTTTCTCCTGGTTAATGGTGACATTATTTCCACTTTTTGTTAAAGCATTTTTTTTTCTAAAATTTACATAAAGCAATATTTTCCTTTTAATCATTTTATCCAAAATTGAAGCTAGGGGCTTCAAATGGGAAGTTATATCTTCACGAAAATAAAAAACATTTTTTTCAAAAAAGGTGATAATTTCGAATAGGAAATTATTTTTAATTAGAGAAAAATGGTGTGCTACTAGTTGTGGTATTTCATATAAAAGGATACATATATTAGTTATGTATTTTATTAATTTTAAAAACATAATTTCATTTATTTGTGCATAACTGGAAATTTTTTTAAATATTCTTATATGACTTTCAACAAATTCTGTATACAACACGTCTACGTGTGCACTGCCACTATCATTGTCTATATTATTACGTTCGTTTTGATCAATCTTATCTGATAAAATATTTACAATTTTAACAATTGTCATGTGATTTATAAAGAGGCCTTTTTTTTCCCTCCTTCCGCTTACCATTTGTTCATCGATGAATAGTAATATTTTGCTTCTCTCTTTTATGCTCCTTACACTCTTACACATGAGTAAAATTGAATGATAATCATGATGAGATTTATTTGAAAATAATTTTTTAAATAACATCAAATTAGCTATATCTATTTTTTCTATGTATAACTGTAAATTTTTATTAAATAAACAACTAGTGGAAAAGTTTTTAATACATAATAACTGAACAGTTAAACAAGTGTCTTTATAATTTATTATATGCTGAATTATCGATTCACATAAGGATTTTATTTCTACTTCTTTATTAAAATATGAATTCTCAAACAGATTTTCATGATATTTAAAAAATCCTTTTAAATTTTGAAAAAAAGCCTTGTCCCTTTTTTCCCCTTCTTCGTTCAATATATTTTTATATTTAATTTTTTTTACTTTTTTCTTACTACCTAATTCTTTCAAATCTGGATTACCTCTAATAACAAAATTTTGAGAATTCACTTTTTTAAGTAGTTTTTCTGACACGTAATCTTCCTCCTTCTCTTGGAGTGATGATGTGTGACTGTCAACCATGTTCTCTGGATTCATATCGTTCTTATAGATTGTTTTGCCTTTATCAATAGTATTTCTCACGCCATTCGAATCACCATTGCTTCCATTAATTGTAAATTCTGTATTACCTTCTCTGGTGTAGTTTTTGTCTTTTTGTTTGTTTTCACTTCTCCCTTTCCCTCTTCCTAATCTTCCCCTTTTGTCCTTGGCATTTTCCAAAACATTTACATAAAAATCAACCAAGTGAAGGAAGAGAAATAATTTTTTTTTTTCCACTGATGCATCACCTTTAGAGGCTAATAAGAACTTATATATCTTTGTAATTTTGTAGGGATACGAATTTCTTTGCATAATTCTTCTCAGAAAGGCTCCTATAACAGTAACATTCCAAAATTCTCCATGTATACAATTCTTATGATAAAAGTTATGAAAGTTTGATAAAAGTAAATCAAAAAATGGTCTACTTAGATAGGCAAAAATAAACAAATAATATTTCCTTTCTTCATAATAAGTATAATTAATTTTAAGTTTATTTGACTTTTTATGCTTTATAAAAAGGTGTCTAAGGGTGTATTCATCAAATGGGATTACTTTTTCCTGGTTTTTTGTGCTATCCTCCAGAGTGTTAACATTTTTAGTATCACATTCTGTATTATTCTCATTGTTTAGTGCATTATTTGTATCGCTTATATTTCCTTGGAGAGAGGAATTCTTTGTTTCATTAGGATCAGCATCCTGACCTTTGTCCAATAAATGAAAAATACCCTCATATTTCTTTCCTTCGCTTTTTTCAAATAATTTATTTATAACAAAATAATCAATAACAAAATTTTCATGATGACATTTTCTTTTTGTTTCGTTAAGCATGGATGCATAACGGTATGAATTTGATATATTTGGAAATATAATCAGCATAATGGATAACATAAATGATTGATAATATGATGTAACATTTATATTTTTAAATATATTTAATTTCATTCTAAATAATTCAACAATAATTGTCTCACAAATATTTTTATCTTTTATATACTTTTTAACCTTTTCTATTTTAAATATGCAAAAGAATAGGTCTAATGTCTTCAGCAAAAACTTTATATATGCATCGCTCAAAAAAAATGTGTTTAAATATTTACAATAAAGGAAAAATGTCAAAGATGAATCTAATTTACTAAATTGTAATATCATGTTTTGAATTGATTCTTCTATATTGTTGTAAATTCCGCTAATCAATTCATTCTTCACGGATTTAATATCCTCCAAATAATTGAATATGTATTTTATAACCCTTAAAAGAAATGTCTTTACGTTTTTTTTTCTGTGCGAAATAGCATCCATCACATTACCATCCTCTGTCATATCTATACATAAGCAGTTGTCTATGTTCACTTTTGAAGATAAGTGGTGCACAATTCTACACAAAATGAGCGGTCTAAATGGTGTGCTGTGCTTTATTACATTATTAATACTTTCAGAAGAAAACTGTTTCATTTGCATTTGGAAAAACTCCTCAAATTTGTAGCACTGGAAATTTTTCAATTTAGATAAATGAATTAAAAACATTTCTATTAATTTAAGACTATTCGATAAAATATTTCGAGAAAAGAAAGAATTGTTTGGATACATGTGGTTGTTAGTTAAGTAGTCATAAATAATAAAAAAAAAAGAAAAATTGACATTGATAAATTTTTTAAAAAATTTATCTGTTCTCAATTTTGTTTTATTTTTAATTTCCAATTTCTGCAATTTTATTATAAACAATTTCATATAAAACTTCAGAAATATTTTGTTTCTTTCATTATCTATTTCACAAAAATTTTGGTATTTTAATTCTGTGAATGCATCAAATAATATCCGATACAAAAATTTTCTCGATGGAAAAAAATATAATAACTCTTTTTCGTACTTTTTTAGGTAGTCGATGAACTGAATTTTATTTTGTTTCAATTGATATAATACTCTTGCATAAAGACATTCTATATTTCTCTTTGATTTGGAAAAATTCATTCCTTTTTTTATTGTTCCTACGGAGAATTCTTCGTGTGATCCTTCTCCCTTCCTATAGCAGATTCTGCCATTACCCAAAATTATTTTTTCGTATTCATCCATTTTGCTCCTCTCGGCCGTCTCAGTCAATTCAGCCAATTCAGCCAACTCAGCCAACTCAGCTGTGTTAGATATGCGTATCACATCCACCTGATGTACTCTCCCATTCTGAGTACTCTCTTTTCTGTTCTTCATTCGGGGTCGGTTATCATACATATACTTAATGGCTTTGACTGAGCATTCAATCACTTCTGAATCATTCAAATTCACCTTGTTCTGAATAAGGGAGTTAAAAATGGTGATTTGATCAATCTTGGTATTAAGCATGTTAATCAATTTTAGCAAACGCTCATCTATTTTGCTGTATAATTCAAAGAGAATTATTTTTTTTTTAAAAAGTTGATTATTTTCTTCTAGAAAAAATTTAACAATTTCGTAGTAGTGTGCCTTCTGTATTACAGCAGTAGTGCTAGATACATTGCTGGGGGATAATTTTTCAAGAATTGTTTCTATTGCTTTAATCACTTGTAACGATTCTGTGTTTCTTTTCAATTTTTCACTGCTTAAAACTTCTACATCTAATTCATTTTCCCTTGACTTAATTAAAAAAATATAAAATGATATCAAATTTATGATTACAATTATGTTAAATATATAATTTTGTTTACTTTGAGAGGTACAGATAAAAATCTTCTCTATGAGGAACCAATTTAGTTTTAACGCATAACTTTTTGCTAATACAATTTTTATTAAATTATCAGTAATTTCGTACACATTATTAAGTTTATAAAGAAGGCTCATAAAATTTTGTAGTGTCTCTCCATTTTGTATAATTTCATTTATTTTATTATGAAAACAATTTTTTTTATTTTCTTTTACAAAGTTGATTATACAATGAATAACCTTTTCGTTTACTTCGTCTTCTGATATAGCTCTAGTGTTTGGAAGTGTCCTGTTTCTTGTTAATTCATCTTTAGTAAAATTGAAGAAAGATATTTTATTTCCATTTTTAGAAATTATATTTAACAAAATAATTAGACATTTCATAAAATTGGAATATGGATACATGTTATTTATGGTGATGCTTGCTTCTTCTTCTACTATTGAAAAAAAATCTTTATCAAAAAAGGTAAAAATTTTAATTTTTAAAAATTCGAAATTGAATTCTTTCTTACATTTATCAATGGCATATTCAAATATTTTCAAAATCTTTTCTAAAAATTCTGCACAATAATAAATTTGAAAAATAGACATATATTCAAATACATTTTGGTTCACTGAATTGTGATTTTCTCCTCCTTTTCTTTGTTCAGATTTTATCATATCAAAGGAATTCTTACATTTTTGTATTAGAGTCAAAAATATGTTGCAATAAAATTCAATAAATTGGGCTGGAATATCGATGTAGCTATTAACAATATCTTCTGTAACTGATATGAAGAAGTGTATGTACGAAATGGGTTCTGCATTTACACTCTCTGGCATTGCTACTTTTGCATTATTGAATATCAGATTTGTTGTCGTGAAACCATAACTATATATCAATCCAGATACATACTCGAAAAGGATTTTATATATCGATATGTTCCTCTTTATGTGTTGAATAAAAATGGATTTGTCAACATTTTTTAACCTATCGTGCTTGTAATTATTTATGAAAAAGAAAGGAGAATCTTTTTCTATATAAAGAATCTCTAAGATATTTCTCAGATGAGCTAAAAACAGGTTTGGTAAAATGCACAATAAAATATCCTGACTACATTTTACATTTATCTCGTATTTATATATTAAAAATTCGATTAAAATTTTTACTTCTTTTCTGTTTGAATAAATGGAACATAATTTTAGAAATGATTTTATTTCTTTCAAAATTATATTTTCTTCTTCTTGTGTCAAAAATTCTCTGTGTTTCAAATATACTTCGGTATCCAATTGGTGGTCCATTTCAGTATAAATGTTGAGCATGTTTTGAATTTCCCCACCATTCTGGATCTTATTATGCTGAATTTTCTTTTCTTGTACTTCTTCTCCTTGGTTATAAAAACTATGAAAAACATCATTTTCCTCTAGACAGAATAATTTTTCAAAGTTCTTGAAGGATTTGTTTATATCTACTAACTTGTTCAGACAACTTCTAACGGATTCGATATGGGCAGGAGACACAATGATGTTTCTATATACATTCCTAAATAAGTTGTATTTGCTTCTCGTTAACTTATCTATATTTTTATCTTCAAATATTTGGACCTGCTTCTGCACACGCAGGTCATTCAGCTGTTTGCTTAGCATGTTCAATAATACGTCTTCCAAAGAATGTAGATTTCGATAACAAAAAAGTATTTAACACTATCTCAATGCTTTTACTAATACAATAAAAAAAAAAAAAAAAAAAAAAAAATACCTTATTAATAAACAGATTCTAATAGTCTCACTTATACGTTGTGTAATCCTCATAACCAAGCGGAAACAACCATAGAAACATTTATAATTGAAATATTTGTATATCGATATGTGGGGTATGAACATGAGTGTCCCTTTGCAATATGTTTATTTTTATGAATTGTAATTCTCATTTCAGCCTTAATTTAATAAGTCGATTTATAAAAATTAACTAGTGTATTTATAGAACAATGTGCGAGGATTTCCACTGTTTAAATGGTTCAGTGAGGTTTCACATGATACCAATTGGAGAAGTATCCTCCCCCCTCCCCTTTGGTTAACATTCGTAGGTCATAATTATGTAAAACCAATTTCAATTTGAATGTTTTCCAAATTGTCAATTTTTCTACGTTTATATTATTTCATTTATTTATTTTTATTTTTTTCTGGTCCTTCAAAATTTGTCAACAAGTTGATGATTCAGATTTATGCAAGTATTGCTTCGGGTTGGTACGCCCAAGTAAAAATGTTGTTCTTGGCGTAAAAAACAAGAAAAACACGAAGTGGGAAAATTTGCAAAACTGGCAATTTCTACGTATCATTAAACGTAGCTGTTGCAGGTGAACAAAATATTTAAAAATAAAAAAATGCATTCCCCTTCAAACTGCATATATATATGGCATCCTAAAATTGGTGATAGATATATGTCCTTCTTCCACTATAATTGCGTAATGCATTTTTTTGTTTATGTTTAAAATTTTCGAAAAAATAAAAACAAAATAAAAGAGCTACGAAAAGGGGAATGCAACGTGGTTTTATGTGCTCATTGGTTTTTTCATGGTTCCTTATTTTAATTTCCACAAGGGAGAAACAAAAATGCAATATAATTTTGTTTTATTCTCTTAATTCAGTTCAGAAGGGGGAATAATGAAAAAAAAAAAAAAAAAAAAAAAAAAAAAAAAGGCTATAACAACACGATGTATAGTTGCAAATTGGAAATTTTAATATTGGATTCGAAGGCAGTGTGATGGCGTTCCCGATAAGTTTTTACGACTATTTTTTTTTCGATGAATTTACCACTATTTTTTTTTTTTTTTCTCACCCTGAATTTAAGTTCAATTTAGGGAACAACGAATGGAAAACACAAAAAAAAAAAAAAATAAATAACTTGCATTCTAAATAAGGTAAAATAGGAAATATTTCATTTGTAAAAAAATATATAACATATTTTTATTTTTTGCCTTCTTCATTTTGTGTATATGCATATATATAGATACAGAATGAAGAGTGGGAGGGGGTAAGAGAAAAAAAAAAGAAAAAAAAAAAACATAAAGCCAAACTAAAAGATAAACAAATTAACATTAACAAGGGACATTTGTAATTTACGAATTTTTAGCAAAATTGAGGTTAACGATTTGAGAAAAATAACAAATGTCCAAATGGAAAAAAATGTGAAAGGGCTTTAATCGTATTGAAGTAATTTTCCTCTAAACAGGACTCAAACCTAGATTGCGTTCTTTTTTGAAGTTCCGCCAAATTTGACTTGAAAAAATTTGACTGTCATATTTTTGAATTTTTCATTATGGCATTTTTAAGAAGGCCTATTTTTAGCTTCCCATTTCTACGCCTAATGACAATTTAGCGTAACCCCAATTGTACATATATATATATTATATATATGTGCATATTACATGTTACACTTTAATTCATGGTTATTTGGAAACATACTCAGGGATGATTCTCCTTGCGTACACTCGTATGCAAGTGTTAATGTTACAGAAAAAACAAAGAATGTGATAACTTACAAAATTTATTAATATATATAAAGCAATTTGAGAAAGGTAATCGGTAGAAACATATTACGACGGGGTGGAGAAAGAAAAAAAAAAAAAAAAAAAAAAGTTACAAAATAAAACAATGGTAACAATTTACGCATGTTGTGTCGCTGCGTACAATATATATACATGTAAATGCTGTCACTTGAAAAAGAGTTCTTCAATAAAACGACGGAATAGATGAAGTAATAAAAATAGTTAACTTGGTGTAGAACTATTTGTATATACATATACATATATATATTTTCAGTGCACACACCAATGGATATATATATTGCAAAATTTAAAAAAGAGTAATCGTTTGACAGCTCTGCTAAGCACAAGGAGTTATATTATTATTATTTTTTTTTTATTAATGGATACGTATGTATGTACATATCTCACGCTGGATGATGCAATAATGTATGAGTTGAAATTGCACGTGCGATAAAACTTCTCTATAATTTTTACACTTTTAGAACATGACACTACAAGGATTCCAGGTAATTCCTACACTGTACAAGTTGGTAATCATTCTGAAGCATGTTGAGTATTATACGCGTTAGTTCACAGTCATACTGAATCGCATGAATTAGGTGTGAAAAGTGGGAAAAATTACTCTCACTTCGTAAAATACCAATAATAATTAAATGAATATCCTCATTGTAAAATAAATTATTCGTCTTATAGTATAAAAAGGCTTCTATAGTTATGTGTTTGTTTTCAAAAAATGGGTTATACCCAATTGATACGACCGTTTTGTAAATTTTTTTTTTTAACATTGATATGCCAAAATAGATACCAGGCATAATATCAGTTGATATTACATTGGAATATGCAATATTAGCGGTTGGTATGTTTAAATATTTACTACCTCTTCCAAATCCCTTTACCACTTTTCCATGCATGTATAAATATTTTTTGAAAATATAAAAAATTCGCCAGGACAAAACATCTTCAGTTAAATTACAGTTACGCACAAATGGATATACAACATCGTTATATTTATTCGAAACATAGTCGGAAGTAATTGAATTAATATTATCATTTTCTATTAGCACATCCCAGTTGATATCATCGCAACTTGTTGTCATGAATGGATTTTTTTTTCCTCCTACTACTTTAAAATATCCTTCTTTTTTTGCCGAATTTATAAAACATGCTCTGTTACTAAATATGAAAACATTACTATCAGAATTTATAAAAATTTTCAATTTCTCAAATTCGTCAATTACCGTAGAACAATTTTTAAAATTCTTTGTAATTTTAAAATATTTGAATAACAAATCTGTTAATTTTTTATTTGAACTATAAAATACAAAAAAAAAATTTTTTTTTTTTAAAAATGTTAAAAAATTGTATACTCCTACGTGTAATTTAGACAATACAATAATTCTATACATATTTTCGAGCTCTTTCCAATAATCTCCCTTGTCGTTCTTTTTTTTTTTTTTTCTCTCTATAATATTTTCCATATGCATTAGATTGTCAAAGCTTTTTACTTTTACACTTGTATTACTGTAATTTATTAAAAACTGCTTAGGAGTTGAGCACACTGGCGAGGAGTTGCTATATCGGTACGTACTCCCTTGCGATTCATCGAATGATTCATCATACGGATCCTCCAAACATCCTTCCTCTCCAATATTTTCATGTCCTTCCATGTCGATCCAGTGGATGGAGGTCTGGTTAGTGATGCTGTTGTTATTCCTGTCTAAATTATTACTGCACAGATGATTGCCATTTATATCTCCCTCGTCGTTAATGACCCCTTTATCCATTTGAGAAAGTATTGTTCCACCATTTTTCGAACTTATACTAAATTCAGATGCACACGCAAATCTTACCGTATTCTGCATATTACTTAACGATTCTAAAGTTGACCTTGCATTTATTTCTTTGTTTTTTATGCTCAAAAAACAGAGTTTAGATTCAGCTACATTGTCCATGTTGACGTAGTTTTTATCTTCTATCATGTTATGCAAGAACTGGCTAATATCCTCCCCATTACTTCCGTTTTTCTGAACCTTCTCTTCCGGATTACAACATTCCCCATTAGCTTGTTCCTCATTTTTTCCTATGTGTAATTTCATAGGAATTTCCGTTTCCTCCCATCTTTCTTCTTTCTGTCTTTTTTGAAATATTCCATTTCCTTGGGTTGTTTCGTTCGTTTCGTCACATTTCGATCCGTTCATATTGTCATTCTCACTTTTTATTTTTCCATTATGATAGCACGTTCTTATTGTTTTGCTCTGCACCATTAGATGGTGATATTTTATTAAAATGTCATGTAGGTGTGCAAAAATATTCAAATTCCTATGCATATTATTAAGGAATATATTGAGCATAAAAATACAGATAATTTTTTTCCTCTTTTTGATATTCCAATCGTTACTTGCTTCATCTGATGAATCATCTTTTTCACTAAGTAGATTGTTGCATATATTTTGTATATATGTAGTTATTGTGCTCTTGTAATTTATTATGTAATAATCTGTATCTATAAATGCAATTCTTTTCTTCCTCTCTTCTATCCCCATCTTTACACGCAATTGGCTGAGATAAATATTACTCGTTATTAGCTGCAATGGATGAAATTCTGGCAGATGCCATTAACGAATGTTCGTGCGTTGTTATGTCGTGTGTCTATATGTTTCTAAATCGTTGTATTATCTCTTTTTTTTTTTTTTTTTTTTTTCTTTCTTTTTTGGCTTTTCTGTTGTTTTCTTTTCCTTTTGCATTTCAACTTGGAATTCTTTTACGCCCCCCCCCGTCACCTTGTTTGGCCTAAATTATAATGTTTCCTATTGTCCAATTCAGGGGAAGAAAAAACACAAATCTTTTTTCCTTTCCTTTAAAAGTATTAGAAAAAATTGAAAGAACAAAAAAGAAAATCTTTGCTTTTTTAAATATTGATAATAAGTGAGAGAAAAATCTACAAACCTAATGTTATTACATGTATGTTGGGGATGTTCATAGGGGAACTGTTCTTGGTTTGATATTTCGTTTTTCCCCAAGTAATACCCACCGTTTGGCATATTTCGTTTATGAGCAACATTTCATTGTGCTCCTTTAATGATGTACCCTCTAAGAAGTTCTGTTTTCTTGTATTTTTTATAGCAATCTATGTGCGTAATCTATCTTTTATGAAGATATCTATGTATGTGCTCGTTGCACAAATTTTTATATCGCATATATGAAATAACTTACATTTTATGCCTTTTTTTTTTTTTTTTTTTTTTTTTTTTTTTTCATTCTTTTTTACAAACCTTTTAAAAAAAATAAAACAATTTTTTATGTTTTTTTTTCTTCGAAAAATGGTTTTTTTTTTTTTTTTTTTTTTTTTTTTTTTTTTTTTTTTTTAATAAATTTTTATTTTAAAAAAAAAAAAAAAAAAAAAAGAAAAAAAAAAAAGAAAAAAAAAAAAGCATGTTTTACAAATTACAGAATAAAACATAAAAAATGTAATATAATAAATGGAAAGTAAGAAATGAAATATGAGAAATAAAATATAAGCCATTAAATGCTTGTTCTTCTGTCCAATAAATTTTTCTAATTCAATTTCATATTATATCTTTTTAAAATATGTTGTTATGTCAGCATATATATTTTTATTTTCCCCAATTTTTTCACGACCCCTATTTACTTGTGCTTTTTTTTTCATCTTGCTTAGTTGCTTTTCTTCAACGTCGTAATTGTATTCTTTCTTGTCTTCTTCGCATAAATCAAATAAGGATTCTTTTAATAAGGAGGGAGAGTTTTCAGATAGATGTAATGAAATGGTGAAACTTGGACGTAAATTTTGGAGTGCAAAAAAAAAGAGAAACCAAAAAGATGCTATTCATATTTGAGAATGAAAATTACATTTTCCATCAACTACACTCTTTCTATTTTTTGCTAAATATTTAAAATGTACATGCTAAAAAAAAAAAAAAAAAAAAAAAAAAAAAAAAAAAAAAAAAAAAATTTAAATAACCAAAAAGGATTGGGTGGGGGAAAAAAAAAAAAAAAAAAAAAAAAAAAAAAAAAGAGAAGAAAAAAGAAAAAATACTAGCTTATCACTTTTCAATTTTTATATTTTTACATTTTTTCGCTTTTGGAGGTCAAAAAAAAAAAAAAAACAAAAAGATGCTATTCATATTTGAGAATGAAAATTACATTTTCCATCAACTACACTCTTTCTATTTTTTGCTAAATATTTAAAATGTACATGCTAAAAAAAAAAAAAAAAAAAAAAAAAAAAAAAAGAAAAGAAATATATATTCGATTATCCTCTTACCGTCATTTTCTTCTTCCTCAACGAAAAATGCACTTGTGCTTTGATCCTTCAGTAGATATAAGCAATCTATACACAATATAAAGTGGGAAAAAACAAAAGAAGAAAAAACATTTGGCATAATGTCTGATATACATGTATATATAGAACATGTAAAAAGTTCGTGATAATTTGAAATTGTAAAATCTGCATGTTGGTTCAACTAAATGTTACAAAAATGCATTTTCTTTTAAAACCTTCAAGAAATTTATATTTTATGCCTTCTCTTTTTATGCACCATACTGAAAGAGTGGGTGTGAAGGTGATGTGTGAACATAGGTTTAAGCACATATATGTTTACATGATTATGTATATGCTTATGTGTACACGCATTGGTGCAAGCCAATCATGAATAAGTGGTACATAGCATCTCACGCAAGCGCTCATGCATGCAGTTGCAAAATTGAGAAAAAAATGCATCCTTATAAATTAAATAGAATGAAAAACTTTTTCGTTTTTAACTTATATCAAGCGATGTTACATATCTTGAGGTATTCTTTTCATTTTTATATTCAATGGTTTTGTTCATTAGTTCAATTAAGAACATTATCTGTGGAAAGGTTATAAGGTGTGTATGCAGAATAAGCATAAGTGCCTGAAAAATTCAAAGTGTGTAAAACAAGCATTTGCTTAAGTATTTTATTTGTTTATGTGTGTTTCTTTTGGGATATTTCATCTAACCATAGCCTTTTGGAGAACATTAGTGGCCTCATTGTTTATCTGAAAAAAGAAAGAAAAAAAAAAAGATAAAACACGTATATGAGATCTGAATAGTGTTGAAGTTTTATTTATTAAAGAAAGAAATCATCCATAACTACGGAGTCGTTCACATATTCAATCATCTACATGATTTTTATACCTTTCTGCAGTTGCTATTTAAATGCATAATCTTCTGGATTTTTACAAGTGGAAATTTAGATGTACTATTTAGATAGCTGTAATGTGTATGAGATAGAATAAATAAAAAAAAAAAAAAAAAAAACTCCTTTTTAGAATACGTTACATATTCTATACTTTTGTATAATTTGAAAAATATATACATCAATAATGAGATGAGATGGAGTAAAAAAAAAAGAAAAAAAAATAGCAATTGTTTCTTTTTCTCTAACATATCTCCTAATGCGTCTGCATTTCCAGATTTTTGCTAAGTAATTAAGTGGGAGAAATTATCATGAAATTGGTACAACTGGTGACTCGTGTAATATATTAATTCGTTTTTTTTTTTTCTTTTTTTTGGTGGGGTTTGTTTTCATGTCGAATGAGTTATCACACTTTGTGAAGATGACATGATGCCATAACACCATGTGTCCATTTTCACCATGTCTTCTTGGTTGTATTTATTTTACCCATTCTAGAAGTTCTTCGTTATATTTTATTTTCAGAAGTTGTGACTGCTCATCATAGAACTATGGTGAATAAAAGAATATGGTATGAAATGTATGTAGACTATAAGGATATTTTATTATTATTATTTTTTTTACAAGTTTTTTTTTTTATAACTCATTTGTGTAATTAACCTTCCTCTCCTCCTCAGGTAAGTTTTTCCATTTGTTGCTCAGTTCCTTTTGAATATCTGTTATTCTAATCTTTATAAGGCGGAAGAAAAAAAAAAAAAAAAAAAAAAAAAAAAAATGTACAAATATGAGCAAAAATGGGAGTGAAATTCCCTAATGGATCTATGGAGATTGATATGGATACCCAGAATCATTGAATACTCGTTCGTGTAACTTCATTCACATGTCAAGATTTTTATTCCTTATAATTGTTCATAATATGCCATTTTTACCGTTGCCTTGTTTTCAGACTTCTCCAGTAGAAGGTGCCTTACGTTTTCCCGTTCAGCATTACAAAATATTAAATATGATGAAGGTGGTATTTTAGGCTTTTTCCTAAACGTTCGGGGGGGGGGGGGGGGGTGTAAAATGAAGGTGAGCATTAATCGTTGCAAATATGTGAACAGAATGAAAGTTCTTTAATATGCCTTGTGGTTGGAGAATGCAGGAATGAATTATTCAAAATAACTGTATTTATTAGTTGTAGTATGATTTCGTTATATATTTATACTTTTTCTTGCTATTATTAATTTTTTTTTTTTTTTTAAATATTTGGTATTATTTTCGCTGAGAATTTATAATACCTGTCCATTTTTTCTTTTATTATTTATTATTTTTTTTTCCCCTCCCCTTCCCTTAAAGTGTACGATATTGAAGAAGTAATCTATTTTTTGTGATAATTGCACACCTAACTACACATAATGTTTTTCCGAATGTGTAATTTTAAATGGGTTAACTTTTTTTTTTTTTTTTTTTTTCTCTTCTTCCTTTTTGGAAGAATGATATTTGAGAAATTGTGTTATTTGAGGAATGCCCTTCCTCCGTTGCCTAAAAGCAAGATGGGAAATTTTGAGAAATTGCAAAAAAGAATTAAAAATGTGAAAATAAAATGCATGTGAAAAGATAGCATTAGGGAGAACTCGAAACAGAAAGAATTGGGGATCTACTTTAATTATCCTTTTTTTTTTTCCCCCACCCATTTTTCCTAATTGTTCGTTGTTTAGAGAGAGTACTTTTTATTTTTTATTTTATTTTTTTATTTTCCTGCGCTGTAAATTTATAAATGTTATATTTATGCGCAAAAATAACTACTGCGATTAGGAAAAAAAAAATATTTCTCAATTACAAGGATTGTGCATTTTGTGCCTGTGCATTTTTATTTTTTAATTTTTTTTTATTTCTCTTCCAGTTTTTTTTTTTTTTTTTTTTTTTTTTTTTTCGTTTTTTTTGAGAATCTTTTCTTAGACTAATGAATTACAGCATTTTTTCAAAAATAATTTTTCAATAAGGCATGGAATTATGCTTATTATAAATCTCCATTAAATCCATAATCCCCAGGAAGGGATTTCAAGTATCTACAACACACACGATGCTGTTATTTTATTGTACGTTTTTGTAAGATAAGTTGACAGTTCACTAGGTACTACTTTTACCACTTGGTTATTTTTCCCACCTTTTAAAAAGAGAGTCTTCCCCCCTACCCACCCCCAAACAAACATATAAAAAATAAAAGTATGCAAGGATTTAGATTTTTGAACAGAAAAAATGACCAGCGTATACACAAATGTTTCTACAAATGTAATGCAAATAACCGGATTACAAAAATAGTAAGGGAAGTATACCTGAGAAATGACATAAGTTGTGGAATAGAAAAATGCAATATATGTGAAAACAAAGAAAAAAAAAAGTTCCTAGATGGAGATAGAAACATTCTTATATTAGATATAAATTCGATAATAAAATATATAGACTTCCTATACGAATGTAACATAGACAATATATTAATCCCACTGACAATATATGAACATGTAAAAACATTTAATAAAATATTACATAAAAAATTACGTGAATTGTGTTATGAGACAGAAGAAAGTATACCTAATAGTACCAAAAGGTATAGCATTTTTGCAAATAAATTTTGTAAATTTACATATGTAGATGATAATATTGATAAAAATACAAAACAAATACAAGAAATTATAAAAATTGTTATATGGCTAAAGCATCATAATCAGAATCTTAATTTAACTGTTATAACTAATAATATGTTTTTAAAAGATGATTGTTTAAAAAATGATATTTCCTGTTTTACCTTGTACGAACATGTGAAGGGGTTAAAAAGAGGAAATAAAAAAAAGGCTGCATATGGTGATGCCATAGATTTAAATATGTTGAAAATGTATTTCGAAGAAGACATCCAAATGGATGAGGAACATAAGAATCAGATGAACGTGGAAAATTCTCATCCCAATTGGAGTGATAATACGTACCCAGAAAATGAGAAAAAACGAATATTCGAGCCACATTTGGAAAAAAAAGAAATAATTCAAAAGTTGAGAGATAACCTTATAGTTAGAGGAGTTTTCCAAGTAATCTGCGTTAATAAAATGGCCACAGTAAAAATTACAGATACGGAAGAAGTTCTAATAAAGGGGTCCAAACGTATGAATAGAGCAATACACAATGATGTTGTAGCTGTGCAGGTTATTCAAGAAGGAGAAGATGACCTTTCGATGGACGAGGAGGATTACTTTGAGGAGTTAATAAGTCCAGAGGAGGAAGAGGAAGAGGAAGGGCAAATGAAAAAGAAGCTGGAAGGGGAAGAGCAAATGAAGGAGAAGCTAGAAAAGGAAGGGCAACTGGAAGAGAAGCTGAGCTTAAAGGAGCACGGCCCCTCAATTGAAAAAGGAGATAACCATAAATCCCCAAATAACAATGTAAGAAAAAATAAATTATACGGAAAAGTAGTAGGAATTATTAGCAGAGGAAGAAAAGAATATGGAGGAGTTATAAAATCCTACGACAAAGACAAAAGTGGACACATAAAAAAGATTTTATTTTTTAAAGCTTTCAATAGTAAAATACCATATATTATAATAAAAAGTAGTATGGAAGAAGAAATAAGGAATAAAAGAGTAATTGTAGTTATTGATAGGTGGGATTATAATTCTAAACATCCCTTAGGAAGATGCCTAAGTGTATTAGGTATATGTGATGATATCGAAGCAGAAACGAAGTTGATTTATAATGAATATAACATATCAACTAAGGAGTTCAGCGAAAGTGCTTATAAATGTTTACCACCAAATGATTGGATAATACCGGAAGAAGAATATATTAAGAGAAAAGATTTTAGGAATGTATTAACCTTTAGTATTGATCCACCAGGATGTGAAGATATTGATGATGCCTTATCAGTTCAGATGTTTGAAGAAAAGAAAATTATACAAGTTGGAGTGCACATAGCAGATGTATCATATTTTGTAAAACAGAATAGTGCTCTAGATTTAGAAGCCTCCAAGAGATGTACAACAGTTTATTTAATAAATCAGAGAGTTGAAATGTTGCCAAAATTGTTAACTACAGATTTGTGTTCATTGGTAGAAGGTCAAGATAGATTGACATATAGTTGCATCTTTACATTTGATGAGAACTATGAAATTCTGGATATCACTGTGAGTAAGTGTATTATTAACAGTAATAAATCTTTTTCTTATGAACAAGCGCAGAATCTGATTGATAACAAGAAGGATTCTACTCCTACGGCTGAATCGTTACGATTATTAAACAGTATTGCAAAGCATTTAAAAAAGAAATGGTTAAATGAAGGGGCATTAGAGTTAAGAGGCAATTCGGAAGTTTTATTCGAATTTGAATCGAACGATTTTTCAAAAACGAAAAATTTAAAACCTTATGTGTCATATGATACTAATAAATTGATAGAAGCATTTATGCTTTTAGCTAACCGATCCGTGGCTAGAATAATTTTTCAAGGATTCAAAGCAGCTAGCGTTTTGAGAAGACATCCACCACCGAAAAATGAAAATTTAAAAGAATTAAATGATTATTTAGAATCCATAAATATCCACGATTTTAAGTACAGCACATCTAAAGAGTTATCTCATTCCATTAATAACATAAATTTAAAAGATGATCAAATTCTATCAAATATTTTAAAAATCCTCATTACCAAATGTATGAATGAAGCTGTTTTTATTTCAGGCTATAATGTACACAATAACGAAATGTTAAGGCATTATGGATTAGCTGCTGACATTTATACCTTTTTTACATCCCCCATTAGGCGATATGCAGATATAATGGTACACCGAATACTCAATCATATTTATGATATAGAAAAATTAGACAATAAATATGTGGATGTTATTTATTTAAACAAACAAATATCTTTATTAAATGAAAAGTATAGAAATGCTAGATTTGCTGGAAGAGCATCTGTTGAATTCTTTTCCTATCTTTACATTAAAAAAGTAGGGAATCAAATAACCAATGCTGTAATTACAAATTTAAAAAAAAATGGAATACAGATATTTTTGCCAGCTTATTCTGTTGAAGGTATTTGTTACTTAAAAAGAAAAGACGGGTTTATGTTTGATGAGAAAAGAAAGCGATTTAAAAAGGTGGACGAAAATAATGAGGAACTGTTTTCCCTCAATTTTTATGACAATATTCAGGTACATATGCAGGTGGACAATTATGACATAAAGTGCCAAAATAACTTTGTCTTTATAAAGAAGTTCTGAGGACCCTGATCATGTCCTTGTCTCCCTGTGGTTTGGGGCGAAACACGTCGATCAGAAATTTTTCCCCATTCAAAAGCAGGAGGATACACATATATATATACACACACCACATATATACGTATATATGTGGTGTGTATGTGCCTGTGTGCATGCGAATAATACTTTATCGTCCACAAAGATGGACTTGCTGCATGTGCAGATTGTGTACTTATTTTATTTTTTTTTATTTTATATTATTTTTTTTTTCATGTTACTCTCCATGTATGATTCTTTATCTCTGCACCGCTGTAGTGGTGGGTGACCATTCTCAATTACTAGCCCTTCATCATTTTGATCACTGTGCAAAATGGACATGTGAATATAAAAATCTTCATTCATGTCCACCTGTGTCTCATACTTTTTAACTTAACATTTCATCTTTTCATATTTTTGTCAAATGTGAAAATTTATTTTATAATTCACCTTTTAACAAAGTGCCGTTTTTCAGTGCTAATATATAAACGAAGAACCTGAGAACTTATTAATTGTAATTACAAAAAGGGAGCAAAAAAAAAAAAAAAAAAGAAAAATGATTAAAATGTAGCTTCTTGGATCTGCAGAAAAATTAAATGAATGTAAAAAAAAAAAAAACTCACATCCACAGAAGCTTCTATTTTTTACCGCCTCCATATTCTCTTCAGGAAAAGGTTAAAATTTTGGCCAAATCGTTAATTTATGTGTTTATTTGTCGATTCGGTAAATTCCCTTGGCCCTTGATGCAAGTGCTCGCTCAGTGGTAAGGATAAAGTGAATGCACATAAATATATATATATATATATATATATGTAAAATTCCTGCCTATTAAAAAAAAAATAGGGCTGTTAAAATGGTTTGTCACTTTTTATGTATGCAAAAGAAAAAAAAAAAAAAAAAGTCCTATGTATTACAAAAAAATTACAAAACTGTAGAAACTGGGAAAAAAAAAAAAAAGCATCCTTCTTTCTTCTTATTTTTAAATTTACACAAAAATTGAAGATATCGAAATTGGCAAATGCATTTGCATGTGCATATATAAATATAGATAAACACACGAAGTGTATGCATTTCTACAAAGCTGTGTGAATACACACATTTGCTTTAAAAGCTCAATTGTCGCGAATACAAAGTGTAAAAAGTAACAAACAAGGGGGGAATGTATATACGTAGTATATCCATCTACCTATCTATGTATATGTATGTCTATATCTATAGCTATATCTCTATGTATTCACATATATACATATACACATGAAGGTGCAATAGCAAAATGTAAAAGTTGTAAAAAAGTAGGAATCCAGAAAAACCAAACAGGAAAGAAACGGAATATGTGAGCGAAATTGTGTAAGCAAAACTGTGTGAGAAAAACTATTGAAAACTTCTTAGGGATATTTTTACAAAAATATAAAATGATTGAATTTAAAAATTGCACTCTTGCAAAATAAAAATTCGACGAATGATTTGCAAACAATGCAAGTATATATCTTGTTAGATTTGATAAAATAAATTAATAACATGATAAAAACAAAAATGTACATCTTTTTTACTGATCCTGGCGCATAGAAAAAAAAAAAAAAAAATTAGTAAAAATTTAATGTTATAGAAATATGAAAAAATAACAATGGACAACATTAATGATATTAGTAGAGATATATGGGTATGGCAAGGGTGAAGCTATAACACGTGATAGCGCAAGGAAAATGAGAACTACATAAAAGAAACGACTGGGATCATATGATATTATGTATTTGTGTAATAGATGCATTTTGCTTAAAACAATACTAATATGATTAAAATTTAGAAAATATATACCAACCCCATGTGAACAGCAAAATATTGTAATGATATCAAGACTATATAACGACGAGTGGTGACATAGCAACAACTGGTCACTTATTCAACTCTTTAAATGAAAGAATGAACAAACAAAATAATAAACAAATTGTAAGCTTCAGTGGAAAAGGGTATACATATATATATATATACATCCATTGAGCAAATGTGTAATTCATTTTAACATGTTTTCAATATAAAATTGTAGAGGTGGGGGGAAAAAGAAAAAAAAAAAAAAAAAAAAGTGGCAGAATGGAATTATAAATTAAAATAATTCTATATTACATACGTATTTTTATTAGAAAAAAGGGATAAGTGGAGGAGGAATGGGAAAAGATAAATTGTAAAGGAAAAATCGTTAAAGAAAAATTGTAAGGGAAAAAATGTAAATGAAAAGTCGTGAAAAGAAATATGGAAAAAGGGATTAGTCTAAAGGAATATGTAAAGGCACAATAAAACGAAAACGAAAGGGAGCACAGAAGAAACGTTGCCATTTTATTAAAATCTAAACCTTTCGTAACCAACAGGTTCCTCTGTGTATTTTTGTTGTGTTATTAAAAGAAATGAAATTCTTAGTAAGTTTTTACAAAGGTTTCATAATTTCATTATAATAATATGCCCCTAAGAGTTTCACTATACATGGTGCTAAATTTCTAGCCTGCAACATGCATGTTGTTTTGTTTAATAAAAAATATGATCTCTGTTTTATTTTATTTTTTTTTTCTATAAAAATCTGTTTTTTCTTTTTTTTTTTTTTTTTCTCTGAAAACTTAACTGCCTCATTTTATCAGTTGTGAATTTCTTTATATATGCTTGTGTTTGCTACATCCTATCTTGCTAGATTCGTGTGTACAAATACTCGTTATTTAACTAACTACGTATCATTTAAACAGAAGTGTTATTTACACAGTAATACTATTTAAGGAGAATATATATTTATCCTTCGATACTCCAAATAAACGTGGGATTTTTTCTATTTCTCTTACTGTGGTCCTTTTCGTGATCGTATTTTTTTTTTTTTTTTTTTTTTTTTTCCGTCCTTTTTTTCGTTTTTTGGATTTTTTTTTTTTTTTTTCCCATTTCCTTTTGCCTTTTTATTTATATTACTTTGGTTACACATTGCTTTAATGTTTGTGTTTTTATAATTACTGAATTTTTAAATTCTTTAATTTTGGAATTTGTGAATCTTTGAATTTCATTTTTATTTTGTTCTGTTTTATTTTATTTATTTATTTATTTTTTTTTTTTTAAATTATAAAATTTTTTTTGATTTTTTTTTTTTTTTTTTTTTTTTTTTTTTTTTTTTTTTTTTTTTTTATTTTTTTTTTTTTTTTTTTTTTTTTTTTTTTTTTTTTTTTTTTTTTTTTTTTTTTTTTTTTTTTTTTTTTTTTATTTTTTAATTTTTTTTTTTTTTTTTTTTTTTTTTTTTTTTTTTTTTTTTTTTTCCATATATTAAAAATATTTTTTAAGAAAAATTGTAAAGAGGTAATTGTGTAGAAGATGTGAGGACAGGAGAGACAGCTGTATGCGCGTCTCATTTAATATGGTCCACATCTATAACTATTGCTATTTGAATAGAAAAAATTTTGTGGTTGTGCATTCTGGTGTGGTGGGAAACTTGGTTGTGCTGCTGCATTTGGTTGAGCTGGTATATTTTTTTGAGGTCTTGAAATTTGTTGGAAAGAATTTACCCCATTTTGATTTACAAACTTTTTCATTTCTTCTTCTTCTCCCTTCTTTACAGTTACCTTCAGTTTTTTATTTAATGCCATAAATCCATTCATTTGTGAAATTGCGGCTGCTGCACTTTCAATACTTTCATAGGATACAAATGCAAACCCACGATTTCTGCCTGTACTTTTTTCAGTGGCTATTCTAGCAGACAATAATTCGCCAAATGGAGAAAATGCTTGGATAAGGTCTGTTTGGTGCCATTCATTGGGGACATGGAAAATGAATAAGTTCGCTCCAGGGGGACCTATAAAAAAAGGAGTAAAAAAGAAAGTATGAAAAACAGCAACAACAACAACAGCAGCATAAACAACATAAACATAAACAATAAGAGAAATATAATAATGCAAATATAAAATGAAATGATGGGGAATCAACTGTGCATGCGATATATTATATCATGCATAAGAAGTTATATGTGGTGCAAAAGTATAAACATGGTTGAAAAAAAAAAAAATAATAATGATACAAATAAATAACATTGGAGAAAACACTCTTCACTCTACCAACAATATGTTTCTCTCTTCCTAAATTACCTGATGAATCAGACAGATTGTGCGCATTTGGAGAACTACTCATGAAGAGGGTTTCAAATTCTTTTGGCATTTCCCATTGTGTTGTGTTCGTTTGCTCATTGTAGTAATATGGTCTTCCCTCTCCTGAATAGTATTCCTTCCATGCACCAACTTGTCTTGGATAGTTATTATTAACCCCAAAGTTATTTCCAAAATTTATATTGTTTGGACTGGTTACATGCGGTTGAGGAGAAATACCATGTGGGGGATTCTGCATCGGCTGCAACGTCATTGGAATTTGTGATTGTTTAGATGATTTTGGTTCTGCAAATCGAACTTCTATAGGTCGTGCACATCCTTCTAATGTTTTTTTTCCATTTAATGAATTGATAGCATATAATGCTTGCTCTTTATATGCAAATTTAACAAAAGAACATCCTTTTCCTAACCCTGTTGAATTATCTTTCATTATAAAGACTTCCTCTACAGAACCATATATAGAAAACATTTCTTTTACACTTTCTTCTGTTATACTTTTTGGTAAAGATCCTATAAACAATTTTGCTTGATCAACACCTGATTCTATATTTTGAGGAAAACCTAATTTCATAATTTCTCCAGATGCATATTTTACTTGTAGAGAGCCTAGTTGAGGGTCTAGGGTTCTCTGGTTATTTAAAGATCTTATAGCATTATCTGCTTCTGAAATGGATGCCATTTTTACAAAGGCACTTGATTTGTGAATATTTGTTATTTTATCTCTTATTATTACCACTTCATTAACAATGCCAAATTCTTCAAATATGGGCCTTAATTGTTCTTCCTCCATACTTTTTGGTACTCTTCCTATGAAAAGTTTTATCGAAACTGGAGGGGCTGGGTGGCATGGGAAGTTATGGTTACTATAGTCCATAACATTTATGTCATCCTTATCTGAATTCTTTGTCTTAGCTATATTCTCTTGCTTAGATTTAGAATTCTTATTATTTCCATCCAATTCATTATCTTCTTTGCAAAAGTCCATTTCTTCCGATATATTCTCGTTTTTCCCCTGGTTATAGTTTGCTGTGTTTGTATCCGACGAATTATCGTTAGAATCTATGTTCTCATTGTTATCCATATTTATAAGCTCTTTTTGTGTGGTTATGTAAGCTGTGCTTTATGTGGTTTTGCGTGGTTCGTTCTACACAATTATATAATGTGCGCGCTTATGTTTGCTGCTGATGATTCACAAAATATAGTATTCACAAACCAAAGCAAAATTCTTTTCCCCTTGGACTTTTTAAAAGTTATATAAAAAAAAAAATTCTTTGCACAAAAATGTGAACCCTTTTTTCTCAAAAAGCATTTGACTTGCTACTCCCCTTTCGTATGTATAAATATATATATATATATATATATATATATATGTATATATACATACATGTATGTGTTTTTTTTTTTTTTTTTTTCTCTCTTTTTTCTTCCTTTTTATGCTTCTCTTTCCTCGATTCCTCTTACAATGCTTCTTTCGTTACTTTCTTAATCGATGGCTTAAATTTTATCTTGGCTTAAATGCATACATTTATAATTCCCTATTGTTCTGTATATGGGAAATTGAAATAAAAAAAAAAAAAAAAAGGCAAAATAACGTGAGGGGTAAAAAATGTGATAACGTAACAAAACATGAAAATTAAAAAAAATATATTCACAAAAATTGATACAAAAATGTGGATAAAAATTGAAACAAAAATGAAGATAAAAAATAAGGAAAAAGAAGTAAAAAAAAAAAAAATAATAAATAATAAATAAATAATAAAATAAATAAAAATTAAATAAAAGTAAAATAAAGCGAATTTTGCAGTTGTTAAAATGGCACTTTAGAAAAGGGATAAAGTTTGTTTTTATTATCCTTTGTTTCTTTAAGATTATTTTTGGTTTTTCATAATGCACGGAAATTACAATTATATATAGTAAATAAAACACTCACGCGCTTGTTTAATGGATACAATTAAACTCAGGGGATTTACTCAATGTGCTTTATTTATACATTTTATTTAAGCTGTGTATTTATTATATCATAGTTATTTGTACTATATCTTCATCACGTTATATAGTTGTGTTTAAAAAAGTACATTGCATGTATATATCTTGATTGTATAAAAATTATGTACATTATGTAACACGTGGGTAAAAATTAAAAATGTGGAAAAAAAAAAAAAAATTGTAATTTTGAATAAGTGTGCTTTTTTACTTTTTCGTGTAGCATACATGCGTCATTATATGCATGAAATTGGGTATTTATTTAAGGGCATATTCATATATACATATACATACATATATGTATAAATATTATATGTGTTCATTATTGCTTAACTTTTTTCTTTTAATTCCTTGTCCTTTTGCTATTCTGGGTCTCCCTTTGCTCCTTTACTTTTTAGCTTTTTGCTTTTTCTGGTTTCGGCTATTTAAGGGACATTGTGCTATCACAAGCGTTACGCTTTACTTTTTTTATTTTTATTTATTTTTCCTTTTTTTATTGCTCCCACCACACTCCTCATTTATTAACAAATTAAGCACGTCATCAAATAAGGTGCACGAGGAGTCATGAAGAATATGCAGTATGTAATAGAGTATATACGTATAAGCATTTATATATATAATGCATTTATTTAGGTTTGGGTGTAAGTGAGCATGAAATTACGTATGCACGTATGTAAACATAAAGAATGTATGAAAACAGGAGTGGTTTATGTACAGTGTTGAGTAAATGCCTGCACAGTTATGTAACACAATGCAAACCTGTTCGTACATAAGCAAATATATACATGTGACATGAATTCAGCGATGAGAGTACACAAGCTCATGAACATATGCTTGAACAAGTGCATGAACAAACACGTGAACAAACGCGTGAACAAACACGTGAACAAACACGTGAACAAACGCGTGAACAAACGCGTGAACAAGTGCATGAACAAACGCGTGCACATAATCCTGTATATCCCGTTCTTACATACACCTCCCTCTACATGAATTCAAATGATTCGCACTTTAAAAAAATGTTGTACAAATAAAGGGGTAATTTTTAAAATTCATATATTTCTCCGTTTTAAGAATTTTTAGAAATAGGTTGTACATTCTATTTGCACTCAGGAATGAACGCAAAAAAGGGAATGTTTAAGAGGGAAAATCGTATAATAGGGAAAAAAAAAAAAAAAAATCCCAGGAAGTTGAACCATATATATATATATTTTCAAAAAATGACCAATTTGTTAACTATATATATATATATATATATGTGAAATATAAATTTAGTACAATTAGCCAAGCGCTAATGGGACAACAAAGCACTATGGTGAAGCGGTAAAATAGAACGTTTTTACGGAGTTGAAAAAGTTTCTATTAAGTTGTAGTATAAAGATATTTGTTTTCCTATGGAAATGTTAAACAAAAGACAAACTTTTTTTTTTTTTTTTTTTCCCATATTACCACCCACCCTTAAATTCCTTGATTAAATCGCACACAAAGAAAAGCTTATAGCATAGGAGTTATTCATACATATTTTATATGCTTATATAAACCAGGTGCATAAAAATACCCATAGTGTAGACCCAAATAAGGAAACAACTGTAAAATGGTATATGTTGATTGAGCACATAGCTTTTCTTTCGTTCATATTACTATGGGTAAAAATGTGAAATTTTATAAGTTCCATTAATTAAAGCATCCCGGGGTAACTCCGTACTACATTCTCTTGTATTGCAATTAGAGTTATATGCATATAGATACAAAGATGTCGTGTAGAATATTTTTATATAAACCTGTTTCACTCTCTTTTTTTCATTTTTCCCTGGAGTATTCATTCTTTCAACGGAAGACACATTTCCACGGTTCTTTGCAATTTTTTTGTATGAATCACTAGCCCCATATTTTTAAAATGACGTGAAAATAATTTACACACCTTATTGAAATACGATAACAGAATATTTCCATTATTACGAATACATTTCTTTAAGTCAAAATGAGAGCAACTTTGAAATTTTTCTTTATTCATCATGTTTGGGCTTCTTCATTATGAGCTTAAAAATTTTGAAAAAATGAAAATTATGCTGATAAAAGATTAATTATAAGATGTGTCAGTTTTGAACATTGTGTACTAACATTTATGTAATATTCATATGTTTATACAGTCTCCTCCATATTCTGAGATTTTCTTTGAAAGAAGCATATGCCTTAAAAGAAAATTCTTATATATCTTACATTCCGCATCCCATTTCCACCATGCAAATGGTTTCCATTGCTGGGCTATACATTACATGATTTCCTTAAATGATGACTCAAAAGGAGTTATACACGACTCATAAAAAAAAACCTTAAATTTTTGAAATGAAATTTATACATTTCGTAGAATAAAATTATAAGAGGTTTACATAAAGAATTATGCACACTGAACACAAGAAGAATGAATATATTCCTATGTCGATAAATATGACAGAAAAGCTCTAAACAGACATGTAGACTTGGTTACCAATTATATTTGAAAAAATGCGTCTTTTTCTTTCTTATTTTATTTTTTTGCAAAAATATTTTTATTTATATGGAAATTAATAAAATATGTTATTTTTTTGTTATTGGTATGTGTGATATTCTATGGTTAATGCTAATAAATAAAAAGTATTTTAAATACCTTTTTTTTAAAAAATTTGCTTCAATATTTGTTTCATAATTTCGCTCCTGCTTATGACTGTTAATAACATATCAGAAAAAATATCAATAGTGTAATGTGTTCATGTAAATCTTGAACTGACTGCTTAGGAAAATAGAATTGATAAGACACTCTAGTTAAAAAATTTACAATATTTTCGTGCTCATCCGTTTTATTACATTTCGCGTATCCTTTTCCAACAGTGTTGAATTTCTACTACCAAGGAGTTAACCAAATTTAATTGTTTTAATACAAGCCCTTAAAAGTTGTGATGCTTTTGAAAAAAATTGATGGGAAAAATTGGCACAATATAAATGAACATAATATATACATTTTTTTTTTTCTTTTTTCTTCTCCACCACCCTCCCTCCTTATTAATGCCGTTGTATTTATGCTACAAGATATCAGGACGTGTTTGTAATTGTAAATGAAAAGTTAACGACTCAGTTAGGACTGTCATGTGTGTCTACAAATTGGAGTCCCTGTAAATCAATGCTTAATTTCACGTAGAAATGAACAATGTGTATGTTTACGAGTATGTCTACAACTACACACACTTAACACCCTTTTTTATGAGCAAAAAAAAAAAAAAAAAAAAAAAAAAAAATTATTACACTTATAGCTCTATGTGTTAAAAGTCTTACTGAAAGGATAAAATAAAAAAGAATGTTTCATTAAGAAAAGTAAACACAACGACACAGATCAATGAAAGTTCGCAAAAAAAAAAAAAAAAAAAAAAAAAAAAAAAAAACAAAAAGAAAAAAAAAATCAAAAAAAAAAAAAAAAAAAAAAAAAAAAAAACAATCGTAAGGAGTTCACCGATAAAAAAAATAAAAATACCACTTTAAGAATGACGTACGTCGAATAAGGGGAAATTCCATATACCTGCATTTTAGGATGGATTTGATCAGAGAATATTATTCAAATTGTATACACGCATGTACCCCTGAGAAGTACGTGATAGATCAGAGTGAAATAGAATTTTCAACAGCGGGAAAAAATAGTTTAAGACTTAATGTCATAGATTGGTATTACACAACGGCAGGAAGTTTTAGCACACAAGAGAACTGTACTCGAAATGTAGCTTTTAACCCAAATGACAATGCATATATGAGCAACTTATATCGAAAAAGAAAAAGTTACACAAGTTTTGAAGGTATAAAAGTAATGGAAAATTTATTTTTATTGAGTGATCGTGAAAAAAGCAAAGAAACTATAAAGGAGTGTTCCCATAAAGCGAAGGAAAATAAGTACCACCTGTACCGTGACACGAATAGAAGTATGAGAAAAGAAAGAAATATATTGAATCAGACTGAATCCATATATGTAGAAAATGCCTTTGACTTAACATTAACCACAGATATTAATGCTCCAATAAATGAAACTCTCTCGTTTAAAAATACTCACAAAAAGCGAGGACACAATAAATGTAGTAAAAGAAAAAAAGAAAAAAATTGATTAACCGTGTAACTGATGAATATGTTAATAAGACATAAGAGAATTAAAAAATAAAATTGGATTCTTTAGAGGTATTTTTTATACGAGGATGCGAACAAATTGAGTTCTTTACATGGATTTTTTTGAAAGAAGTGTTAAACGAATATTTGCATAATCGGAATCATAGAGGCAGTTACAATGCAGAGTATTGGTTCTATGTAGAACCCGATGATATAAAAAATGGGGTTTAGGATATTAGGTAGGGAACAATTAGTACAAATTACATGGTTAAACTTTTCACACCACGTCGATAAGATGTAGAAAATATGTAAGGTCCGTATGGCCATTTTTTGCATTAATCAGGAAGTACTATTTCTACACACATATATGCATGTATATGTATGTTACACAAACTTTGCATATTATATGCTTGATAAAAAGAATAACCCCTTTAATTAAACTTCATTATTTCGTTCAGTTTGGTTTTATATTAATTATGCATGTGGAAAAAGAAAAAAAAAAAAAAGTATGCAATTTTTTAATCAAATACTTATCTCTTCTTTTTTCTTTGGGAAGTGATAGAATCACACAAATACTATAAATCAAAAACCTAATGAAGAATTCATTTCAAAATGACGGCCTAATAATGTTCCAAAAATGGGTTATAAAATGGCAAAGTTCGATAAAATAATGAAAAAATTTAAAAGTGTCAAAAATGAGTACCATTTTCTGATTTTCACCTTTGGGTATATATATCTTTATGGACTCATACTTAAACGTGATATTAACACTGAACAAAATCTAGAAGCCTTGACTACTTTGATTTATCTTGTTTGAAAAAAAAAAAGATAAAACTCTTATTGATTTTAAGATGTACGTTCAAAGGGATGCATCCTTTTACATGCATATGTATGCCAGTATGATAAATAGATTGTAGACTCCCGAAGGGATACATGGTTTTACATGCTTATATACATTTTTTCATACATATGTATGTTCGAGTATAGAATACTAGACCCCTTCCCCAGGGATACATATATATATATATATATGTATGTACGTTATTTAATTTAGCTCAATTTTTTTTGTCATATGATATTTTGTAGGATACGAAATAATTTACATGTACACAAAAACACCCCTTGGGGAAAAAAAAATGCTAAGAAAAAAGGGTTAAATAAGAGAGAAAAAGTAGTAAAAACAAAAAATGGGCGTTACTTCTTAGCAATAGCATGCTCATATGAAATGAGGAAGTATGCATGTGAATGAATATGTCCCCAATAGTGTGTTCATAACATTTAAGGGAACACTGGTCATTTTTTTCCTTCTTTGACAAATACAGAATGTTTATTGAAGATGAAAGAAGAAAAAACAATAATCGAAACATTAGCATGAACTTCACAGGATTCTTTGTTTTAGTATGTTATGTTTTATTTTATCATAGCACTGCATGTCATTCATTATAGTTAAATATGTTTTTTATTGTTTGAAAAAGAGAGTCTCGATGTAAAGTAGGGATCTAACCTATACACTTAGGTCTTTGAGAATGATGGGATAGATGCTTTAAGTTGACAGATCATAGCAGTACGTATGCACGTACCTAGAATATACAAGTGGTAAATTTAGCATGAACATATAATGTTGGAATACGCTACCCCCCTAGCACCCTTAATTCAAAATTCATTTTCGCATCCATTTTTGTGAAAAAAAAAAAAAAAAAAAAAAAAGGCACTTTTAAGCAAAGTTCCTTTTCCATATTTTTATGCTAGTTTAATTTTTTCCCCTTAAAATTAGTACAAAAATTTAATTAAAAAATTGGAGAAGTGTTTTTATTTTACAGAAACAAAAAAGCTATACAAAAATGAAACAACTTTCGTTTAAGAAAAATATGAATATTAAAATGTGTGAACGTGTACATATATTTTTACACCTTTGTACTTGTTTATTTCATCTGAGCGTGTTTATATGCCTTCTTGTATTTGTCTTTAAACGAACCATACCCCATATTTTTTTTTTTTAAATGAGAAATTTGGCTTAACTGATCAATTAAATTTTGCACTTTGAATTTTTATACTTTTAATCGTGCAATTGGAGTTTTATATATATTCTAATAATTATGTAAAAAAAAAATGCGCAGAAAATAGTAGTTAAACAAATTTTATAAATCCTGAAATAAATATAATCATTTATGTTTTGCTTGAGCAAAAAAGTGAAAAAACTAAATTGCATGCCGCGTCCCCATTTTTGCCCAACTAAAAAGTGAAAGTTTCAAAGTGGTATTTTTATACATATGTGTTATGAATTTAAGGAATTAAAAAATATATTACTAAACTTTGAAAACTTCTGAGAAGACACAAATGTCTGTTTGGTGTAAAAAGGTTACGGGACAGAATATACAAAAAAAAAAAAAAAAATGCTATTCACACTTCGAAAATGATCAGATCAAAAAAAAGTTCAAATTTGTTATTATAATTTCCATATACTAATTATTCTTGAACATTTTCATGTAACGCATGCTGCAAACAAGTTTTTTTCATAAGAAATGCATATTTCCGTTGGCAAAATGAAAAATACTCCCTTTGCGTGCTCATATCCATAAACTGATATCTCGGTAACTCCGAGAAAAATTCCATATCCTTGTACTCATGTTTTTTTGGAAGTGCAATTTGAATCGACATGGAAATTGCAAAATGGGTGTTCCACATTTCAGTTCCGTATTTACCCCCCTAGATTTCTCTTTCTTCTTTTAATACTATTTTTTTTTTTTTTCCATTTCACAAAGCCAATTCTTTTTTAAAAGGACTTGTCTTTCCTGTCAACGCGCGTTTGTCTTTATATTAGGTTTTTTTTTTTTTTTTTTTTTGGTGTAATTATTTGAGAAAGAACAATAAAAATTTTTTAGTGCACACCATACGCGAAAAAAAAAAAAGAAAAAGAAAAGGTTGATAGGAAAAATACGAGCACATTGAAATTGTATGTATGCATGTAAGTACATACAGTTCGAATGAATTCGTGCATGCATTTTTGAAAACATTTATGCTCATCAATGCACTAGTGTGTGTACATACATTTTACTTGTAATAAATTTTGCTTTCCTATTTTTTTTCCCCCTCCTTCTTTGGCTTTTTTTCGATATTCTTTTGTGCAAAAAAAGGAGATGAATATACAATGAAAAATTCCCCTTCTTAATGATGAGAAGAACATGGGATGTGTAGATCCCAAAAAACATTTTGCAAAAAACAAAGTGCAGAAAAGTGAAATAAAAATTTAGATGAAAGTTTACACAGAACTGAAAATAATATATAGCTTAAGAACAAAAAAATACATAAATTAAATCGTGTATATATGGTTACAAGTACTTTTTGCATATTAATTGTAGTTCACCATTTTTTTCTTTTAACGGCTATTTCCCTTGTTGTCTTTTTATTGCCTTTAATAGTTGACGTGAAATTCTTTAACTTATTGAAGAACACGAGTTAACGGAAAATTACAACTTTTATGCATATTTGGCATATACGTGATTTTGCTAAAAATAGAAACGTGTAATGGTGTTCCTTCCTGAAATAGCATATATCTGTATTCCTTTTCATATATTTTACATGTTTCTTTTTTTTTTTTTTTTTTTACATTTTTGTAACATGAGATATAAATTAGATTAAAGAAAATATGCATGCAATACTTTCAGAATATTTTACGTAAAATTATTTATCTCTAAAAATCATGTAAAGAATACGTAATTTGGGTGATAGGAAATATAATGTAACCCATAAATATGCATAAATAAGGTCTGGAATACTTTGTTTTTGGTCTGATTTATTCTATTCTTCCGTGGTCTCATTCATATATTTTAATGCAAAATGGTGATATAAAAAAAACAGAAAAGTAAAAAGGTGAAACTAGAAAAAGTGGATACATTTTCAGTATTTTTTCTAAAGATGAAGTTTCTTTGCCATTAAGTATACTGGTAAATTTGTTGATAAAAATTTAGTGAGCAGTTTTTTTCGCGAGATGTATAGGAATATTATCGTACATCTAATTGGGGATTCTTGAAACGTAGAATTCTTATAAAAGGATGGACACTTATCAAAATTCATAAGTATATCCATGCGAAAAAAAAAACCAAAAAAAAAGGTGCAAAATGGTTTTCTTCTAATTTTTTCCCCTTTCTTGTTGCGTTAAAAGTGTGCAAATAAATGTAGTAAGAAGTATTATGCATAAAAGGGGTGAGCTACTCGTATAGCTATAAGCAAATATATTATTGGGATATGAATGTCTCTGTAAATGTGTTCATTGTGATATAGTATTAATACCTACTAAGTGATGTATAATATACCCCACTATTCTTCCCTCTTTCCCTTGCATTTTTTCTTTTTTGTTCTGCTGCCTTATACGAGAATAAAAAAGTAAATGTTAATAATTTAAGTAACATGTAGGTGCTATAGGGGTAACGGTATACTGAGAGCAGCAATCGTACTTATGCACAAAAAAAAAAAAAAAAAAAAAAACCTGCAAAGATCATTTTATTTTTTCGTGATACAGCAAATGTGCTATACATTTTTGCCAATAAAGGCAAAATGAGTAATATGTATTTGTGTAATGTGCTATACAAAGGTGTTATCATTTTGTAGCACATGCTTACCCTATGTAAAATAACTTGTGTACGCCTCTTTTTTTTTTTTTTCTTTACATGTATAAATCACCCTAGTCTATTAACAAAAAAATTTTAAGTGTTAAAAAGGAAATATATAAATTATATCTTTTTTTTTCGATTCGCATGCAGAAAATGTAAAAAATAAGAAAGATGATTTTTATGATAATTTCATTTATATATATATATATATGCATTTTCCGTGTAGTTAAAAAAAAAGGTGGCGTACATATTTTCCCATTCATTTTCGATGAAACTGCAAAATCCATTATATGTATATCAATAAGAAAAAGGAAAACGCGATATTAAACATACCCAAAATAAAATTGTTAACTTTTTGTTTTTTCTTACTGCGCACTACTTGTTATTTAAG